AAGTTTTTTTGGTTGGAAATGAGAACACCAAAAAAAAAAAAAAAAAAAAAAAAAAAGAAACAATTAATCCAACTAGAAGAAGTCTGGAACGGTTCTTTACACACCAAGAAAAGGGCCATGTAAATCTGAAGAACACAAAAATAAAATCACTTGACCCTGAATCTAAAAGTGATGTCGTCACACATACAAAGCATGTTTGGCAGCCTGCACAAGACATTGTTGTTTCCAAAGCATTTCGTTGCACTTCCCCCAAGCAAGTCCGAGTGAAAACACAGACACACACATGTACATGATATCATAAGGTCAAGGTATCCCAATGTAAATCCATTTTATAGTTTGACCCACTGTGTTTGTGGATGTGAGTACGGCTACTGATGAAACATGTCTGGTCCGATAATGAACGGCTGAACTCCTCGTTCCTCTTTTAATGACGCAGCATGTTTTTGTATACAAGTCAGAACGTGTGAGGTGAAAGACGGAGAGGTATTCATGAGAAAACAACACCGGTCGTAAACAGATATCGCAGAGATGAAGATTGTGAGCTATTGCTGTCATGTCATTTCATGTCCGCAGTTCACTGTAATGATTTTGGCAGAAAACAGCGTGCATAAAAGCATCCATGAAGAATTTCAAGAATGCATTCATCTTTTTATTTTTAAAAAGCAGCATATGGAGACAATAGGGCGTAAAAAAAAAAAAGTATTTAGTTTTAGTCATGCCCCTTGATACTGTTTCTCCTACTGTATGGTGATGTGCATCTCGGGTTGGATCTGATTCACGGCGCCTCCAGGTCTCTTCTGGCCTTTTCTCGTGTAAAGCAGCACAGGTAAGGCAAGCCACCTCAGCAAAATATTTGCAGCTTGGAAGCACATACCTGCAGGTGCGGGGGTTCAACATACAGTATTGCTAAACCACTGAAATCACACAATGGGAACTGTGCCTTTGGCAATATTAAGTGCAGTTGATTTTGCCATTTCCTTCAAACAGGCTTCTATTGTATCTGGTCATCTTTGAACTGCAGAAGCCCCTTCCCTGAAATCCTAATCCCCAGTGCCTAAAAAAAAAAATTTTAAAAAAATGGATTCCTAAAATGGCATAATAAACCAGTTCTAGTTTGTGTTAGAAAATAGAAAAAAATGCAGTTGGACAGAAGATGGCTAAAATTCTCTATACAGGGGCAGACGATACAGATTTTTCTTCTCTTTGAGAAGTGTTTGGATAAAAATGTTACTGGGCACAGGGTTCAACTACTGCACACCTGTGACATTATTAATGAAACATGTCTCATGTTAACAGAAGCACTGCATTTGAGAATGCGGCTAAGTTATGCAACAATTTTCCATTTTAGCATCCAATATTTCGGTAACCTACTGCAACAGAGGTCAACCCCCATGGGAAACAGATATTCAATACGCCGATGGTGCAGTTGTAGCACGGTGGCTGTTGTTGTTACAACACAGAGACCAAAAAAAAAAAGGGTACCGTAATCAAAAATTAGTAGGTCACATTATTTCCACCAGTATATAAATTGCAAACACTTTTTTACTGTCAGTCGTCTTCAAAGGGTGACTAGTTTTGCTGTAATGGCAGTTTGAGTCTGAAGCAAATTATTTAACTTAACAATATTTGCTATGCGAACAAATGTTCTTAAATTAGAATACAGCTGAAGCACAGAAAAGATCGCGTTCAACTTTGGAGGATCCACTTGATTGCTTTGGGTAATTTAACCGCATCTTATATTCCTACCAAAGGCCTTTTTACTGAAATGGACCAACAAGCTGAAGATTTTAAATGTACAGGACATGCTTTGTGGTAGAATTACAAAAAGACTATGCTGAGTTGTGCTTGGCAAACTTATAACGACCGGTTTGTACTGTGAACAAGGCGTAAGTTGTCACCCTCATCGTAAAAATATGATTCACAGTTAATATACAACAAACATTCATATAACACTACAGGAAAATCCACCATGTAAAAAAACTCTTTGGCATTCATACCCGCCCCTGTTAGTATCTATCAACATTTCAAAGAACCAACTGAGCAGAGTGAAACCAAAACAAAGTGAGTATGCTGGTCTGGTGACCTCTGAACAAGCAGCTTCCGTCTCGCACAAAGATGACTACAATGTCCCAAAATGTGATTTTGTTAATGAGGTGTAAGGTCCAAATTCAAATTCTAATCAATGGCAGGATAACTTAAAAAAAAGAAAAAAGAAATGTTTGAACATGATTTTGAGTTGGTGTTAAGTTCATGTTGGGGCATAACAACATAATCATCATACTGAAACGTAAAGCTTGTTACAAGCTTTTTACACCAGATCGACATCTTACATCTCAAAATTAGCCTGAGTCTTTCGAAAGCCGAGTGAAACCACAAATGGACATCCAAGAGTTGCTGTACCGGTTCGATGGGATGGTTGCAGTTGTAGCAGTTGATGAAAGAATCTACTTCACGTGTACAGTGTGCTCGTTGTAAGCATGCCGGTACAGTCGGCCTTGAAAGCAGGTTAAAGGGCCAGGCAAGACAAAACAGCAACAGCAGTCAAATGCTACAGTTGATTCATTTTGCCATATTCTCCAAGCATCCCTGCCTGTGTGCAATTTGCTTGTTTGTGCACCTAAAATAAAAAATGAGTATGATCAAGGAAATACCTGGCAGGCACGGTCTCAAGCACATTCCTCGAACAGTCTTAACTGATAGAGCTTAACACGTCGTGATCTGGCTTCACATAATCCAAACGGTCTCATGAGGGCAAATTGACACTGCTCCATTCAAGATGCCCGCGCTTGTTTTTATTTTCCGGGAGCCACTAAGAAGACAAAAAACAAGTACTTCTGACCCGGCACCCAGGGGAAGCGGTGTGCCTCGTCCTTGACATTTAAGTACTGCTCAAAAGCCTCACTTTATGGGGCTACAAGAACCAAACAGTGAAGAAGTCAAGCCCAAATGTCCGCTGCCCTGATTAGGAATGAAGGAAAACAAAATTGTGATCATTACAAATCGTGTACGTGGGATTCCTTCATGATGAGTGCACACAAAGAATATGGACCTGGAGCAAGCTCAGCCTTACTATGGAGTGCAGATGAATTACAGTGACCAAAGGTGCAATCCTGACGGATTCATGGTTTGTCGCGCAAACGGAAAGTTAGTCGCCATCATTACAGTTGCTTCTTTGTCGTCGTCGTCATCTTTGAAGAAGAAGCAAGTTCCGCTGGTACGAGTGTAGAAGAATGGCAATGGAACAGAAAGTTTGAACGTCTTAGGTTCAGTTCCCCTTTGAGAAAGAGAGATGATGCTGGTGCTTTTATTATCTCTGATGCTGCATCATCGGGCGAGGAACATACATACTTCCTAGTCTATGGCGGTTTTGGCGAATAAGTGGAACCCGGATGCTTTTTCGATGTGGACCATGCCTGTAAATAAGAATGCTTTGATAGATACTTGCATTTGAACCAGTGCAACTTCTGGGGGCAGGGGGCGGGTCTTATGGCTGTCTTCGTGAGCCTGCGCAGCTTTCTAGCATCTATTTTGGTCTTTGTGGTAGTAAATACACACGCGAAATACGCAGCTCAATCAAATCGCTTATTCAGAGCAGCTGTGCCAGTGGGAGTGTGAGAGGCAGGCAAGCTAACACAAATGCGTCCATTTACATCTTCCCACAACGTATCTTCCACCGACACAGTTAAGGAAGCAATTCTATTCAAAAAAACGTTTGAGGGCACAACCGAGCCTGCCAAAAAGTCATCATTAGGACTTTCACTGCAGTACATTAAAACTGTTGCTGAGCTACGCTGTCCGTTTACGTGACATTATTTATTGACTGATCATCTACTGGCAGACACAATGGAAAAAGAATATTTTGTCCCCGCTAGCCAATCAATGGGCTAAATGTGTTTTTGCTTGTCATGTATACACAAAAGATTTAGTAAATAAGAATAGTTATGTGTCCAAAACACTGAATCACCTCATCGCACCACAAGGTACAGTTGTGGCAAACCAAATTTTGAAATCTAAGTCTGGCTGAAATCAGTCCCGCAACAGAGATATTAACCTAAACGTGGAAGGCTATATTTTGAATGTAAACCTTTTTCCTCGTCTGCTCTCAAAGCTTCTGGTTGCCACAGCAACGATGATGATCTCAAAGTGACTCATCTTTTTGGTGTCTATCACACCGCGGGAGCTCTACGCACCCCAACCGCATGAGGGCTGAAGCCTCTTCAAAGTCCGTCATTCATGACCCAAAACCTGCCGTCTAAATAAATGTCCTTGTCGCTGCAAGGTCACAATAGTAAACATAATACTGTAGTGGAAATAATGAATAAGGACACTCCTAGTTTTTATGGAATCTGCTACTTGCCGAGCTGCTCTCAACAATAAGAGGAAGAGCTCAGGAAACATTGATCAAAAATTGCTTGCATATGATATTTTGTTTATAAATGTGAGAGGCTGCGATAACATCAGATGAACTAGCAAGTCTTGCTTAAAGGGCAAGTCAGCTCAAAAACATTCTTTACAATATGTCCTTTGCGCCTTCATGCTGATTAATATTGCCTTTGTGCGACTATGAATTAAGCAGCAAAATTCATCTGTTTTGCCCCATCTAAGGGGGCGGCCATTTTGCCACATGCTGTCGACTGAAAGAGACATCGCAGTTGCTCATGTAACGGCCAATTGTGGCTCAGTTTGCAAACTTCATGTGACCAAACTCAGAAAACAAGTGGGCCTCAGAATTGAGGCTTCCAGTCATTTACTGACACCCCTAGAATTAATTATCTGCCAAACGAAACATAAAACAAAGACAATTATAGTGTGCATATTCAAAACAACCACGTAGCTTAGCCTTTCAGTTCACAAGCATAATGTTAAATAGAATCCATGATGTGGTTCTATACCAGCAAGCAATGGACCAAACATAAAGTGATTAGCGGTACATGTAAATACAACAATTGTATCCTCTGCCAAGAACAACTGCTGTATTCGTGCTGTGCTAATGAACTGGGACAAGTTGAGAAGTCTCAATGAACACTAATATTCATCTGCCTGTCTTATACTGCTCCTAGGTGGCCAAGGCGATCACCACAGAAAGAGCATGACAATGACCCTTCAATCGATGCAGTGTGACAAAACTGTTTTTTATTCTATTCAATTATCATCACTGTATGTTTTTATTAAGTACTGCTAATTTTTTCCTCATTATAATACAAGCAGCATTTTTGTTGTTTTGGGAGGAAGACTGAAATGGATTAAGGGCATTTTTACTCAGTATAATGGCAAAACAATGTATCTCAAGGCACTGCTTGAGACCTCTGATACCCAAACACTGCATATTAGAAAGAGATCATCAGATGTGCCGTGGGAAATTATGCAACTCCAATCATCCATCCAACCATTTTCTGAACCTATGAGATTTAGATGAATTTATTAACAATAAATGTATTTGTCTATCTATATCAGGGAAATAGTGGGAGACAGGAAAAAAATTCAATGCTCTTCCACTTCATTGCAGACAGTACAACTAACCAAACCTTAATGACATTGTGAGAAGGTGTGCCTTGAGATTTTGCTAATGTAAAATATTTGCCTTGGCTCAAGAAAGGTGAGAAAGAACTGCACTATATAATTCAAACTGATAAATCCAAAGCAACAGGTGGGGCTTGTCTTCTTTTAGAAGGCTTGCCAACCAGTATTTCTGCAAACTCACTTAAAAGTTACACGTTTCACTTTCACACACAACTGGTTGAATAAGGTAGTGGATGGAAGTCAGTGATCCGGGTGTGATTCTGAGCAGTGGGCATAACCTGTCACGGTGATGGCCTATTTCAATCACCCACCAGACCTCCATCATCATCCTCTTACCTTTGAGCTGAGGCAGGGACGAAAGCTCCACCGGGGCGATCTGAGTCCTGTACTGTGACGAGCTGGGAGATTTTCTCTGTTTCTGGGCCTTCCTCACCGACTTTCTCGTAAATCCGTCCACTTTTTCGGCTGCAGAGATGGCCGACATTTTGATGCGGGAGTCGAGGACGATCCGCCGTCGCGCTCCTCGTCAGTCAGATTCGCAAAAACAAGGTCTTCTCCTCGGTATGTTTCCTTCCCCCCTCCCCGAGCGTTCGCATCCGCACAAAAATGTGGAGCAACCTGCGCAACTTGACGCTCGCCTCCTGTCACAAACCGGCGACGTTACTCAGCGTGATCCGACATTGCTTGTTTGAGGACGTTGCATCTTATGTACGGCTTGCTGTTTTCGGGCGACAATCTTCAACGGGCAATGCAAAATAGCCAAACTACAACTCGACATAGCCTCTTGGTACAACCAACAAGTCACTTGCTTGTAGGGAAAAATGGCCGTGGACTTTCTGCCAACGTCGTTTTGTTTAAATGCTTATAAAATATTGACCCGTTCCCCGCAAATCCAATTGCAATACCGCGATAAAGTTGTCGGGAGATGTGAATGTACGCGGCTAACTACTGTACTGTACTGCGCGCTGGTAGCTAACATGTACCTAGCATAACTAGCTTGTTAGCATAGCTGACTTAAGACGGACACGGCAGTACTACAGATTGTTCCATCATCAAGATTCGAGGCGAAGAAAGTAGAAGGTCCGTGTAAAGCCGCGTGGGTCATCGCATAAACAGCAAAAAAATATTTATATATCCGTGTTCGAAGACCGCTTTTACCGCTGCTGAGTATTTTCACTCGCGGTCGATGAAGTTCAAATTCTCACTACGCCTTAAACACGTAAAAGTTAGCCGCGTGCCCAGGCGTGTCACACGGTGTTAGTTACGTCCCCTACCGAAACGATGATTGTAATTACCATTCGGCACCTCCCGCTAATGCGAATATTTTCTTCTATGTTTCAAATTTCCGAACGTCTGCAGCGAGTCGGCAGCCATAAACAACCACAGCACCGCTGCTATGTCGTTGTGTTTCGACCTACAGTACAGTTCGGTAGACTGCATCGCCTGACGGATATTTGATTGACGTCCCCAGAAACTAATCAGGGAAGAGAATGTACCAATCAGGAAACTTTTTAACCAATAGAATAGGATAACTAGCGGACCTTAACACGTGACACGTGAAAACAAATACAGTACAGGTACAGTCCTTTTCTGAACTTGCAGATAAACATGAAAATAAGATCATCTTTAAATGTTTCCCTATCTATCTATAAGGGGCATTTGTTATTTGATAGTTTAAGTCAATTTCGTTGCTTTGTTCTCTTGTACACGTGTAATGACATTAAAGATCAATTCCATTATTTCACAATATGGCGATAGTATATTAACACAGCATTTTAAATAGAATTTTTAGAACAAAAAGAAATTTAAGTTAAAAAAAACCTAGGGATGTAATGCACATTCATCAAAAAATAAAAAGCCAAGAACACCATTTACAGTTTAATTTTTTTTTTCATTTTAATAAAAAAATCTGCCCACTCAACTGTACATCACAAACAAACCATACAACAACCACTTGCTATTTTGTACATATTAACAACTGGAGCATTACCTCAAGAACAAGAAAAAACGGTTAGCAGATAACAGCTGATGTGCTTCAAGGATGAGTATCGTATGTTCATAGAAAAGAATAGAATAATTAGTATTTTAACTTTCATCGTTCATGGGCCATTTCAATTTATTCAAATGTCAAACATCTAAAAATTTGTGCATAAACAATCGGATAAAATTGAGTAAGTTCTGTCAAACGCAGTTGCTAAACATAGCACATTAGAGTAAAAGAATTACCAATACTCAGAGAAAAATTCCACTACAAACTTGTCAATCAGTGACTGCACAAGCATGGAAAACGGTGAGGAGGCACTAATAAACTATGCCCCAATGAATATGAAATAGTTCAATGTTATGTTAAGGAAAATTAATCAGTGATCAATTATGCAGTTCGAAGCAGTTTGTTAGCTCCCGATACAATAACCTATAACACAGTATACACAGTATCACAAACTAAAAGATGCTGATGGGTCACTCTGTGAGTCTCCTCGTGAAATAGGAAGATATTTTTTTCATGTTCTGCAGCGAGCTCAAAGTCTGAAAAAGTAGATAAGAGAATGTATTAGATGACACTTTTCATTTCAGTTACATCTTACATCATGGTCTGCAAATTTTCTATTCACTTCCTAACAGTGACTCTTGATGAAGTGGTAAGAGAGCTGAGCGTGATTTTCTCGACTGACAACATATTCAGAATGCCTGAATCATCATGGCTGGCGTTAACAGCAGGAAAGAACCCAAAGAAATGGTTCTCTTTTGTGCCTTCTGAAGTGCAAATTAAACTACTATGTTATTCAAGTGTGCAGTTTCTAAGTCCTTAATTGGTGGAGTCTGGTCCAAACCCTGGACCTTTCTATACAAAACCCAGACTTAATATCAGCTTATTTGGACTAATGCCTGTAATTTACTCAGTGCAACTTTGTGGGGATTTACTGTAGTAATTGCAAGCATCCAGGAATAGCACAGAGCAATCATGTGTGTTTTAATACATTCCTTGTGACTCTGTCAACCAAAGTCCTTCCTGTTTGATATGAAACTCAATGAGAAATATCAAAATATGTTAGTATACAAAAGAATTGCACGTTGAAAAAAAAAACGGAAAATAACTACACCTCGAGACAGCAAGATATTTGGGACTGAATTGCTCAAAATGCATGTCTGCCTCACAGTTCTGAGGTTCAAGGTCCAAATTCCTCGCACATTCCAAAAACACATGCGTGGTGACAATGAGGGCAATTTGTGTAGAAAATGAATGGATGCTATTCATTCTGATGTACAAGACAAGACACTTGACTGAATTTAACTGGTTCCCTTTAAAGGCAAATTAAGGAGCCTGAGGGGAGAGTTTGACAACAAGCAGTTTAAAAAAAAATAAAACATTCGAGATTGTGCTTACCGGTGAAGCTGGCATCTTGCCTGCTTGTTTCTTTGCAGCAGCGGGGCTTCGCGGGCTACGCGGGCTTCCTCTCATCTTTTGGCTCATCACTGACAGCCAGTCTGTCATCCCAGGGCAGTAGTTCTCTTTGCCAATCTGTCTTGATGATGCTCGCCCTTCCTCAATATGATTGTCAGTCTGTAGCAGACCCTTTTGAGTTGGGCGGGAAATGCCAGACTGGGCCCTGCTCTTTTTGGAAACAGGGGAGAGTTCTGAGACACAGTCGAACGGCTTTGCGCCCTCACATTCATCAGATGAGCCGTTGGCCGTCTCCAGCCTGCGTTTGGCTCGTGGTGCCATGGTAGAAGTGGAACCCACTGAACTCTGAGAACACGAACTCAGAACTTTACACTGCAGAGGGCTCTTCTGGCTTGGAGATCCTTGTCTAGGGGAGAGCCATGATTTGATGGAACGTGGTGTTTTCTGATAATTAGTGGCTTTGGCTTGCTGAGAAGGGACAGGTGACGCGGTGCAAGAGGATAGAGGTAAGGCGGCCATACTGGGAGCACAGGCAGCGAGGCGCGGAGAGGCCGGCCCTCCAATGCTCTCGGCCCTCTGGTCTTTAGCAGGGGTTGTCTCGGGGCGGTTTGAAAGTTCTAAAAACACAACATTAAGATGTAAGATTTTCTAATGTACTAATACGTCTGAATAGGAATTTAGCAGCTGTTTACAAAAATGGTCCTTACTGTGTGGACTCTTAGGACGTGCCCAGCCAACGAGATTGGCCTCTCCCACTGAGGACGGCGCTCCGTCCATTTCACGATGAAGGCGCCAGATACGTACAGTGTGGTCATCAGAACACGAAGCGAGCTGCCATGAGAGGATTTCCAAAAAGAGCAAAGGAAATCAATCTTATGTACGGCAGTTGTACGGCAACCGTATTGCAAGTATGCAGCAGTGCACAAAGCATCATTCTACACCATCAAGTCACCTTTGTGAAGTCTGTTGGACACCATGCAACAGATGTCACTTCCTGACTGTGACCTTGAAGAGTCATGGGAGGGTGCGTAGGATCAGAGATCTGAAATGGACAAATATGCACAGGTATTCTGATGATTTAGTATCAAAGCCAATAAGTAAAAATGTACTTATTTTTTTAACATCATGAATATGTACCTTCCAGATGTATGTGTGGTTATCACTTGAACCACTGGCCAAGAATTGGTCATTTGGGCAAATTGTGGACTTGATGTAAAAAGATGAGTTTTGGTGGCCATTGAACACTGCCTCTGTGGGAGAAAACATACTGAAATGACGAACACAAATACCATTGTGTGCCAAAATTATTTAGCAACTTTAGCAGCGACTTTTAGGGCATCGTTTTCAAACGGTGGATGTGTTGTAATTGAATTTCACAATAAGTCAGTCTTGCAAACCGACCCTGTCGACATCACGACTATGATAAGACTGTAGTGAAGCCTCTTACGTCAAAATTTCACTGAAGTATAACAATTCGGCATTTGGACAACATTTCTTGGAAAATAGGTCTCTAAAGTCAAACAAAACCTGTTTCTAACAGTTTGACCCTTGATTATTTCCATAACTTCCTCAGGCTAAAATCCGAGGTAGACGAGCATTACTTCATATCAGATATCTAGATATTTAATCTAGCTAAATTAACAATTTTTCTATCTGTCAGTCTACCCCAGAGTGTTGTGTGTTGGACCTCAGAATTCGGCTTTAATAAAATGACATCTACTAGCAAACACCACAGAAAAACAAAAAGACCTCTGGTGTTGTGCTGCTGTATTCATTTTTTGTTTATAGCGCCATCTAGTGATAAATATTGTTTAAAAAAAATAGAAATGACGCTGGATTTTGTTGATCAAGACACCTACAAAGCGTAGCTGTTGGTTTACCTGGTGTAGTTTTGATTCCACTGACATTGAACATGTAAATGTTGTCATCGGTGCAGTTGCACATGACATTGGATCTTGTGGAGTCCAGGACGAGACCAGAATATCCTGGAATGCAAGCAGAATAATGTGTCGATTTTGCTGTCATTTGAACAGAAGTTCTTGTGGGCAATAATCAAAAGAGGAAAACTCACCAAGACGCACGCGCATAGAAGAACCGGGATACGGGTACGTCTGCAGCGCCACAGGTTCATGATGGTGTGCAGTGTAGTTTTTCCTCAGGTCCCACATCTTAATAAATCTTTTACAATTAATTTGAGAAACATGGTTAAACTGAAATTCATTGAGCAAAGTTAAAAGTAACATAAGCATCCGAGGGGGGGGGCGTCTCACCCATCAACTGCTCCCGAGGAGATGAGCGTGTGCTGATCTTGAAATAAAACCACAGTTACACTCTGCAATGTGTCCTGTAAAACATTGAATTGTCAGAATTTCCGCGGCACAAGGCTGCATGCGCTTGGGCGAAACTTTGCTGAGGAAACTCACCACACTGGGGCCCATGCCGCGCGTGCTGAGTCGTCTCTTCTTTGGTTTCGATGCGGAGTTTGTCTCTGCTTTTTTATGAGCACCCTGGATTTGTTTCACTGGTTTGTAGAAACCATCTATGAAGAATCCAAATTGTGAAGCAGTATAATTCGTCAAATCTGTCTGTTTTTTTATTAGAAAAGAAAAATGCAAATTGTACCTTTTTTGCTGCATCTGGTATCCCACACCAAAATGTTTCCATCTCTTCCACCAGTACAAAACACAGCTGTGAGAAGACAAACAATGTCAATGTAATATGAAATTATTTGTATTCGCAAACATAGTAGTTATCTATCCCTACATTTTCTGTGCCACTTACAGGCGGGGATGAAGCCTTTCCCAGGGCGAGAGGCGGGGTATACCCTGATTTGGTCGACAGCCAATCGCATGGCACATATAGAGTAACAACCATTCACAGTCAAATTCAACCTAAGGGCAATTTATAGTATCTAATTAACCTAAAAAACACGTTTTTAGAATGTAGGAGGAAGCCAGAGCACCCAGAGAAAAACTTCAATAAGCACAGGGGGAATATGCAAACTCCACGCAGGTGGTCTGGAGCCTGGATTCGAACCCCCAACCTCAGAACTGTGGGACGGCTCTGCTAACCACTCATTCATTGTGTCGCATGGATAGTCAGGTCATATATTTTCCCCTTGTTGATCAATGAGAAGCAGCGCTCCATCTTGCTTTTTGAAAAATAAGAAGTTATACCTTTGTCATCTGAAGTGAATGCAACAGATTTGAGGCTGCAGAGGTGGCCCTTGAAGCTGCCTAACAGCTCGCCTGACTTCACATCCCACAACCGGGCCATTTGGTCACCTGCAGCAGTCACCTAAGACGGATACATGACAATATTTAATATATATATATATATATATATATATATATATATTTTTTTTTTTTTAAAGAGAATAAACAAATTTTGTGTTCAGTGTTTGTACATTGCTTGAGATGGAATGATATCAGAAGAACTATAGTGATTACTCAAGTATTTGAAGGGTATTACATGCCATACAGGGTTAGTATGGACTATATCTTACCAACTGCGACTCTCCAGGCACCCAGGCTATGTCAAAGACGGCATTCTCATGAGCCAGCCATTCTGCAAATATACACAGAATTAGCTTCGATTCCAAAATGATAGGAGACTGCACAAAAGGTGTCATGGAGCACCTTTCACAAGTCCGTTTCCGCGCCCCTCTGTGTTGTAAATCCTAACAATGCCTTCTTCATTTGCCACAGCCAGAACATCCTGAATCGCCTTTGCTGTGAGAACATGAATACAGCATAGCGTCAAATGTATGTTAATGCACATGTGGTCATCTGATTATCAGTATCAAGTGCTCTACCAGAGGAGAAGGATAATCCAAACGGGGGCACGGAATCACCGAGGTTGCCATAGGAGATGTGTTCATCAAGACGAACACACTGATAGCCTTCCAGAAGTGAGCTCAGAGGGTATTTGGTCCAGGGATGTGCAGGTAACGCTGGACAGATTGACACATGGAAATATCATTTGAAAGGTGTTACTTTCCCTAGCAATTTGACAACTGCTACTCTGGTAATGGCTGCGGTAACTGAAAATGACCTTTACAACTCATTTGTTACAGATCAATTGCCTGCAGTGGGGCAAGCACTAAATAAAAATATCATATTAATGTTCAGTTGCAAAGTATTATCCCACAACTTTAACCAAATGAAGGAGTCCATCAGTTCAATCAAAATGTAATTTGTACATTGGACAAGTCCGTTACTGGAGAATAGATGTCGGAAAATTGTGTAACTAATTTAAAGCACAACCACAGTCAAGTAGATCACCGATTTTAAAAGGTAATAATAGTTCATTCATATGGACATCTGCTCGATTAAACCAATGCAGCACGTCAAATCAGATTATTCTTCGTTTTAACTGACGCCCAAATCGAGCCAAATAGCAAAACAACTTGGGATTTGGGTATTTTAAACTGGTATTATATCTGTCACACTGCTAAACAGAACTACTCGTTCTTTTCAAAAACGCACATTTTGTCTTACCATTCTGCCGTAGTCTGCCGAGACGATTGTCAACAATTGAACGAAAAAACATCCCTGTGCTTCTGTGGGAGCCGATCTGATTATTCTAAAATATATTGATGTGAATTTGTTAGCCTGCAAAGTTGGTAAGCTATTTATCTTATGTGGTGGTGGTAAGCTGTGTTGGTTAACGTAGCTTTTCTTTCCCGCGAAACGCAATGACTGAATTTCGCGCTAGACCAGAGTTCTGCGTCACCATTGGTCGTTATTGTAACTTCCGCTCCTATGGAACTTCCAGTTCCTCTTTCTTTGCGCCACTTGCCTTTAAAATTAAAATATGTCATTTAAGACTTCGAACATTTATGAATTGTAAAGTATGAACACGAATTATTTCTAAGTCAAGTAATTTTTGAGTGGATTTCTTTTCTTTTTTCCTGTAATGCGTGTAGTTTCGAATTAAGCTTGAATCAGAAACACTCATCTGGGTAAGCAATGTATTTTTTTTCTATGGCAAATGATATGATCACATGTAATTTGTTTACCAAATACCATCAGGTAAAAAAATAACATAAAATAAATACATGTGGAAGTTATTTTTTTTTGTGACAATGTAGCGGATGAGGGCTCGGTCGCGTCTACATCCGGTCGTCTACATCCGGTTTGAATATGAACGTGAAATATATATGCTCGTGTTTGTTCCTTCAAATGTGAAATATTAGGGCGGAAAATAACCAAAATGTCTCTTTCAACCGCACGTTCATTCCTGTCGGAGGCTTGCTATGGCGAGCAAGAACTTGACGCCAATTCCGCACTCTTGGAGCTTGACAAAGGTGCCAACTGGCTAGCCTGCTAACGAGTTAACTTAGCTTCCAGTTCTTATTGATTGTAGCCAAATAAGCAGGTCATGTCTTCCGTATGATGCTGTTGTAATTGTAGGACATTGGTATGTCTTGTATCTAATGTGCTTTTATTCCAGGGCTGCGATCCGGAAAGCCTGGAGAGCAGTGTGAAGCCGTGGTGCTCTTCCCAAAGCTCTTCCTCAAGTATCCCTTTCCCATCCTCATTAACTCTGCATTTCTGAAACTCGCAGACATCTTCAGACTTGGGTACGGTTGTTCAGTCTGAATTATATTCAAATGGTTGTCAAACTTTTTGTAACTCATAGTGCATTGTACTAAACGAATAACAGGACGAGCCCATACTAAAAACAAGTTCATTTCTCTGATTTTAGGAACAACTTTCTTCGACTTTGTGTACTAAAAGTAACACAACAGAGTGAAAAACATCTGGAAAAAATCCTCAATGTGGACGAATTTGTCAAAAGGGTGTTTTCAGTCATCCATAGTAATGACCCAGTGGCCCGAGCCATTACTCTGAGGTAATTTATATTGGAAATGTTGATTAGAAAATAACATTGTATTCTTTTCAATTATTGCCTTCTATGTTTTATGTACAGCACTATGTTCCAGCTGCAGTTGTTGTTACAGAGCTATATAAATAGAGCTATGAGCTACATAAATAAATGAAAGAGTAATCGCCCAGCCCGACTATATAGGCAGGCATCATTGCATCTGCACTAACATCGAAGCAATAACAGTCTACAACCATGTTTTTCTCTTCTCAACAGGATGCTTGGCAGTTTGGCCTCCATCATCCCAGAAAGGAAGAATGCCCACCACAGTATTCGCCAGAGTCTCGACTCACATGACAATGTAGAAGTGGAAGCTGCTATATTTGCTGCAGCCAGCTTTTCTGCACAGTCTAAGTAAGGATATACTATACTGTCAACATAATTGCTATTTTGTGAAATGTTGGACTTTCCACTGCAATTTCTTTTAGTAAAAAAGATTTCTTTGAATAGACAATCTTATTTTTCTACTGTTTACTGTTTGCAGAGTCTTTGCAGCTGGTATTTGCAACAAAGTCAGTGAGATGATTCAAGGTAATATTTTAAATGATTGAGAATTCTTGAAAAGGTAGCTAACATCAATTCCAATAATTTTCTTTCTACAAAAAGTAGCAACCTGTAGATTGTGTGATACTCTTGTTTAACAAATCCTGTTCCTTTGTCTTAACGCCACCTCAGGTTTGGAGACGCCCGTGGACCTGAAACTGAAGTTGATCCCCATGCTGCAGCACATGCACCATGACGCCAGTTTGGCATCCAGCAGTCGAGAACTTTTGCAAAACCTGGTCACCTCTTACCCCTCCACACCCATGGTCATTGTCACCCTACACACCTTCACCCAGCTTGCTGCCTCCTCCCTGATTGACATACCCAAGCAGGTAGTTACCTTTTGGATAAAATCATACAATTTTTACTATAAGGGCCCTTTGAACGCCTTTTATTTTGATTCTGTAGTTGCAGCTCCTCCTTCAATACCTGAAAGATGACCCACGCAAAGCCGTCAAGAGGCTGGCAATTAATGATCTCAAGCTTCTAGCGAAGAAGGCCCCTCATCTTTGGATAAGGGAAAACACACAGGTACTTCAGCTGTGGACAAGTGTCTTCATTTTGTTATGAGTAGCATGGTATAAACTGCACAGAGTGCATAAAAAAATGTGAACTTTTTTTTTGGAACACATTATGGTAAACCTGATCAAATTTTCATTTTCACTTGCAGACATTGTGTGAGTGTGCACTCAGCAGTCCGTATGATAGTTTGAAGCTTGGCATGTTAGCTGTGCTGTCCACCCTCTCAGAAACAATTGCAATTAAGCAGTACTTTAGTCAAACAACAGGTAAGCGGCATTCTGTTTTTATATTATATTGAATTAAATATTATATTTGCACCGCCTTCTCATATGCTTTAAATCGTTAATTGAATCATTTCAATTCAAAACATTTTCTTCAGTGTCCGGTCCTCCTCGGATCACCGACCTTGTGAACTTAGCCCAGGACTGCTGTTACCACAGCAACCTGGCTGTCGCTGCTCATGGGGTCATCGTGCTCTCCAACATTGTCATTTCCTGTCCAGAAAAAGGTATGTTCAATGTCCGCTGATGTCTTATTTTTTGGACACTCTTTGTGCTAGCTACTTACAAGCGCTTCCTTTTCATAGCGCACAGCCTTATATTTGTCTATGATTGTATGTCCTCAGATATTACCCATCTGGAGCAGGATACAGTCTTAGGGCTGGAATCTCTGCTGATGCTTTGCAGTCAAGACGGCAGCCCCAGTGCCCAGGCTACACTTAAAGTAAAGCAGTTGATCATTCAATACAAATGAAGATATTTGCACTGCAGCCTTGCTCTTTTGTTTAGGCATTTAGTGGAATGTTTAGGGGAGTACTTTATTGTTATTTATAGCCATACAAAAAGATTCTTGGCCATCACTGGGACCCTGGTTTCTTTATTAGGTAATCTGAATATAAATAGCGTAACTAATTTTGTAGTCTTAATTTTAGGATGAATCATGTGGAGCTCAGTAGTTCTTACTTAACATGTAACATAATAGGTTTCATCATAATTACCATTAACTCAGTCATCTAATGCCTGATTGAATTCTCATGACTAAATATTTTTTTTAGTTCGCTTACAATTTTCCAATTCTGTGATTTTAGACCACTCTCACCTCTTTAGTCAAGCTGCTGAAGAGTCGACCTCACCTCAGTCAGTCTGCTGTGGAATTCCTGCTTGGTCAACTCCACTTGTCATGTGACTCCTCTCGCGTGCTCATGTGCCACACTCTGTCAGCCATTGCCACCCATCTGCCGGTGCTGGGAGACAGCATGCTGGGGGATCTAGTAGACCTCTACCGGGTGGCTAGTCACTCGTCCACCAACAAACAGCAAGAGCTCCTGGTAAGAAAAGTGCACACACCCCACCTACTGTGTAACATTTAAATGTAGTTTTCATTTGCAATGACACTTTAACCAACGCTAGCTACTCTGCTGCTAATAGCTTTTCACCAATTTGTTTTTAGTCAGGTTCCACAAAAGAATTGCTTCTGGTGAATCATGAATCACAAGGGGTTCACTCGACTCAAAGCTTTACTGTTGATCTTCCAGCCCTCATTTTTCTTTCCATCTTCTGTGATCCCACTCAGGTGTCTCTGGCCACTGTGATTTTTGTCGCCAGCCAGTCATCACTGTCAGCAGAAGTAAAGACCGTCATCAAACAGCAACTTGAGAATGTCGCCAATGGTTGGACCGTATACCGGATCGCACGGCAGGCCTCCCGCATGGTAAACATGGACTTTACCAATCGCATATTATTGATCATAAAGCAGTTCCAGCAAATGGTTCTGTGCTCAATGGTGGAGGTGAAAGGGGAGGCTTTTATTTTTTTTAACATATCAAGCATGAGAAGACGTCAACTGCTGTCCATTATCTATAACACGAATGGTATGTTTGCCAGGCCTGAGGTAGATGCATCGATGACCAGGGACGCTTCCACCGAACTCGAACCGCACCCTTGCCCCTCCAGCTGCATGACACTGCCACCAACGGGCCACTAGTTCAATAGCAGGCAGCCGGCATAAGGACAGTTTTGTCTAAGGACACATAAGAGGCGCTGTAACAGTGTCTCGATGTCCCCTAGTAGTCCCACTCCAGCATTACTGTAATAAAATAAAATATAATTTAAATTATATGTGTATGTAAAGGGTATTGTAGTCACCACTATGGGTACACTGTTCACTACACACTTTATACTGCTGCGTAGAGCTCTGCGTGGTTGCGTGAAAGTGTTCTCCTGAATCCACAGGGGTGCCACGAGTTCTCCAGCGAGCTGTACCAGAGTCTGCGAACCCGCGTGGCATCGGAGCACTTCTACTTCTGGCTCAACAGCCTCAAGGAGTTCTCCCAGGCCGAGCAGTGCCTGACACACATGGAGGACGGAGACTACAGCGGAGCCATGAGTGCCATTGCCGAGGCCCTGCGCTCCTACCAAAAGGGCATTGCCTCCCTCACAGTCAGTTAACTGCCAGGCATCTGGCTGCCATTAAATATTTATTTCACTAACTCCATCACGAGTGACAGATGCTCCGAGCTGATGATCCTCTTGATAGTCTTGGTGTTGGATGGGATCCCACGCAGCCTGTTAGCGGATTAATGTGCATAATACCTGCCTGTATCTTGTCAGTTCATCTTGAGGCATGTGCGACTGCAGCGTTAATGTAAGGTTATGTGATTAATCCTCCCCTCCAGGCGGCCAGCACTCCTCTAAATCCACTTACATTCCAGTGTGAGTTCATTAAGCTACGCATCGACAACCTGCAAGCACTGTCCCAGCTGATTTGCACCTGCAACAGCCTCAAGACAAGCCCCCCTCCGGCCGTCGCCACCTCCCTCGCTCTGAGCACGGGCCATGACCTGCAGAGCTGCGGCCGCATCTCTCTGCAGGTAAAATAAATATATTAATTTCTATAGAACAAAGCTGTGTTTAAGGCGGGATTTCCCTCCATCCATCCATATTCCTTTCTGCCTATCCCAAGTAATCATTGTCCTTATTGTTGTTTATCCTAAGATGGTGTACAATACATGTCATTGGGATGGCAATACTCTTTTAAGGATAAGCAGTACAGAAAATGATGGTTAAATAGTAAAATAAAAATATGAGAATAAAGTGTTACTTTAATATTAAAATGTACGATTGTACATGTACAATTTTTTTTTTTTACCTCATTTCAGATGAAAGTATGTATGGATGAGTTCAAAAGTCTCGCCGCCCGCTATGCAGAGTTACACCAGTCATCGTTTGATGCTGACTACGCCACCCTCCGAAATGTGGAGCTGTATCCTCTTTGAGAAAGCACCGATACTTGTATTGGTATTGCTGCCAATTCTGTCATTAGTCATATAAAAAAAAATAAAAAAATGCTCCGATACGCTAACATCGATACCACTTTACCAGCCTGATGTACAGTACAACTTACAGGCACATGAAGTAGGATCCAAGTCAGCCATGTGGAGATAATTTTGTCCTTCTTTGTCTCTTACCTATTTCCTTTACATTGTGCCCCCGTGTTCAGCCAGAAACACCACATACTGTAACTAAAATGCCTTGTGTTACAGGTTACATGTAAGTCAACTGTGTGGCAAACAATATTTAAACTAAGCCCATTGTGCATCGCAAGTTGCAAGACCGAATAGCACTATCAATTGTCAGTCCCCAAATACAACTATTTGTACTTATACTCTGTCTAGGGGAAAAAAAGGTGGTAAAGGTGCATCCCTTTTTCACCTCTGTCTCCGCACGTTGACTGATGTGTTCTCTGCCGTGATGGTTTTTTTTTTCTTCCTTAACTGCCTGGTTAGACAACAACAGAGCTGTCTGCTCGTCTCTCACGTGATCGAGACTCTAATATTGGAGCCGCAGGCTGTCAGGTAAGCGCTGGCTGCAAGACTGATTTATGCTACAATATTCAGTCATAATACATTTTTCATAGAATTTGCTATGATTCCATAGTGGCACATTACCAACTGCTGTTTAGTCAAACATATTTTAGTTTCTTTTTTTTTCTGACCTCCACTGGTCTGACATTTGATAAGATTAGTCATGTCCATGTGGTGCCTTGTCGGAGACGCTTCAGTGAAATGTCAATGTAGTTTATATGCATGCTAATGAGTTTGCGCTGCACTGTTTCTATGTTGAGTGTTGCATCAATACACTAAAACGCTGCATAAAATTAGCCAAGAACTGATCACTTTGTTCTGTGTGTGTGTGTGTGTGTGTGTGTGTGTGTGTGTGTGTGTGTGTGTGTGTGTGTGTGTGTGTGTGTGTGTGTGTGTCTCGTGTAGTTACCAGGAGTATGGCCCCCTTGGCTCAGTTCAGTCAGAAAGTGAATATGAGCGACGGATGATGTCAGTCTTTACCCACGTGCTTGAGGAAGTGGAGACCCTAAACAAGAAGCATCCACCTGTGTCGTACCTGGTAATAAATAAATGAATAAAAATATATAACAGTATATATAGTGTCCAAATTTAACTCCTGTCTTTTTCAGCATACAGGTTGTCTTTGTGATGCCATCATAGCACTGCTGAAGGTCCCTCTGTCTTTCCAGAGGTATTTCTTCCAAAAGCTTCAGTCTACCAGCATCAAGGTAAATTGAGTTTTTTTTTTTCCATTAGACCATAAAAGCACAAGTTATCAACAGACTAAGCCCTAATACCTTACATGGTATTCTAAAGGTACATGTCAATCAAGTAGTCATGTTACTCAGATTTATTAAACACAGAGGAAAATACTTTTTAGAGAGCCACTGCCTAATTTCTACATTCGATTAGTCTTACGTTTGTTTTTCTTATGTGGTGTTCTTATTTCTAGGACTTGTAAATTTAGGGGTTTTGTTTGCAGTATGATCATTGAAATTCTTTAAAAAAACATGAAACGTGTGTAACGAATCTAAAGATTTTATAAAATTCACTGATGAATTGAGCGACTGAAATAAGTAAAATGTTTGACAATTCAAATTTATTTCGATGAACTTGTTGATTGTATGTGTAGCTCGAGTGAGCTTTTCAGTGTTCTGTTTTGAATGTTGGAATGGCTGACCCGTGTCTTGTCTTATTTCTCCAGCTTGCCCTCTCTCCGTCCCCACGAACACCAAACGAGCCTATCCCAGTGCAGAACAACCAGCAGCTGACTCTCAAAGTAGAGGGGGTGGTTCAACACGGTTCCAGCCCAGGGCTCTTCAGGAAGATCCAGTCAGTGTGCCTCAATGTCACATCCACTCTCCAGAGCAAGGGTCCGGGAGCAGACTATAAGGTATTTATCTTGTCCATGTATCCAGATGTTGCAAATTATGTTTGAAATATCATGCTGATTCATTTTTATCCCCGCTTCTGTGTATTGTACTTTTTATGATATAAAAGAAAGAAAGCAAAAGAGCAATGGATGGTCTCGAAAATCGATTTATTGAGATGCATATTGTAATATGTTTTAAATAAGTATCGTTAACAAGCCCTCCTTACAGTTCTTCCTTCTACCTTTTTACAGTCAGTTTTTTTATTTTTAATCGAAAATTGGCGAGCGTCTTAATAGATTGGATTGATACCTTTCAGATACCTCTGGAGAGTACAACCAATGAGATCGAGCAACGGGTGGAACCCCACAATGACTACTTCAGCACCCAGTTCCTGCTCAATTTTTCCATCCTGGGCACTCATGCTGTCACTGTGGAGGCTTCTGTTGTGGACGAGAGCGGCATCGAGTGGAAGACGGGGCCTAAGACCACACTGTCAGTCAAGTCCATGGAGGATCCATACTCCCAGCAGCTCCGCCACCAAATGCAACAAAGCGCAGCTCAGCCTGCTCCTCAGAGGAGTGCATACAGTCGCTTTTAGTTAATCTCAACTCAACTCAATTCAACTGTATTTGTAGAGCACTTTCAAACAGCCATCGCTGCATACAAAGTGCTGTACATGGAGCAATTTAACATATACAACAAACAGTAAAGCAAATCGGTAATAAAGACGGTAGAAAGCACCAAACAGCAAAACCAAGAACAAATCTCAGTCATGCTGAGTCAAATGCCAAAGAACACAAGTGAGTTTTGAGGCGGGTTTTGAAGATGGGCAGCGAGGAGGCTTGCCGAATGTTCAGTGGGAGGTCATTCCAGAGAGCGGGACCAGCAACAGAAAAGACTCGATCCCCTCTGCGCCTCAGTTTAGTTCTTGGTACTTCTAATAATGTCTGGTCCGCAGACCTGAGGCGCCGGGCAGGTGTGTAGGGGCGGATGAGCTCAGAGAGGTAAGGTGGCGCGAGGTCATTCAGTTCTTAGTTAGTCATTTAATGTTCTTAGTTACAGCTACTCACTTGTCTGTGTGTACATATTTGTTCCAGTGATTAAAAGACTAGATTTAATATGTGATGATCTTTTGGATTTTTTTTTCCTCTCAAGGACACGATAACTGAATTCCACACAGTACTCTCTCCAGACAGGATGCAGTCCAGGTGAAGATTTTCTGCATAAAAGCCAGTCAACAGGTAATGCAAAATTGCTTGGAAATCCATGACCCTTTCTTAACCCATTAATATTAAATGCAGTAATCTCTAGGACATTTAAGTAAAGGATGCCCTTGGATTGCGTTCTTGTTTTTCACGAAAAGCACCATCAGGGGGCAGACTAATCATGATCATTTGTAAGAGGTATGTACTGTACTCAAACTGTAATTCCAAACAAAACATTGCTGTTGCATTGATTGACTACATATTAGCAATCGTGGTAAATATCGTTATTCTATATCGATGTAAATTGGATTTTTTTTTTTTCATGATGAAAATGGAAGCATGTACTTGCCTTTCAACATTAAACTCACGCCCTCTCTCTGGCGAAGTAATGCGACTATAGCAGGATGTAGCGACGATCGATTTGCTAATAAGATAATAAAACCATCATCATTTGACAAGAGAGCTTGCGCACTTCGGCGAAGAGGAGACTACTACCAGGTGAGCGCGAGAGAAGAAGTAAAATGCGTGACTTCCGCTATGAGATTTCAGAATAAAGGATTCATTTTTGCAACTAACGGCCAGAGTCGGCGCGGTGTACTGTATAACAAATGAGTCAATTTACAACAAATTGTCAAACTTTCAGGTTTTTAAAAAATTATGCATTTTAAAGTGTTTCTCGAACAGTTGGTTAGGCAAAATGTATTTGTTGTGAAGGCATACGACTCACCTCCGCCTTCAGCTCCATCGGCGCTGGGCAACTCAACCCGTGTGAATCTCGATTTAAAGCGGATAGATAGATAAAGGGTCCAGCCAGCCTGCAAGAGCAATATCGCCGTTGAACCTATTTGACTGCTTTATGTCTTTACCATTCAACGCTTGTCGTGGCTGCCCCGACGCCTAAATCGGGGCTTGTCTTTTTCACGGAAGACAGGACCTCGAGAGAGATCTTAAACCAGACGACCATGATGGTGATGATGCATAGGTGGAATTATCACCCCGGTGTCTGACTGCGATGGAGCCGAGCGCGCTCGAGTGGAGCTCCTTGCTAGCTCTCTAGCGAGCTAGCTGGCTAACGGTGCCCGCCGGGACTCACTCAAGCAGCCCTGTAGAACGTCGCCTCGATGGGTGTGATTGCGGTTTGTTGCGACTTCACCAGACCAATTGAGCGATGTCCCCAGTTTTGACCAAAACACGGACCATATGTGCTGGAAAATGTGCTAAGTTATTGGTTTAGGTTTTTCCTGCACATGACGGCGTTCGCCTGCTTTCAACACATTCGCTTTTTTCTACATCATTAATGCTTTTTGGATGCTTCTGTGACATTACTTCGGTAAGTAATGACCTACCAGACGTCAAGTCAAAATCAGAGTCTGACTATAGCCTGGAGGTGCAAATACAGTAGAGCGCATTGGCGCTTACATTTAATGTCCATTCTAGTATGTACCTGCGCTTTTTTAATAGATTACAAGCGGTTTTATGTTTTGTATTTACGCATTTAAATGTCTGGGTTTTGGGGGGAAAAAAATAGAATAATCTGGCGTACTAGCACAGCCGACCCTGTGCTAGCTAGCTTGTCATGAAGTCCTTTCATGGTTCAACCTTTTCTGGCATTACAGTGGCGCCAAGGCAGCTTGGTCGAAGACACACAACCTTAAATAATTTTCATTTAAGGTCCTTATTCTGGCCTCACTCCGAATTGGTTATCGCTATGACCATCAGCATTTCTCGGGAAGCTTATCTATTGCTGCCACTCCAAAAAAAGCTCACTTGCACGCAATTACTGAAAAGTATCACATAATTAAGTGGAAGGTATCACAATATTTTTCACGTTATAACGTGTTAAGTTCCCGTTATATTTCAAGATATATTTTCAAAAACAAAATAAACTGAAAAGAGGCAAATAATTATAGAAGAGGTGTGACACAAGAATATGGCTTGTTTGCAGAATTCAATTAAAACTCGAAAGTGAGCCCACTTTGAATTCACAGGTTCAACTTTATTTGAACAGACTACAAGTAAACTTTTTGGAACAAAGATGTGAATTAAAACACACAGGATCAATAGTAGTATTCTGAAAATCAACCAACTTAAACTTAAAATGGCTGCAAAATTATACAAAATATGAACATGCTGCAAGAAACCCGTAAATATTAAAAAAAAAGTCTACTTTTCAGTCAAAATCAAAATAATTAAATCAGAACGTTTCTTTGCTTTTATCGCTGTTGTTGTTCATCAATGAAGCAACTCTTGTACAGTGATTGACACACCCACACACACACACACACACACACACACACACACGCGTGTCTCACGGTGTTCTTTTCTTTCTTCCAGACAGTGTGGATCACGATGGCCCAGCTGTTGGACGGGGCCGGCAAACTGGGCTGGACTCTGCTGAAAGCTGTGCTCCGTTTTGTGTTTATGTTCATCAACAACTGTGTAGCCATCCCGTCCTACTGCCTGTACCTGCTCGTGCTGCAGCCGCTGAGAATATGGCACAGCTCCACATTCTGGCACCTCGAGGGTGTCATGTTTAAATGGCTGCTGGCCATGGTGTCGTCGTGGGGCTGGATCGCAGGCTACACAGGTAAGATGCTCTCGGCCATCACTGGCACAAAGCAGCAGAAACATTTAGTCAAAGGAACTGTTTTGATCATTGCTTATATTGTAATGGTAATTATACCACAAACAATGATCTTAAACACGTCAACATCTTCATCAAGCCGGCCACTTCTGCTCAAATCAGTTGTTGATGCTTGTAGAGTTATTTCGCGCAATTACGGTGTCTGCAAGTTGCTTCACGTGTTCCTTGCGTAGGCAAAAAGTCAACATTAGCTTGAGAATTTTTAAATATTACTCCTGTGTAGCCAATGTTATTGTTGCAAGACATGTCAGTGTAGCGCCTTCGCACCACCCCGTGCTGTTCATGTAGCATCTGTTCATCTGCGATTTTTGCACTTTACGTAATGCTGCTTGAACATTCAATAAGGAAAGTGTTACTTCGGGCATTCGACACAATCAAGCCACACAAAGTCGTTTAATTGTTATTCTAACCAACAAAGAAATTAAGTGCTCTGTAATATGACATGGGAAAAATTACCAGAGTCCGTCTGTATTATTTCCCACGTCTACTCGGTAAAATGTCTTGTAAGTGGTTCATGCAGTCGGTGGTGTTTGGTTGCAGGAGGGCTGTGAGCCAAATGCTTCCTAATTGTAAGTTGTGTTCATTCGGAAATAACAAGGTGTACTGATCAATAATGCAAACTTGTCAGCCTATAGAACACCTGGTATTGTGTTATGCAACATTCTCATGACATGCAGATTGTCAAACTAAAGAGGTTAGAAAGACATCAGAGGGTCACAGTCTCCCCTCTCATGCTTCGGATGAGATGACTTGGTCAGGAAGACTTTGTAATATTAAGAAACAGAGCCACAGCCATACCTTGTTAAGGTGGTTATTAGAAGTGATGCTAAATTTAAAATGTCTCTGATGTGTATATAATATAATATAATATAGTAAATAATTGGAGGGTGCACTGTGGTTTTCACTACCGTATATTGTACAGTGTACACCTCCAAAGTTGAATGCAATCTGTTCTCGAGTGCTAGCGGACCTCCCAATTTGTTTGAATTTCAAATTTATTATCTCAGGAAAAAAATGTAAATTAAATTATTCTGTTCCAGTAATTTTTTTTTTTAATTTTAAAAATAACATTTTCATTTAATGTTGTATCTTTAAACATTATACATTTTAAATAAATTACCCTTTGAGATCTCCTGTTTAAGTGAACATAGACAAATGTCTTCTTCATGCATTTTATGATTTTTTTCTGGCATTATTAATTGTCATAAAAAGTGTCAGATTAAGTTTACACATGAGCAATTGCTGTGTCATAAAATTTACCGTTACGTTATCAGTGTCTCGTCTTATCTCTTGACTATAGGTGAAGTACATTTGATGTGCAAAGGTAAGATTGCTGCGTGTGCCCTGGAGTTGAGTCTTTTTCCATAAAACAAGTTTACACAGCAAAATTGGCTGGGCTGCTGTTGATTAATTTATAAATGGTTGGAATAATTCCCCCAAACCTTTTGTCAGCTTCCAAATTATATAACCCAAGATGTGTTTTTATGGTTCCACTCTTGAGTCACCAAAGAATGCCCTTCTCTACTTGACAATTATGAATAAACAATAATACATGTCAAAATAAAACGTTTAACTGAGCAGCAGCCAGTTGGGATTACATTCAAATGGGAGATGAATTCACCAGTGTCAAATACTGTCTGCAATGTTTGGTCAAGTCAAAACACGGCTGAGTCTCTTGCAAACAGAATCACTTGTGGAGCGCAGTTCATGATGTGCTGATGCTACATTTGCAAAAGGAGCAGCCAGAGAAGTAAACATTGCTCTTCACACCCTGTAAACAATCTAGTCGGAGAAGTTGTAGTTGGTAAAAGCATGCCAAGTCCAGACAGCTTAAAGAATTTCTCGGCCCCGTGGTGGGTTGTAAGTCATTAAACCTGTTCTTGATAAAAGCATGCAAAAGGTCTGAGGTCTCATTCTTACCTTAAAACAAGCGTGGCGGGGACTGACGGGAATCATTGCGGTGTTCACAATTCTTGCAAGCAGACAAAGAGCCACCTCTTCAAGCAGTCTTGTTCCAGTTGTCGTCCTTCCACAAATGGTGACCATAAACGGGCCTATCGATGGGGATCTAGCACTCGGCCTGGCAAAAATTTGCGTGTGAAAAATGAACGTGGATGAACTCCGCCGCTCGTCATTTGTTAATGCCGGTGCTCGTCACGCAGCACCCACACACGTGTTGTCAGTTACTTGGCACGGCTCTATTTTCCTGGACTGTGTGGGCCTCAACAGACCATCCTTGATTGACGTGGTCCTCATTATACAGCGTTTGCTGCACCTGGTTGCTAATATTGTATGAAAACATCAACTGCCGAGAATCATTTGCACAGTATGGTATTATCATTTTGGTGGCCACAGTTTGAGGCAGATGTGGTTTTCGTTGGAGGGAACGTTTATATTTTATATACTTTGACAAATGTTTTTTTTTTTTGGGGGGGCGGGGGCACTTTATCAACACCATCATCAGCATCACAGTTTTATCATGATATGTCAATGTGTGTCATTTCCTGTGAAAGAACTACATGTGCTGATAGCAAAGATGAATATTGTGCACCTTTTTAGTGTCTCTAGAAAGGGAAAGTTTTTTTTTTGGCCATATCAGTAGTAGACGTTGGTCAAATTTACAGCGTAACCTGCATAGGAAAACAATCCAAAGGCTAAAGTCAGTTGTTTTCTGTAAAAATGTGTTAATTAGGTGGGGGTGGGGGGGGTGACATTACCCAGTTATATGACCACAGCGCTGCTTTAATCAGGGCAGGGAAACAATCTCACCCAATTTACCTCAGTCTCTTGTCGAATATCTCAGGTGTCGTTAGAATAATGACGATAAAAGGACTTGATACATCGCAGTGCAGGAGCTTTTTATTTACTCGCTCAACACCCATGATTCATGTTTATTAAAAAAAAAAAATACAGCAGTCGCACTGGTATTTACATTTAAGGCATTTAGTTTCGAGCGAGGCTCCTCAGATTTGCATATTATTGAAAATGTGGCCCTCATTCTCTGGCTTGCCAGTCGAGTCACAACTGTGGGGACAAGAGATTAATTAGGAAGGGTCAGTGGCCAAATTCTCCTCTGGCTCGAGAGAGGGAAGAACGTGCGCAGGGGTGGGTGTAACTGACCACCGCTCTCGGATGAGAAACTGCGCCTGGAGCATGCTTGTCACCCTGCTACGCTAACTGTGTCGTCTCTCAAAGACAATTTCCCTCATGTATTCTATCCGACAGATGACCCATCTCCGTGATATCATTAATGCTAGTCTTCGGCAACAATGGGGACATCAGCGAACAGGAGAGCACGCTCCTTATGAATTGACATCGCCTTCAGGGCGCACACTCGCACACAGCTTACAATGTTGCCTCAATTCTTAATGGTGCGGTATTATCAGAATCATAATTATGTTAAAACACATGAGGAATCTGTCTCCACTACCTGGAGTCGCTCAAGTAATATAACAATAAGACACTACAAAAAAAAAAGTCCAAATTTCCCCTTCCATTTTTGGAGCGGAAACGGTTTGCAGAGGCCTGACTGCTGCATCATTTGCATCACACAACTTGAGCTGACCCACCCGTGACTGTGGGGATTCCCTGCACATGACTGCAGCTCAGTTGAATCCTTTCACCCTCGGGCTTTTAGCAGATCTTCACGGTTCTCTGTTTAATATGCTGAGCTGCCGAAGTGTACTTTAAATTGCAAATGGCTCCGCGTCTTCTCCGGGAGAAACTATTGTTTCCGACCCTCGTCAGACGTGAGCAATGTTTCCCCTTTTGTTTAAGCGCCCGTGTGCGCTGTCAACAATCGCACACTGGCAATTGGCTTGTAAAACGCCCTGTATGCTCTGAATAGATGCTCAACAATGTAAATCAGGAAAAGAGGACCAAAGGCCACTTCAGATTTACTCCTTTTAGGTGCAAATTCAGGCCGGTTATTGTCATGGTGAAAGCTCTTTGTCACAAGGGAACACAGTTCCAAGTAAATAATGGTTGCGTATTCTGTTTTTAGCTTCGGCCTTGTCAGTGCCTGTTTGCAGTATGCCATTTGGCTTGCGGCTCTATTTTTCTCCAAATTATTTGTATCGCTTAGATCACAAAACAGAGTGCTGGTGCTGTATTCTGCTTTAACGGTGTCATTTGTGCGGTGAAGTCTTACTGATTGATTGTTATCAGCGGGCTGCTGGATAGTTCTAAATTAAGGAGAGTTGCAGTTTTCCTGCCATGTTTGAAACAGAGTTCACGTGTCACCGATACGGGACGCGAGCTGAACACTCTCTTTCTCGTTGCACTTTGCAGTAACAGAGTGGGGTGACGACGTGCGGCCCATCTCTGAAGATGAAGCCATGGTCATTGTCAACCATCAATCCACGGGAGATGTTTGCACCCTTATGATGTGCCTGCAAGACAAGGGCATGGTAAGAAGACCGATGTTGTGTGTTACCATGAACCTGTATGTGATTACGATGTTGGACTCGAATGTAGTGGCACTAGAATATTTGAAAAGCAATTTTTTTAGTAGTAAGTACATTCACACACAATGGGACAAGCCACCTTTCCAACCGGTTCATTTTCACTCTCTCATGTGGCCCAAACACAGAAAACAAAATAACCTTGAGAGGAGGCCGTGTAAGAACGGCTGTGACCTCAACTGTCAACACAGTGTCTGCAGAGCCTATATACACAATGTGGTTTTCTACCAATATTGTTTTCTCAGGGATGTGCCTCTCATCATGGGTTAGTTGGCAAAAACTATTTTCCTGGCTCGCAGATCAAATGCCAAGTAACAGTTTTAAACGCTGACTTATATCTAGTTGAGATTGAACCAAATGACGAGCAAAGTAAGGCGCTCCATTTTGCATCAGTTCAAGACACAACTAAACAACAAACCAGACAAGACAAGTTTCCTAACTGTTAATCACTCAGGCGTCATGCCCATTATTTCCATTCTCGCACAGGTAAGTACGGTGACGGTATGTTACTGTGCGAAAGGTGCAGATCAATTGTGTAAGTTTCTCTTTCTTGTCAGGTTGTACGAAAAATGATGTGGTTGATGGACCATGTGTTCAAATACACAAACTTTGGCCTCGTGTCCCTCATACACGGCGACTTCTTCATCAGACAGGTAAGAGCTCAGAATGTTTTGTGAAATGGTAACTGGGTTCATCAGCACTCTTTGTTGCTCATCCCACCATGAAGTATTACTATACTCTTCTATACCTTCTGTTCCTTTTTTTTGTTTTTTTGTTTTTGGCGGGGGTGGTGGATTGAATTCTCAATTGAGACCTTTTCTCACCCGCCTACATACCCCTAGTCTCAGAAGGCATCTGGATTAAAAACCATGGTCCATAAGGCCATTACCAAACTCCTTTTACCTCCCGGCTGCTGCTGTGAGTTCATTTTTATTATCACACTCCACAAAAGTGCAGTCACTCCCCATCTGCTCGTCCCAGCTGGAATGCTTGCACGCGTTTAGGCTACTGAAGGCCGCGGCGTCCTCTGTGAAGGTCAGCCACTATGGACAGTAGTGTGTGGAGTCTGTCTGGGGGGGTCGTGGGCCACTCAGCCCTGCTGGGTCACACTAACCCTTTGTTGTGGGGTCATCTGGAACAGAGCAGGCTGCTTTGACCAGCCTACGCGGGAATACGTTGGGAATGTTATCTTCCCACAAGTCCTGGAATATGATGTCTGTTTTAAGCATTCATTGACTGATATCGAGAGGACAGTCGGCTGAAGCACCTTGTGCCACAGGCAAGCCTGACTGGGCTTGGGTCATTTCCTTGATCCCTTCTGGCGTTCCAGAGTGCATTGTTGACATCCTTCCCCAAAATACCTCACCCAGCGACAGCCAGGCAAGCCTCTGCTGTTCATTGGGCCTTCCAGACATATCTCACCACCATGTGCACAGCAGCACTGGCTGCACATTTTCACGCGGAGCGAGATCCTATTTTAAACACGTTAGCGTGGTGTTCATGAATATCACATACTGTATATTGGCTTTGACATAATATCCCAGTCAGTAAAACTTACTAAGTGTCAACCGTAGGGTGCTGCTGATGCATTTAAAATTGGCTTTTGACCAACTGAACTTCACTGGAGATCAATCCTCGAATCTTCTTCCTGTCACCGCTAATGTCATTTTTCACATCCGCGGCATGACATTACTGCTGGTCAAAGTGCTATACAGTAGTGCTCCCACTAACGTATTTGTGTTTGCTCCTTCACATTCTCACATACCTATATGTCTTAGAAGTGTGTATTCACACTTCTACGCTTAATTCTGTTTTGAACCAACTCTAGTTTCAGTGAGTCACTGTTTTTCTCTGTTCAGGACAGGGCTCGGTTCCAATCCCTCACAAAACTGTAGTTGTACCTGATGGATTGTGCTGTTATTTATTTAAGGGCATTTAAAAAAACAAAGGAAAACCAAACTCGGGAGCAACAAAGTTTACAGACCCCGCAACTCTTTCAGACGAGAGAAATCAAACTCGAGATGCAAGGAATATAACAAATGTTGGGTGTCAAGCATTGTCTTTATTCCCTTTAGGGTAAAGCCCACCGAGACAAGCAGCTGGTCTACTTGAAGGATCACTTAGATAAATATTACCACAGTCGTGACAGGAAGTGGATAGTGCTGTTCCCCGAGGGTGGCTTCCTTCGCAAGCGGAGGGAAACCAGCCAGATCTTTGCCAAAAAGCATTCGCTACCCCACCTGACCCACGTGACGCTGCCTCGCCTCGGCGCCACCCACGTCATCCTGAAAACTCTGTCGGCCCAGCACGAGAATGGCAGTGTGGCCAATGAGAGCGGGACACCCAATCAGACAGGTAACCGAGTCATGCATGTACATACTGACGCCACCCTGAATTCTGTTTGAACCAACCTTTTGCAAACGGTTGCATTTGTTTGTTGTGGATGGCATTTCCCCTCCGGGGTATTTGGTCATCATTTTGCAAGACTTCGGTCCTCTGCAACTTCTGTGTTTTCACAGTCGAGTAGTGACACTTATAGAGGTGCGTCCGAAAAATAAGCGAAGCAAAGGGAGTTACCTCGAGAGTTAACCACATGTGGAGGAACAAAACAACTGCATCAAGGGGGAAAGTGGTTAGTACGTTCACTTTACAGTCGAAGCGGTTCTGGGTTTGGCGACATTCCAAAGAACATGCTGCTGAACAGAACATGCTGTTTACATTATGAAAACTTTAATGACAACACCGCAATGCTTTAAGTAACATTTTCACAACTTTACCCGTTGCACAAGTGTAAAAGTAAGTACACTGAATTGAGTGACTTGATTAGCGGGCAGCACAGCGGCCTACAGGTTAGCGCATATGCTTTCTGCTGATGCCAACCGTGAAAGACATGCATGTTAAATACCTGTGAACTGAAGACTAAATTGCCCGTAGGTGTGAATGCATGAGTGTGAATGCTCGTTTGTCTGTATGCACCCTGCAAGTGTACCCTGTCTCTGGCGTAGGATCCAGCACAGTCGCCACCCTCGTGAGATGCCTTTTTCCTGAAATAAATCAAAATATTAACACACAAAAGCAAAGCCAACTGTAATACAAAAGAAAATCCCACAATTATTTGAGGGGTGATTTGTTGTTTTCGTCTCGATTGCTGCGGACAGCATTGTTGAAAATGTGGCTCGGCTGTGTGCCCTATAGGCTTGGCGCTATGCAAACCACTGGCAGTTCTTCCCTCTTTAGGAACAGAGTGTCAAAACAAAGGAGATGTACCGCTTAATTGGCCCCATGTGCAGTCCGAGCATGTTCTGGATTTAGCTGCTTTCTCTGGATGCTGCAAGCAGGTTGGTGCAGGAGGCGTTGTCCTTCCACTTGAATCTAGCTAATGGCATTCAAACATAGGGCAAGGAAAAAAAAACAACAAAAACATATACCCCGAAGAGTACTATGTCCCTATGTCCTCTGTGTGTGACCCTCCCGAATGCTCTGCGGTGGTGCCAGCATTTTGCTGACTCACTCCGCGCCAAACGGGCCACTTTCAGAAAACGGGATTTGATGTAAATATGGGTGCCACTCTGCAACGGCCATTCATTGTCTGCTTGGCCTAAACCCCGATAAGGCATACGTGTTGCAGAAAAGATAGCGAGCACTCTCGCAGCGTTCATGGTGTGCGTTCGTTCGTGATAAACCATATGACTCAACCAGTCGCATGGATGCTTCTGGGTAGTGTTGAGTCATGGCGTAATTCCGACCAAGATACCTTCCAATGCATTTGTCTCCCTCGCAGTGTTTGCTGAAGGACACACCTTTGCTATTTATTACAGTGGAATTTGTTAGTCCTAACGACGCATTGGCTCCGAGCCTCGTACTTTGGCCCGCCGCACACGAGGCTGTGGCTGCCTCTTCACGCACTAGGATGAAACTTGGGATCCAATTACCTACTCTGTGATGTCTGTGGTGGTTCCCATCAATACCAAGGACGCCCGTCAAGTCACTTAATCTTTTGTATCAATGAGCCGGCAACATGTGCCTTGATTTTTGGCTCGCCTTGCTAAATCTTAGACAAATGCGCTCAGTGGGCACAGGTCTGTATACAGTCCATTAATACTGTGTATTAAATTAGATGTCATTTCATAGTCTATTAATAAAAGCCAATTCTCACTGAATTGATCGAAAGACATTTAAAAAGTGTAACACTGTTTTAATGCTTGCTAAAATGACCTTGTTTTGAGAGGACAGTTACAGTAAGTCTCATAAAAATGAGCCCCTGCTCATCCCAGTCCCTGTACTGCGGGGCCCGTGCTGCGTCTAAGGCACAGGTGTCAAACTCAAGGTCCAGGGGCCAGGTCTTTTTTGTGTGGCCCGCAAAACTAAATCATGTGTCAAATTCCTACAGATTTGCCAAAAAGGTAGGTGTGCTAATCAATGAATAACTGCCTGTTGTTTATGAAAACATTCGATTTAAAGTATTAGACGTTGGGCCCTGTTAGGCCTGTTATACGTAATCATCATCATCATTATGGTGTTTCTCCCCCCCCTGCTGTGTTCCAGGTAAAAAGCGCAAAGGCCTGCAGTGGGTGATAGACGTGACCATAGCTTATCCCAAAGCCCGGCCCATGGACATCCAGACATGGATTTTTGGATACAGGTCGGCAACAGTCACACATGTCCACTACAGGTAAGGGTGAAACAAAATCGGATGATCAAAGTTGCACAGACAGGTGCACTTGAATTTAGTACATGGAATTTGAGACTGATATTACCGATAATGTCACTTTCTTAAGGTGTTTACTTCTATCGAGGGAGCACTTAAGAGTCCACCCACTGATGGCTCAAGATTACAGAAGGAAGTCCCCACCAACTTCCTTTCATACTTAGTGAGTCAGCAGAATGCATCAGAGCTAAAGAAGTTGTTCGATGACTTAAAGCACCGCTGTTCTCTGTCCTGTCACCCTGATGACCTTTTTTTTCCTTCCTTTGTGTTTGTGTGGAAAAGAGTTGAGTGGATGCATTGAATTTCAAGTCAGCTGTCGCGTTTGCTCTCTAGCTTTTGCCTCGGGTGGTTTTACACCTTTTAAAGCTTTGGGATGTTTTTCGACAAAGGTGTCGATACCTTTGTGGTAAAGAAACACATTTTTCGGTGCTCCTTTGGTGTTAGAAAAGATACAAATGGGGCTATATCGTCACTTCACGCTGTCAGCGGTTGGCTAGCGACCACCAGAGTAAAGACGTTTAGTGTTCCTGTTAATAATAGGACTGCTCTTGGCAGAGTAAATGTCCTGTCACTGTCCTCAAGGTCTCCTACAGTTATCCATTCACCTCAGGATATGATAACGGTGCATCTGGATAAGCTTCGTTGCAAGACCCCATTCAAGATAAATGTCTTTTAACTGTGCAGGGCATCCGCGCGGTAGATGACAGGAGGAGATGCATTTAGGGTCAAGCGGCAGCTGGTACCAGTCATGATGACCCTCAGGATGCTGTGAACACTTCAGTGTGCAGAGTATTATTGGATAAAATAAAAGATTTATATTTTAAATTGTAATAAAGGGGTCAGGGGTTCCATAATTCCTACCCCTGGCTGAGAGATTAACCGGACACTGAACCGGTCACCTTCCATTGCATGGTCAGGGGCTCTGCAAACAGGCAACCCTACCAAGCTAGCGGCACCGCTGTTAAACTTGCGCGCGCATACCCACACGCAGTTGCAGCCACATCAATGATCATAAACTATTTAGACCCTTGCTGGTACAGGTGCAGAGACAAGAGGATTAATGTACCTGGTGATCAACTGAACGCTGGGGGAGTGAGTAGTATGATGCACTTTAGAATGCCACATTTCCACCCAGCAGCAGTGTTCAGATGTGCTCGGTTGACAGTTTCAGCCACATTGGAAACAACAAAAATGACTTCAGATAAATATTTGGCACAAGAGTGACTTAGGTCTGATCACTGGCTAAGTAGTTCAAACGGTAAATAATTTGGTTTTTGATTGTATATTTTTCAGTGCAGGAAAAGGATCAGCTTTCGTCATCTCCGCAATTTCAATCCAAGTCTTTTGTCACCTGTGCTCCTCTTCAACGCAAAGTGCTCTTGAATGGCAAGACAAACATTGAAACCAAAAAGGGGAATATTATACCCTGTTTCATATTTCCACGGTTGCACAAAATCTCTGAACATTTTAGACTTAAGATGAAAGTTGGCATGATCAGAAAAAGCAACGGGAAAGACCTCAGTCGCTGTCCGTTCGGTGTGGTTGCCCTGCCAAGTAAATCAACCCACTTGCTGTGGGGGCTCCTTATTTTTATGCATCCAAGCATGTGGGTTTTAACACCTCTAGAACAGGATTACAATGGTTTGTGTTTCTATCATAAATTTATACTCGTGTCAAAAGTGGGTGGAACATTGTTCTTCCTCGCCATCCCTCCATTTTTATCGCATGATTTCATCACTCTTCCACTTTCTCCAGGTGCCTTTTGTCTGATCGAACAGAATGCTCGCTATCAGTTTCCCTCGTGACATGGCGGGATTATTGGTATACTGTAGAAGTATCAATGGATCATAATTAACGTTGTGTAGCACAATCAGTCAATCTTGCTTGTGGTGAGTCAAGGGTCTTGTATACACCTGCTGTGGCCTGTTTCTGTGCGACAGTTTTTTTTGTTTTGTTTTTTTTGGTCAGCTATCAGATGACTGGAGCCGAGTCTCCAAACAGGCAGCTGAGCATTGTGTAACATTTTAGATGAAGCTCCGCTCTGCACTTTTTTTTTTTTTTTTAATCCCTCGACCTCCCTTTTCCCGTCTCTGCTACGAGTCGTCAGCATGCCTTTGTCTCGTGCACTCTCACCATATAATCTCAGTTTCACAGTTCCTAAGCATACTGGATGTCATGAGAGAGAGTTAGGTGGGTGTACAGAGGCAGAGCAAGGGCAGTGGTAGGTGGTGAAGATGTTGTTTTTTTCGGTAAGGGCTCCTTCTTCATTGCTTAATGCTACTGTCTGCTTTTCTGAAAGCTCCTTTTGGAGGGAGTGCGGGGGTGCAAAGTGACATGATTTATGGGGTTTGAATTTTGCCAGGTCATCACATGGGTGCTTTAAAGCTGCTCACCTGGCTGTCTCTTTTGGACAAGACCCTGGTTGCACGCTGAAATGTTGATCTTGCTGCTTTCTGAAGCTGTCTCGAAAAGATTTTTCTTCCTCCCGCACAAACATTGAGCTGTGCTGTCTGTTTCCTGCTTGGATTGGCTTTGGTGCTTCCACAATCAATACGTCGCACCTCTCTCTGAGTATTATAATAAGATCCTTGGGGTGGGGGGGGGGGTTCCTCCTCCTTCTTCTTCTTCCCAAGCACAAGAAGCATCTGTTTTGCTCATCTCTTCTGAGCATCAACATGGTCATGGGTTCAAAGCCCAATAACTCAATCATTAGAAGTCGACATTCAAACGTGTCCGGAAAAGTACACATATTATTCATTCAAATCTGTAGTCAGTCAATCATAAAAATATACATTTACCAATAAATAAAGTATGGCTATGTTGGCAATATAAGGAGACTGTGAGCTGAGCCTTAATATTCTCTCGTATGAAGTTACTACAGTGTCAGATTAACCCCGATTTAGAAATTCTTTATGTTCGGGCGCTCCTGTATGAAGGTAAATCGTAACCATGAACTTTTACCCTTCCAACAAGCAACATGGATTGACAGCTCAACTATCAACTTAGCATAAAGTTCATGACCACCTGTGACGATGATCTTATAGTTCTTTACTGGTGACCTCTGCACTGATAAGAGGTACGCAGCCTAGACAGTCATTAACTTCATCCCCGCACATTTGGTCAGATACATCTGGTCACAGTGACAAAGTGCTCTTGCGCCACAGAGACACACTCGCGGTGAAGGTACAACTGTGTACCGTGTCGTCGTTCAGCTTGTGCAATGTCAATGCGTCTTTACGCATTGACGGAAGGGTCTTGAATATCAACATGTTAGTAATTCACTCAGCTGTTCCCTCCGGCTAAGCCCTTTTACATCTGCCATGTGCATTGTTTTTGACTAAAACATTTCCTGGAGCATCGACAGCCCTAAGCCAGATAGGAAGCAAATTGAAAAGTGAATGGAGCAATGATCAAGCACACTCCGACTACTGGCCCTCAACTTCGTTCCATTGATGGCAGGGCTGGTTTAACATTCAAACTTAAAAGAAAGAACTTAATGGCTGCTTTACAGGCACACATAGGGGGTCCTTATGTGAACGAGTAAAATGTAAGAAGGGACAGCAGGACACGCAACTTTTTGGTCCCCACCGCCCAATTACTAATCTCAATGTTCAGCTTTTATGACATTGGACCCTCAATGAAATGTCACAGGACACTTTTTTTCTTTTCAATTTCCCCACGAGACAGACCAAAGACTGAACAGAGTCCCTAAATAATGATTGCCTCTTTCCTGTAAAAGTGGCCAGCCTTTGCCTGACACGGTCCACATTTAATTAGCCCTTGGCCCAATTGGGAACGGAAGCAACATCTTGAGAATAAGAAATGCAAAGAAGCAAAACGAGCGAAAATGGAAGGCAACAGATATGGAAGAGCAAAGACGTTTGATTCGCCCTGTAATCATGTGGTTGAACACAAGCGTATCACCCGGTTCACATGAAAAATTGAGGTCTCCACAGTCATCCTCATGTCTAATAGTGTTGCTGCTGTAAATTGGGAATTTCTCCATTGTGAGACAAATAAGTTTTTTTAAATTTATTTATTTTTTTACCATTTTATATCAGCAGGGATCAAAAACTCCTCTTTTTTTTTTTGTTTGTTTGTTTCTTTGCTCCCGCAGTATAAATAGTTTAACCAGTCAATGCATATTAAAGAGGATCAATACTGTATGGTCCATTGCCTTCCTCCTCCAGATCCTCTGCACAGATGTCCTTTGACAGTGGACGTTAAATAGTCAGGGATATTAAAGTAAAGCTGAGTGCAGAGGAAATGCTCCTCCGAGGGAGGAGACATAACCTCTATTTGAAGGTGAGCTAAGGGGCTGTGTGAGCGCAGCCCACTGAGGCCCCCGTGTGGCTAGACTTTCAGGGCTTACGGGTGGCCGCATGGCAAAAGAAGTCCACTTCTGTCTGCCTGACACTCTGCAAGTGACTTTCCTAAACAACGGCAAGCTGCATACAGACAGCTTCTTTAGAGACTGTTTCAAATGAACTCCTGGCTGTTGCTGACATGTGAGATCTATGCCAGATCTGTTCACACAACTCTTTTTTTGTTTTTGTGTGTGTGTCTCCTTTCAGGATGTACCCAATTAAAGAGGTTCCTGTAGAGGAACAGGCTCTGACGGACTGGCTGTATCAGAGGTTTGTGGAGAAAGAGGACTTACTGGCCCACTTCTATGACACAGGTATGTTTGCTTTTGACCGACTGAACAAGTGTGATAAAATATAGTCTGCAACCACACACCAGGTGAATAACCCTCGCACACATATTAACTTGTTGAAATGGGAAAAACTGAAAAATATGAATCAGAATACCGTGTTTAGACGAATAGGGAAAATAGCCAAAGAAAAATCATCAGCCACAATTCCCACTCAGGAACGCATCACGTCTCCCATTCCTTGCTTCCTTTTCCACAGGAGCGTTCCCGCCCCCCGAGGGACAGAAGGAAGCAATCTCTCGGCAAATGACCCTGGACCCCGTGTGGCTCTGCGTCATCCAGTCCTTCGCGTTCGTCTCCGGCTTCATGTGGTACAGCCTCTTGCGGCACCTCTACTGCGGTATGTTTTGAGTACGCTGACGAGGCGAGCAGCAAGAAGCGCCTCTGGAACCGCCGCTGTCATGCGATGGATGACTGTACATTAGCAATTAACGTGGCGAGACTCGAGACAGGGCAGGGTGGTGAAAAAAAAAAAAATGTATACAACGTGTAGACAAACAGAATTCCAGCCCTGACACGACACATGATCTTTCACATCGCGGCTCTCATGTTGATGTTTACACATAGGCCCATGCATTCAAGAGGCTCAGGACAAAGGACCGCTGTCGTTTCATGGAGTGTGTATGGACGTGTGCGTCTGTGAATACTGTGAGCGTAGAAGCATCAAGTCCGCCCTTTAGCCTGCCCTCTTTCCGACGCCAGGTGGACGTCTCGAAGCAGCCGTGTGGATACTCTGCTCCTCTCCCCCTTGGCCCACATTGCACTAAAGATCCAAACTGCTCCCTGTCCCAGGATATATTCCTGAATGGTAGCTGCCTATATATGTGTGGGGGTGGGGGTGGGGTTCCCTTTTTAGTCTGCGCATCTCCACGACAGCCAGTACATTTATCTTTTTGTTGTCATCTGGACTGTTTACACTGGCGAACCCGCTTCCAAGTTCAACGCTGTCAAATTAGAGTGGAAACATACGGATCACTCGAAAAGCAACTCGTGTGTGTTTATGCGTGTCTGCCAGCGTATCATCGCAACAAGATGGGCTGAGAAGGGTTTTGTTTTGTTTTTTTCCCTTTCCACCTGTTCAGCAAACGGCATAGTTTCACAGTTATTTAAGCCATATGCTCAGTGTCGTCCATAAACACAAGGGAACGTAATTGTGCTGAATGCTTTCCACAGCATCTCCAAAAAAAATAAAACCGTTCACGTTGGCTTTAAAAAGTGTAGGCATTGATACAGTAGGAAGAAGTGATAAAGTGTGGGTGCCCCCGTCCCCTCTTTTTTTTTTTTTAATAATTGTTCCCCCTTGATTGATGTGCTTCATGTGTTGTTACTGTGTGACATCAGAAGGTGGAGACAATTCATAAAATATTTCATTTTAAAGACACAAAATCCTTTGTACATAACAAACCTCGAAAAGCATTGTTTGTCCCCCGTCTGTGAATCATTCAGATTTTATTTTTTTGTTTTTTAAACATAATTTTGTGTTTACTTCTCATTGGTACAACATTTATTTTCCTTTTCGGCAACGCTACCCAAGCCTGGTCATCCAAAACCTGTTTGGTCCAATGTAAACCCTCTTTTTGTTCAAAGCTTTTGCTGGCACCTTAGGACAGAGTTTCCCAAAACGTTGTCAGCTCTAGCCTTGAATTTTGTTCTTTTTGGAAACCAAAATGGACTTAAAATATATCATATATTGTGAATTACCCACATAAAACCAATGATAAAGATCACAACACACATGGATCTATTACAAGAGGCACCCATTGGCAAGAAATGGTGAGCAGATTGAATTTTTAAGTGACAATCTGTAGCCCAAATAAAATAGACACCGACACAATTTTTGGGAAACCCTGCCAAGACTACATTCCCCATTAGTCCCGTTTTCCTATGGATGAAAAGATTTGTTTGGACAACTCGTTCCAAAGGGGTCCAGCTGAAATTGGGCCAACAGAGGCACGGGCCATGCCATGTCAAAAATGTTCTTTTAGGTTGTTTTTGTTTGGGGGGGGGTTGCTTTAGTTTGGAGTATTACGGCTGTGCAGCATTTATTGTTGGCATAAAAAAATTATTTTAGTTATTGTTGGCCCTCGTTCTTTGTCAGTGTTGGCAGAAAGTGTGTTGAAAAAAAAAAAGAAAGCGCTACCTATCTTGACTGGTAAAGCATTTCAAAATCTGTCATTCACTGGCCCTGAAAAGATTTTTTTTTCTCAACCGTGTTTCCAATGAAGAGAGGGAAAGTGATGTTTTCCGCAATGTGGTTTTAGGAAGTAAACACAATAGGGATTAAAACAAATGATACTAGAATTGTCTGTAATTTCCCATTTTGTACTTCTCCTTTAAATTGCTAGTTACACAGCCATTTTACAACACAGAACTTCTGTTGGAATAAAATATCAAAGATCGTAAACTCCTTTTTCTGCTCGTGTTTATGCTCTTTCAACCAGGTAAAGTGGATTTGATGATGTTTGATAGATTAGTCTTTTTGCTGTAGGAACCCTAACCCTTTTGATATGCAAATTCAACTGCACTCTTCTCACGGGATTTTATATCACGGTGGGTCAACTCTGCCCGGAAGCATCACGCCTAAAGCAGCCAATGCAATGTAAAGGTCAAATCAGGTGGTATTGAGCAACCCCCACCAAAAAAAAAATGTTACCAACAAAGTCATCAGCAGAGAAAAGTGTCCTGTCTGTGTTCTGCAGTGTCACTTTGCAATGAGCCATTTCGCAGGTATGGGCCCCGGGGGTACTCAATATCACGGTTTGGTGGGTCTTCCGACAATGGTAGCATTCCTTGTGGCAGCAAGGAATAAAACATCCCTTTACCCCTCAGAGGGCTAATGATGTATCCATCTATCTGTCGGCTATGTCAAAATGATTTAGTGAGGAAAATCGGGCCCTCCCCACCCTCTCGTCTCAAGAGAATAGGATGGCAGGATGTCTTTTGAAAGCCTTTCGGTTGTTTTGGGTCCCATGTGTCAGTCACTTTTAAATGTTCTGAATGCTCATAAACATCTACAAGCCGCAACGCACTGCACATACTAATGGCTTAGGTTTTTGCTGCGGTATCTTTTCAGTGTCGTTATTGTGGTACTTGTGCAGGTAGGTATGGTAGGCAGAATTATGCCGCATGACAGCACATACTCATAAAATTACACGGAACCTCATTTCAGAGCGTTAGAACTACACATTAACACAATTCTCAAGCCCTCGCGGTTATTGTCTACCACATGCTGAGGAAAAACTGGATGAATTCCCTCTAGACTCATGTCCTCCATCAGTGAGATGTGTCTGTTGTTTTTTAAGCTGCCTGTTTTCCTCTTGACCCAGCAGCCTGCACTCAACACAGCTACAACGATACTATGACATCCCACAGCCATTCAGCTCTCTGCTGGAGTGACCTTTGCAGAGCCAGACTGACAGATTCGGCCCCGGATGCTCTCCCTCCCTGCAGTGTGAGCTGCAGTTTTGGGCTGTCGCGACTTGCCAGGAGAGCAAATAAATGAATCATGTCAGCAAGTGTAAGTGAACCTGCAAAGGGAACTGACTGTTTTACAGCTTTTGGTATCGAACAAGAACGTTGTTCACACGCCATGAAAATGTACTCGATGAAGGAAGCAAAATGGCAATTATACAGTGCTGTGAAATAGTATTTGCCCACTTCCTGATTTCTGTTTTCTTTGCATATTTATGACACCAATTTTAATATCACAGTGACTACCCAAGGAAATAGAAAATGCAGTTTCTAAAGACTAATTTAATTTATTAAGGCACAAAATAAAATCAAAAACTACCTGTCCCTACATGAAAAAGTAATTGCCCCCCCCCTTGTTAAATCACACCGTAATTGTGACTAACGAGTTTTTGGAAAGCTGAGTTCAATTTCGTCCACAACAATGTGAAAGACTCATCACCAATCATCACAAACCATTGATTTTAGTTGCTGCTGCCAAGGGTGGCATAACCCAATATTAGGTTGAGGGGGCAATTCCTTTTTCACATATTTTGTGAGTTTGTGTGAATATTTGGCGCCCTCTAGTGGAGAGCTGATGCGTTTTACCGCTCTACTCTCGCGGGTTTTGCGAAAAGCAATATCCATGGCAACCTCACCACGCCCAGGCAGTTTCGAACCAATCACGATCGAGATACGTTTGTGACACTCATTTAAAACGGGAAAGTCGTTTTCTGGTTCGACAACAGACGCATGCATACTCGCTAATGCTTGGTGAACTTCTTACATCTGCTCAACAAACGCATCAACGGCGCATCACGCAGATATCTTAATGTAATTTTAATGCATTTTAATAACTCGTTTGCATAATTCCCTTGTGTTGATCAAAACAAGTGTCCTTGAGTGTTTTGAAAGGCGCTTATAAATGTAATGTATTATTATTATTATTATTAAGATGCCGACCCGCATTGGTGACTACGAGGTGCTGCACACCATTGGGTCCGGTTCTTACGGAAGATGTCAGAAAATAAGACGGAAATCTGACGGAAAGGTGAGTAACCATTGTCTTCTGTGTTTTAACTCTTAAAATATTGATGGTACATATGTACCTGTACTCCTACTGATATGATTTCCGGGTCACGCCACCTAACCGTCGAGAGATAACGCGAAGTGTATTTGTTGTTGTCACGTGGGTTTCATAGCATACGCGCACACAATAGAAAGCACGACACCTACATTGAAACCAAAATTTGAAGTGTCGTACTTGCAGGAAATATTTGTTGAAAACATAAATATCGTATTCAGACTGGCAGTTGTATGAACCAGGTCTGAATAAAGATTTTTTAGTCGCCTTTCATCTCCACCACCTCTCTTCCTGCATGCTGTTCTTGACGTTTTTCCTCATTACATTCTGTGTTGCTTTTTGACCTTTCTTTGAAACTTTGATGCATGTATTATGCCCGTATTGCTCCCCTCTCTCACTTCTCTTCTTTACTTGATTTAACCCAAGGTTCTGGTGTGGAAGGAGCTAGATTATGGCACAATGGCCGAGAGCGAGAAGCAGATGCTGGTGTCTGAGGTGAACCTGCTGAGGGAGCTGAAGCATCCCAACATAGTCAGATACTACGATCGTATTATCGACCGCAATAACACCATGCTGTATATCGTCATGGAGTACTGCGAGGGTGGCGACCTGGCGAGCCTCATTGCCCGATGCATTAGGGAAAGGTAACCTTGCGACCCTCAATAACGTGTTTGCATAAATCGTATTTGACACAAACGAGAGAACCCCCCCCCCCCGCCTTTGATGATTTCTGCAGGGCAACCGCATATTCTAAGGTAGTTACTGTTATTTCTGTAACTTTTTTGGGGGGGTGTCTTTCCTCAGACGCTATTTAGACGAAAAGTTCATACTGCGCGTTACAGCACAGCTCGTGTTGGCACTGAAGGAGTGCCACAAGCGGAGTGACGGCAGGCCCACCGTCCTTCACCGGGACTTGAAACCAGCCAACATCTTCCTGGACGTCAAGCAGAATGTGAAGCTGGGTGACTTTGGCCTGGCCCGGATCCTCAACCACGAAACAAGCTTCGCCAAGACATTTGTCGGAACGCCTTACTATATGTCTCCTGTGGGTTCTCATAAATTGTGAGTACTGTAGTGGCAATTTTGAAAGGCTCTGATTGATGCAACGTTTGTCTTTCAGGAGCAAATGAACCAGATGTCATACAATGAAAAGTCAGATATCTGGTCACTGGGTTGTTTGCTGTACGAACTGTGTGCCCTATCGTAAGTTTGCATGAGCACGTTCCCACAGGGGTTGCTTTGTTTACTCTAGAGCGCAAATCTTTGTCTTTGCAGGCCACCCTTCACTGCCTACAACCAAAAGCAGTTGGCTGTCAAGATCCGAGAGGGCAAGTTCAACAGAATCCCGTGTCGATATTCAGAAGAAATAAACACTCTGCTCAAGAAAATGCTTAATTTGAAGGTGAGAAATATCATTAAAATACTGTGTCATGAAGCAGTTTAGTAAGTCTTAAGTAGAAGCCCTTTTTTCCCCTGTGTTTAATTTATGGTATTCTCTGTTGTCACCAGGACTATCTGAGGCCATCTGTGGAATCCATCCTCCAGAGTAGCCTTCTGGCTGAAGCAGTCAGTGAAGAGCAGAGGAAGGTGCAGCATCTTCGCAGGCGGCCGGCAGACTCTGAGGGTGCTTCTCAAAAGCCCACAGAAGTAACACCTTCTGTCACAGAGCTCAGGCTCCGAGAGCAAGCTCTAAAAGAGCGGGAAAAGGCGCTCCAAGAACGTGAGGAGATGCTGGAACGTGAGTTTGGTTTTCTCTCGTACTTGGAAGCAGGAATTTATTTTTGTACCCTTCACAGTTTTTGATGACAGTCAAAAACATTCACCTTTTGACTACTGAACTAAGTCAATGTGAATGCAGTATGTCAGATAATTGATAATTATGTCATGTCATATTTGGACAAATGTCGAGTTGTTAATTTACCTTTAATTTCAGGACGGGAACGTGAGATGTGTGTCCGTGAGCGCCTTGCGGCTGAGAAACTATTAAGGTACTTCACTGAACAAAAGAAGAGTGGCATTAATCAATGCATGCCTCCCCCATGCTTGCATGTCTTTTCTCTGGCTTCCTCACACATTTAAAAACAAAAAAGATGCATTGCAGGGTCTTAATTGACCAGTGCAGTGTCCAGCTTCTCATCCAAAGTCCGCTACAATAAAGTCCAGCTCACACCAACGAGAACAGGCGCTATAGGAAAGTGAATGGATGGTTTGATTTATGATCTGCCCATTCATGTTTTGTTTCAGAGCGGAGAGTTTACTGAAGAATTTCCATGCGGAGCATCAGAGAGAGCAGAACCCTCTTTTTGATAAAAGCATAGGTATGCACATCCAATGAAGACGTCTGGACACACACAGCCCAACTCTGTATAGTTAGTTACATACCCATTTTTATTATTATTATTATTATTTTTGCTAGATAAGCAGTACACAATAATTTCAATAAAGATGTTTACCAAACTTTAAAAACATGTCCCAACAAAAATAATGGTCTAACTTCTTAATCAGAATGTATTAAAAAAAATATTCTTGTTCCCTTAGGTGTGTGGAAGCACTCCTCCCCAGGGTCAAAGAGGGTCCAGTTCGCAGGCCCCAACAAGGAAAACCGTCAGCTGGATCACTCAGTCACAATGACACCACGAGATGACTTCGTCAGTCGACATGCTCAAATCTTGACTGATGTCGAGAAAGCCTGTCAAATCCTCGGCTTCCGCGTCTAACGGTCGTACGTGATAAAGTGTAAATGGTAGAGGTGTGATATCTACTGAGTGTAAATTAAGCTTTTGTCATGAGTCTGCTATTTATGAGATGGGGTGCTTGTGTGATCTAGATTATGATGTATTGTAATGAAGAACATGTGGCCAAACAAGGGGCTTTAATGTAATCTAAGCACTACATGTCGGTTATAATTGCCGTAAATATGATTGTCTTTGACCAAAGGGGCATGTTTTCCATGAATGTGGTAGGGACAGGTTCAGGTTTTTCATTACAAGTCAATTTTCCACTTCTCCCTTAAATAATTGTTTTGGGTGCCTTTTATGCCACTCAAGGTCACGTCTGAGGATTGTTTAAACAATATGTACCAAACAAAGAAATACAGGAAAGCAATTTAAAATACAAGAATCAAGGTTTTACAAATTAACAAAAGTAATATTTACCAAAACAATTGCAATCGAGTATAATGAATACTCCTGTTCAAATACCAAAATGTGCCACAGGAGGTCGCTCATTTTCCACAATTGTCAATTGATTTCAGTGTCTAAATTTGCCGTACAGTGTCGCCAGTTTATCATAATCGTTTTGGCACGCAATTACGCGATAACGTGACTTTCACTAATAGATAATTAGTCATCGCCACTATCCTCAAAATATTTTAATTTCTACAGCGCTGCTAATTTTAACGATTATGTCACATTTGAGTTCCTGAAATGCTTCGCACCAGGAATGTGCAGGGGGACACCCTTTATCATAGCACACGTATGAACAAACTATTACGACGATTGATGCTTGGTAACGAGACGAACACATGCGTGTCATTCATCAAGAACTCACGTTGATCACGTCAAACGTGTAACGTGCGTATATAGTCTAGTAACCAATGGTCAAGTGCGAGCTTAATGTTTAGTGATCATTATTTTATATTTTGTTTTTATTTGTTTTCTTCCCAAGAGGTCCACCTTTGACGATAATGCACATGTCAATCATCGCGAGACTCCGCTCGTATGGCGTGCGTAGCAACCACGGTTGCTCAATTGCTCCGTCCCGCCCACTTACGAAGGCGACGACATCCAACCAATCAGCTTGGACGTTTCGTCCTCTCGTCCAATAGGGACCAGCATAGGGCGAGTCCCTTCCCAAGTCTTTCTGGTGTTCCGTGTGGAAAGTTTACCGGCTCGGGTGCAAAGTTTCAACCCGTCTGCAAACTGGAGACATGGTGTTGGCCGAGTCGCTGTTTTTCGAATGAGTTGTCTTCCAGTCGAAGTGCCGCTGCCATTAAGGGATAACCGTAGTGTATGTGTAGTCGGGGGGGCTCGTATTCTCTCACGGGGAGCCAGTTAGCTCGAGGTGTTAGCTTGAGGTGTTAGCTCGGAGTTCATTCTAGCTAGCTAGCTTGAGCGAGCTAGTTTCTTTTTTTCATTTGTTTTTTTTTTGCCCCCTTCTATAACATCACGAGCAAAATGGCATGTGCGCCCAATCGAGTCCGCCTGCTGTGCATGCTCTCGCTGACGTTCGCCTTTTTCATTGTGGAGGTGGTGGTGAGCCGGATCACCGCGTCCCTCTCGATGCTGTCCGACTCCTTTCACATGCTGTCAGACGTCATCGCTCTAATTGTGGCTCTGGTCGCGGTGCGCTTCGCCGAGAAGACCCAAGCGACCGACAAGAACACGTTCGGCTGGATCCGGGCCGAGGTGATGGGTGCGCTGGTTAACGCCGTGTTCCTCACGGCGTTGTGTTGCACCATCGTGCTGGAGGCGATCGAGCGCTTCACGGAGGCCCGCGAGATCGAGCGGCCGCAGGTACAAGATAAGAAAACCTCACAATGGAGAAATTCCCAATTTACAATTGAAAATAATTTTAGGTGCTCGCCGGAGTGGGCTTAGCGGGGCTGGTGGTCAACTTGCTCGGGCTCTGTTTGTTCCACGGCCACGCCGGCGGGGGACACGGCCACTCGCACGGGGGGAAGAAGGGCAAAGGCGCCAAGTCACACCGGGCCGGCAATGGGACTCCTGGAGAGACGAACAATTTGGTGGGGAACCACAGTAGCTCCACGGACGCTTGTCAAACTGGTAAGTGAAATACCAAGTGGTGGGCCGACTTTGGTTCTCAAGGGCCACCTCTGTCAAATACATAATTACAATATGCTTTTTAAAAAAACGGACACCTGACCAAACTGTCACGGTTTTAGGTTGGCCGCCTGCTTTTCCGCCGGCAGCCAGTAGGGGGTCATTTGCAGACCACGCTAAAGAGAAAATAAATGTATAAATATGTATTTATTTCTTCATAATGTATACTATCATAACGTCAAAAACATAATTGAGTTTCATTTTTACATTTCGTCTTGAAGCTAATTTAATTTTAATTAACCAACAACTGCAGTTTATAGAATATCGTTGCCACAAAGCATCATTCCCGAAGTCATTTTTCAATATTTTTAGAAGACAAAAATAACATTTTTTTAGAACACACATATATAGAAATATTTTATAAAATGTTAAAATTATAATACATTAATAAACGATGAAAGAGACATATTTTTGTGTGTTCTGTATATTTAATATATTAAAAGGCAATAGATAACTCGATTAAAAATAGCCTATTCTCATTTTTAGTTAGATGATACATGAACTAACTATTTAAGCACAAATATTTTGCAATTTTTTTTCATTTTGGCTGCCCTCCAAACGACTCCAAGGCAGCCTGTCTGTGCTCCAAGCTGTCTTCATAGTCAGCAGTCCACATTGCATAACAGTACAATCTATTTCCTCTTAGCCTATTCAGAAACGAGCAGTCACATGAAAACTGGACGTCATTTGGTTCCGAGGCGTATGTCGTTCTCACTTGCTTGGGCCCTGAAGGGTTAAAGTCATTCCCAAGGCCCAGGTTTCTCCCCCACACACACTGTTTGGCCTTGACATTTTCAATAAATGGAGAGCGCTTGCACCCCTCCTCCATGCCCCCGGTCGCATTTACTGGACTGTACGTCAACGTAATGGTGGAGTTGACGGCCGAAAGTACAGCATTGGCCACTGATGAACGAGACTCCATTGTCTCGGGGATTGAGGCAAACAGTTTCTTACCCTTGTGCACACGCCCTAATCAATGATTGCATTTTGCTCCATTTGAAATGAATGCTGTATTTAAATTCAGCTCTAAACAATCATGGCTTTAAGATTTAAACCTATCACTTACATTCACTACCATCAACGGCCTGTAAGGGGAAAAAAAATAAAAAAGAAAGAAATTGGCATATGACAGCTTACGGCTCAAACTGATCCATTTTCAAGTCACACAAAAAAAATAAAGTAGGAAGAATGTAAAAAGTACTTTTTCGGTGTGAGACGTCTTCTGCTTGGCATTTGTGGAGCCCGAGGCAAATCCACTCCGGGGGCCCTTCCACATTCCTCTACCGCGCTGACTACTTGAAGTTGAATTTGCAGTTGTATCAATTTTTATCTGCATGTAGCTTTCTGTCTGTCCACTGTAGGATATTTCTTCCCAAATATTTTGGCTGTGACTGTTTATTGTGAATTAAAAAGTGTGAATTTCAGAGAATTCTATTTGCAGAGCATGATAAAGTTGTTACATTCTTTAAGGATTATAATACCGCAAGTGAATCCGTGCAACGCTTTTACCGCAGTTTACAAGATTTAAGAATGTTAATCCATATTTAATATCGTTTACCAGTTGGACTGCTTTAATAATCAATTCTATTCGAAATTGAAATTCTTCAGACGTCAGCCCGAAAGAGAGCTCCGAGGTGCAGATCAACGGCGGCGCTCAGTACGAGGACGTGGACAATGACCACAATACGTCCTCGCAGCTCAACATGCGCGGCGTCTTCCTCCACGTGCTGGGCGACGCCCTGGGCTCTGTCATCGTGGTGATCAACGCTCTCATCTTCATCTTCGTGTGGCAGCCCTGCAACAAAGACGAACTCTGCATCAACCCGTGCATCGAAAGCCACGCCACCGACCACTACCACGGCAACCACACCCTGCTGGATCTGCGAGGGAGCCCCACCGCGGCCAGCGCCAAGATGGCGGGCCCCTGTTGGGTGCTCTACCTGGACCCCACGCTCTGCCTCATCATGGTGTGCATCCTGCTGTACACCACGTACCCGCTGCTGAAGGAGTCCGCCCTCATCCTGCTGCAGACGGTCCCCAAGCAGATCAACATCCACCGCCTCAACGAGCGCTTGTTGAACCTGGACGGGGTCCTGGCCATCCACGAGCTGCACGTGTGGCAGCTGGCGGGCAGCCGCATCATCGCCACGGCGCACATCAAGTGCCACGACCCCACGTCCTACATGGAGGTAGCCAAGCGCATCAAGGACTTCTTCCACAACGAGGGCATCCACGCCACCACCATCCAGCCCGAGTTTGTCACCTTCAGTTCCGAGTCCCAGGACTCCCTGTGCGAGCTCTCCTGCCGGACTCAGTGCGCCCCCAAGCTGTGCTGCGGCGCCGGCGACAAGAAGGCAGCCGGTGACCTGAGGGCCATTGGCGAGAGCCCGGAGCCGGCCGCCGTGTCTCTGGTGCAGCCGCAGGTAATCGTCACTTCCGAGGTGGAGTCGTCTCTGTGAGAGAAGTGGCAAGCTGGACTAACTGCTGTCGATTAAGATTAGAAAATTGGCTCCGTGGTTCCCGCCTCAGACGGTCTTTCATCGCAAGCCTCTATCCGTATATCTTTTTTTTTTTCTAAAATGAAAAAAAGTGACTGAAGACTTCATTTGTTTTTAAACTAAAAAAAAAAAAAGTTGCCTGATTTTTAATCGTTACATTTTTAGCTCCACTCATAAAATGAGAAATTGAAAAATAGGCCGCAGCATTGATCATGATTTTTAGTTGAATTGGCCCCTGAAGTTCCACGAATGAGCCGCTGTCAAGGTACTTCAGCTTGTTAGTTGACAAACTTTTACATTTGTGGTGAACCAAAACGTTTTTAAAAATATATATGTTTTCCTTTGAGACATATGTAATATTTTTGCAGTTTTTCTCTCTGTTGTGAAACTAAACAAATATGAATGGATGAAATATAAAACTGTCAAATGTTCTGCCTGTAATTTATATTTTTAAAAAAGTTATCTTGCTCATTACAAAAAATTTTTAATCTGTCTATTTATCATGTTTTTTTAAAAATTCTGCCTAATATCGGGATCGGCCTCAAAAAGTCCATATTGGTTGGGCCTTAATCTTGTTACTAAATTCCCGGGTCGCGTCCACACAAACAATCCAATATTAGAACCAAATTCTGTGCTGTGGCCTCTCTTTTTTTTTCAATTTCCAAGCCAAAAATATAAAGATGGAAAAATGAGTTGACTTTTTCTATCAGATTAAAAAATAATAATAATAATGAAACGAGTGACTTTTTCGCTTGCCAGCTGAAAATGGAAACGACAATTGATACGCCGATTCGTTTCGTCATTGATGGCACGTCAGGGGTTCACTGTCTTCGGAACCTTGTCCCATGGTGTTGCTGTGCCAAAGCTTCTCCTCAGGACCTCCGAATGTCCTTCGCAGCACACGTCTCGCTCACTTCAGCCTGTGGACTTTGTGTGTATTCTCCTAATCCCCTCATCCCTAAAAATGGAGTATTGTATTGCTTAATGAAGTATTTAAGTTATTAGAAAGAATCTATTTCGCTCAGTAGATGCTGCTTCTCTTCTCTCTTCGGCCCGCCATCTATGCTGTTCGTTAGAGTTTTTGGCCTCTTTGGATAAGAAGCTGGATAAAGACCTCATAGCCTGCCTTTGCGCCCACTGGCACTAGCACTGAGTGCCGGCGACGTAAACGGCGACGGCGGCACCATTCGTTCGAGATTTAATGCCTCCCGTTGCTAAGAAACGAGCCCCGCAATGTCGCCGGTGGGCTCGCGATGACGGCCAGTCGTTCTTTGGCGGCGTTCCCGCTGTCCAAACTTGAGACTTGGTCCTCTGGGTCAAGAGCTCTAAAAAAAAGGTGCATCATGTTCGATTCGTCCCAAGCATCACCACCACTGTAAGAGTGACTCAACATGCATTTCATCTGTCCACCGCTTTGGACGGCTGAGCACCCAAGTTCTTATAGTGGCCTTGAAATTGTCTAGAAGAAGAAAAAAAAAACATTACTATAGTTTTTGTCACTTAACAAGGTGCAATTGAGAATCCCCCTCCTGATTCTATGTATATGCAATGTAAACAAATGTGCTGGGAAATGTATTTGGATGTGTTCCTTCATTTTTATAATGTGCAGTCACTTCTACCCTGTGTCTTTGGGCACATTTATGTGGCTTTATGTGAAAAATAGTTTTTTTTTTTCTTTCTTTTTAAGATATGAAATGTGAGCTGATGTTTTTTGATATGCCATCTACTGTTTCTGTCCACTGTGTCATCCTGAGACAAAAAAATATATATATGGCTGTTTGGTACAGTTGATGAACTTAAAAGGTGTCTCTTGCTCTTTTTGTATATAGTCGACTGGGGCGGGCGTGAGAATTCTGTGAAATGCGTGTCATTGATTCGGGCTCCAAATAATCATTGTTCAATCTGTCGATTAATCACTGGATCGGATAAAAAAGGCAGTTTTAAAAAAAAAATCTCTTTTTTGAAAACAGAACATTATTTCAAATACGGCTGCAGTTGCTGACCATACGATTGCCGGTCACGGGGTCTTACATAAGAGGCAGACGCGAGGAGGTGGGGTGGGGGGGGGGCTGTGCAAACGCAACATGCACCCAGGGCTCTACCCAGCATTCCTGTGCGCTGCTGCGATGCATTCGTTTCATGTTGTCGGCGCATACAACAGTGCTTTGTGTGTGCTCTCTGTTCACAGCGGTTGTTCTTTGCACCTTGCCTGCAGGCTATTGTGGATGTGTGCGACATTGAAAAGCGAGTCAGCATGCCGTCCGTGTTTTCGTTGAACCCATTTGACTTGTGAGTGGAGTGTCAGCAAAAAAAAAAAAAAAAAAGTTATTGTTTGGTGTTGGGCTGAAAGCTCGACGACCATCCCTAGCACCACTTTTCTTTTTTGGGCGGGGCTAATACAGTGAACCCCCAGTTGTCACAGGGGATAAATGACAGAATTTTCTTTTTTTTATTCAGTTTTACCCCTCCCGCATGCTTTTAACACATCTAAGTGTTAAGATTTGAGAAAAAAAAACTATTTTAGGAGTTTCTGCTCAACCGTATTCAGCATTGCTAAGTTATCACCCCGGGGGTACTGATGTGGAGGCTTATAAATTCCTAAATAAAGTGAAAAAGAATTTCCAATGAAGAGATGATCATTTGGATTCTGGGATTGTGGATTAAAAGTGTTGAGGGTGACAGCCCTCTCCTCTCACACACTGAGGTTTTTTTTTTTTTAATCTGACCACATGGCAGTTCCGATGGCCTCCATCAAAGAGCTTTCAGGCAAGGGGGAGCCTAAGCCGGCTGGAATGTTAACTCCACAGACCACCGCCACCATGACAGTAGCGGCTAGTGTGGGGATTACATGTCGTTTAGTGAACAAAAAAATTGTGTCAATTCGAATTTAGGCTTGTGTGGGTATCCTTGATTGATTGAGATACCATGACACCTTTCAGGCTTCGTGAACACGATAAGGGCGACACTGAAGGCCCAGATTCGAAATGCGCAGTTCGTCACTCTGTGTAAATGTCAAACGACAAGCGTTGCCTTTGGAACTTTGACCCCTGCATAGAAAATGAAAACAATTTTAAAAGCCTATGGATAAGATAAGATAAGCTTATAGGGAAAGTTGATGTGTCACGGCGTGGATAGATACAAATATGCTCTATGTATTGTTTGTATCGAAGCTGCAGGAGGTGTGAATGAAGAACGTGTTGACTAAATGTATCCCTTCCTACGCTTTTGACTTTTTGATCACAGGGCTAAGTGGTTCCGACCAGCAATAATTAATTCCCCGCTAATCATAAAACACTTGAAGGACATCAAGTCAGGATGATGGATGATGAACGCACCCCCTGCCCCCATCATATAATCGGTGCACGTGGAGGCGCACAGGGGCTGTTATCAGTCAGGTGAGCAGCAGCAGAAGAAAAGACAGCTGACAGTTGAGCATGGTCAGCTGACGATCACATTTAAAAGTAAGACATGTCTGAACACTCCCAATGATGACTGAACGGAATGGTGATGGAGTTACAGATTAAAATTAGATTATGGAACGTTTAAAGAAGGTCAACTCAAATTGACCGCAAAGGTGGTTGTGTCATGGATGTTTTTGTGACCAACAGGGGGCACTGTAGGGCCCCTCCTGCAGCTGCACACCTGTTGGCCCTTGTGTCATTGGTTTGCTGTTGAAATGACTCCCCGCCCGACCACTCAGCGGTTTTGGATTTAGTTTTCTCCGTGTTTTATGAACACGTTTTGTGAAGTCCACCCTGCTCCTCCCTCCTGCCTGCTTTTTGGAGTCCTCCACACCATCACGCTCATGACAGGTAGAGCGTTTTAGGTTCATTCAAAAAGCTGAGTATGCATTTTTGCATTTGAGCTTTAACCAAGTGTGCTCTAGTTTCAAACGAAAACCAAATTCATGTATGAAATGTAATCCAAGTCGTGTTAACATACTGCAGCGTGAAGTGCTGCATAGCATTTTCTGACCATTTACGCTTGTGAGCTTTTTGAGTATTGAGCTGTGAGTGAATGGCAGAGGCCTCAGTCCACAGTGCTTATGGGGCTTTTCTATTCAAAAGGGGAAACTGGACAAAGGCCAATGAAAAGTGGATGTCAGCACATCTGTGTTTTCTTTTTTTTCTTCTGTGCTCATGTGATTAGCCAGCACTTCCTTCCGTATCAGCCTTGCCGTTTTCAAATGAAACATGCGAATGTCATTATGAAACTTTTACTGGCCGTGAGGATTTGGCAATAATGTGAGCAAGGTGGAAGTTTGATGATTTAACAAGACAGATAAGGTGAAGTTTGTGGCTGTTGACACACTTAGACTCCAATCCAGTTGATTTTAGGCTAAAAGGCGGAGGATTGAATGATTGCCAGTGGGTTGGTATCCAGCCAATTGGGAATGATGCTTGCTTCTAGCAATTCTAAACAAGATAAGGAGTTTTGAAAATGGATGGAAGAAGGCATATAAAAACTATTTTGTGATGATGAATCTCTTGAGTCCACCTTTTCCCTGACCGTGGTGCCTGAGTAAAGAATGTATGATTTGGAGGATTTCTATTTGTTTAGCAGGCGGGGCAGAATTCTGCTTATTTGAGTGAGTTTGTACTGTTTGTTTTCACAGTCGAAAGTTGACAACACACCCGAGGACACTCCCTTTTCTCGGTTTGATTCCACACAAGCTACCTAATTCTAAAAATAAAGAATGATCATTAGAACTGAATCGACTACTTCTCCTTTTATGACAAAGATGGGGAAACCGCACTCTAGTGGAAAGTTTGCGTAGTCGCACACTGGAGTTTCTTGTTTACATTTGTGGGACGTGTACCGTCTGCCCTAAAACGTTTATTTAGTTGCGACCTAGAAGTGCTGAAGTAAATTGTTTCAGTAAGGGGAGCATCCTTATTCTGTCATAATGTGGTTGAGCAAGTGCGGACATAGCCCTTATATCTGGGATCATTCAGTCAGGATGTGATTGGTCGACTGCTGATTTGTCGATCAAGTAGAAACCATCAGTAGTTTTCTGACCTCTTTTATTCCTGAATGCCAGCACAAGGTGTGCTGCACCCTAATCCGGTTGATTTGGGTAAAAAGCAAACTACTGTACAATGATGGAACGTTTAATTATGTGTTTATATGTGCTGTGCCAATGGGCTGGTCGCGTTGAATGACAAAGTTGGGGAAACACCGCTCTCTAGTGGAAGGTTTGGGTAATCGCACAGTAAAGTCTCTTATTCAGTACTAAGTCGTTTGATGGGAGGAAAAATGGATTTGTAAAAAGGCCTCCCCTCACAAAACATCCCTTCTTGATACCTAGCACTTTCTGCACTCTGTTTTTAAAGATGTATGTGTCTTTTCATTCTTATTATTCAAATAATACATATTCTCTGACCTTGATACGCAGCTTGGATCAGTCAGAGCCTCTAATAATGAATGCCACGGTAAGTGCGTCCCTTTAGAAGTGTTAACTGAAGGAAGGCCAAGTGGAGCACATTGTGGCCGTTTGAGGGAATCACTTTAAAGGATTAGGGCCGCTCATGTCGGGTTTCCTGGGAGCAGCTTACTTTCCCATCTGTTACCTCCAAGCTGAGGAGACATCGCCTTGTTTGGGAATGACTGCTGGGAGAATTCATCCTTTGATTAGACTTTTCACATGGTTATCTTACCATAGGTATAATTTTGCTCTTCTGTGGACTATATGCCTGCCAGCAACACTGCGTATTTTTTGTTATTTTGGGTCAGATTTATTGTCGAATTTTATTCACTTATCTAGAAAATCGAGCAACCTACTTCCCTTCCGATCTGAAGTTAGAATGCTGTAGTTTCAAGTATGTGGGGGGGAAAACTGTTAGCAGCACAAGTAATGTGCATGAACAGCTCTTTCAAAAATAGCCTGTTTTTAATTCTTTTTTTTTCCCCCAATACCATTGAGACTACTGCAAATTGTGGTGTGATTCAACAGAGTTCACAGTTCGTACCGCAGTGTTGAGTGTGCGCTTACACCACCCACACCAAACTAAAGCTGCGATGTTGCTGCATCGTCGAGCAATCTCATAACGCGGGCCTCTCCGGGTCAGAGAAAGACATTATCCGGAGGAGGGTCATTGGCACACGCACGACCTCGTCCACATGTTTGATCAAGCGCTACAACATCCTTTTGAATTGGACTCCCTCTTTGAAATCTCTTTGTCCCCTTTATCTGCCTCTTCATCGCTCCCCTCTCAGCTGATGGAGGTTGTTGTGGACAAATAGGCTTAGGCCAGTTACTATAGCAACAGAGAATTTCAGGAGGGGGGGGGGGAATCAAGGGAAATAAGCACTTCATCATCAGGGGCCTCAATCTCCCGCTGGAGATCCGGGAGCCCCCGACCTAGTGCAACAAGTGAAGGCAAGCCAACGGAGGCTCCAGGGAGAAAGAGGAAGAGGAGGAAGAGGAGGAGGAGGAGGGATACACAGAGATGAAGATAATGGAGAGAGTGGATCCATAACGTGCCTGCTGCGCTTTTCACAACATCGGACTGAGGCTTTCGCTCACAATTTTTATTTTTTAATTGTGGTTTGAGGAGGGTCATCTTAAAAAAAAAAAACTTTCCACAGAACTCAAGAGGTAAGAAACAGTTTCCTTTTTTAATTGATGAAATTAATTCTGCATGCAGAAAATTTAACCACTTAAAAATAAATTTGACGCTATTCGAAAGATTTAAATTGCTCAAAGGGCTGCCTTCCATCTATATGTCATGTGATTGTGGGAATAACAGTCAAATATTCATTGGTTGAATCGGGATCATTCACTCATATCTATATGTGTCCTTCTTGTGGAGTGAAAAAAAAACCCCACCTAATATCGATTTGTATAAATAGAATGGAGTAAACCAAACACATTTTATGTGGAATGTTTTGGAGTTGGATTTATCGTGTGAACGGATTAACTCCAGATTAAAGAGAGGACGGTTACAAAACAAGGTGGCCACCTTGCGCGTGTGTGTGTGCTTGTGTATACATGTGTGTGCGAGCGCGTGTTCTAAATTGCTAGGTTTGTCATATTTTGGTTACCACAATAATTCCCTTTAGTCCATTTTTTATTTTTTTTTTGGTTTGATTTGAGAGCAAAAAATGGATGCTACTGCTGTATTGTAGCAGTGACCTCAGATTACTTCACAGTTGTAGCATGATAGATAGTGAACAAATCTTTAAAAAAAAAATCTTGACTGTCAAACTAAACATCAAACTATGAGAATTACATGTTTTGTATGTAATTTTGCCATTAAGCTATCTTAATGCTAACACATACTGAGAAATGCCACAGATTATGTAATGAATAGCATCTAGGCATACAATATAACAATACAGGCATATACTCTTTATCCTCTACAAAGAATGACTACCATAATATTACTGAGTCACGTACAGTAATTGCAATGAAACTCTGTTCATCTGCTGCCTGGTGGTCATGTCATGCTTTTGAATTCATCATGATACACAGAGTTCGGGGATCCGGTTGAGGAGGACCCGCGCCATGGCCTCCTGGTTCAGCTGGAACGAGCCTCACCGGCGCATCCCACACAGGGAGCCGGCCGACGTGGTCGCCGACACGCTGATGGTGGAGCTGAGCTGGCAGCTGAAAGAGGCGGAGAGGCAGCAGAGAGAGAGGGAAAGCGAGTACCGGCGCCTCAAGACCGGGGTGGACTACAGCTGGTTGGCCAGCGTGCCGCGCTCGTCCTACAACATCAGCACCGGGGAGAGGTTGGGCTTGGAGGACCTCTGCTCCAAGGTGCCGCCGTCTTGCTGTGGACTGGTCATACTCAAGTAAGAGCACGCCTCTGAATAACTATTGACGTCCCCCCCATTAACCAAATATATAAGTCGCTGGTGGTCTCTTCCTGGTAATTCTGTCTCTAGACCAACTATGTAAACTGCTTCCGATTAGTGAGGATCTTTCTGATGAAAAAAACTGGTTGGAGCACAACTAAGCAATGTCTACCATCTAGTGGTGAATACTGATATTACAATTCAAAACTACAATAGGAGAAACGGGTTTATGATTCACCTCCCTCCCTATTTTTCCCAAGGGGAACTTGTGTGTTTTTGCACACCCTGAATTTGTTTGCGCATCTGTTCCCACGCCGCTGAGGTCTCAGGTGCCTCGTTAGTGCTCGCGCTAGCGAGGTGCTAAAAATTAAATGGCGTCTGACACAAAATAACAGGTCTCTCCTCTTGGTTGTGCACAGGTTCCGTGACACGATTCGAGCTAGCGAGCCAGAGGTGCACGAAGTGTCGGGCCTCTTCCGTTCGGTCCTCCTGGAGGCTGTGGAGCAACTGAAGGAGGAGCAGGAGTCCCAGCGGCTCGCCCGCCAGTGGAGCAATAAACGCGCCAAGAGCATGTCCCTTGTGAACTTCAGGTCCCGCATCAAGATCAACCCATTTGGGAGCGCGGCAGGCCTGATCTCGGGCGAGGGGGGCCGTTTGAGTGACCTGAAGACAGTGTCGGAAGATGTGGAAAGAGGGAGCGAGAGGGAGGAGAGGGTGTGGAGCATGCCGGACTTCAGATACAAAGGAACAAGCAGCAGTAAACTTGTCTAAAGGTACAATGAAGGACCAAGATGTGGAGATGGCAGACTTGGGTCATCTGACGTGACTCAAGTCAGACTTCAGTCATCGGTTTTTAGTGGGGAATCGGACTTTTTTTTTTCTTTCACAAAACGCACACTCGCGCAGAAGCTGCTATCAACCGCAGCTCACACAAGACACTCACGCAGATTCAACGATGTCACGTGCCAAGCTATCAAGCCTCACCTCTTAAAGGCACATGCATGTATCTAACACACACACACACGAGAGTATTTTCTATGCCATGTGATGTTTTTTTGTTTTTGTTTTTTTTAGTTTTTATGCATGTCACCTTCAGATAAATATTTTAGGCTTGCAATTGATATCCTACATTTCCAGTTAACTTCTTTTATTACAATAAAACGCCTGGTAAGAAAACCACTCATTCCTTAGTTTCTATGCATGTCACCTTAAGATAAATATTTCAGGCTTGCAATTGATATCCTCCATTTCCAGTTAACTTCTTTTATTCCAATAAAACGCCTGGTAAGAAAACCACTCATTCCTTCACATTTTTATAATTCGCCAACTCGATGTCAGCAGACAATTTTGTCAAGTTCTGATCCCAAATATTGTGAATAAACGCACAAAATGCGTATTCTTTATGTTTAAGCAGGAAATAATCCCCCCCCCCCTCCATCACCTGAGGATGCCTACCCCTTCCCAAGAAAGCGATAAAACATTTGATTGCTTTATTGTGACACACAGCTCTATGAATGCGGTGAACGGGTTTGAAAACGACAAAGGGGCTATTTTGTTTGACAAATTTTTTGACAGGATGCGTCTGGGGAAAAAAAAATGTCGACGTTACTGAGGGGTTTCAAGTACATGAATGCGGTGAACGGGTTTGAAAACGACAAGAGGCTATTTTGTTTGACAAATTTATTGACAGGATGCGTCTGGGGAAAAAAAATGTCGACGTTACTGAGGGGTTTCAAGTATGTGAGTCACAATAAAAATGGTTGTATCCATACAGACGAATGACGACGGTCAAATGGAGCCTAAATAAAAAGTAGCAATAGCCGAATAAACTGTTATTGACATACCGTAGACAGCCAATGGCCACTTTATTTGGCACACCTGCACTGCAAACCATAAAAAAGAAACTTAAATGAATATTCTCTGACAGTGCGAATTAAAACTGAGGATTTTCACCATTGCAGAGCAGATTTTGGGCGGTCGTGGATTCCAATGACATTGTGCAGGTGCACCTTAAGTTCATAACGATCCATATAAGCGGCAAACATGTCCCATGAGCCCGCTCGCCAACTTGGTCTGAATTCAGTCATAGCACCACCTCACTGTGCTGCGTCTTGTCCCCTTCAAGCGGGGGTACACACATACCAAGAATTGGCACTACATTTAGATTTCTTTTACAAAGTCAACACGAATTCTCGCTTTTTTTTTTTTTTTGCTTTAGTTGGATTGCGGTGTGTGTGTGCACAATTTATTCACCACAATAAAACTGAAAACGAGAAGTTTGCAACAGAAATTTAGTTCCAAGTTAAGCTAACAGTTAGCCTCGCTTCTTCTATGACATTTCTTTCTTCATCTGCAATGAGGCGCCTCATTCAGGTCAGTCTTGGTACTACGGCTGAAATTTAATTTCAACATAAGATTACAGCCTAGCCTCTTCTATTTCTTCTACGAAATCTCTTTCAACTTCTTCATCTGCACCGTGGTGCCTCTTACAGGTCAGTCTTGGTACTACGACAGACATTTGATTTAAAGCTTGAGAGTTGTGTTTTGGTTTTTTTTTTTTCCACTCATCTAAATAATTGGTTCAGATGTTAAACATGGGTATGTGTGTACCCCACTTGAAGGTGTGCCGCAACCTGGTTTGACATAAACCTTTATTTACATTTCTTCCCCTGGACAGCTTGCTTGTAGTTTCCTGAGGTCGGCTGCTGTGCCCATTCGGGGAATCACAAGGTAGAGTTCAAGAACTCCAGAAGTTCGGCTCGATTTTTGTCTCGCTGTGGTAGAAATAGATTCAACGTGATCGGAGAGCGAATAGCAAAACGGCTGTTGAAGAGATTGACATACCTGTTTGTCCTTTTTTGACTTCTTGACTTTCATCTTGATCTTCTTCCCTGAAATCATGCTGTACTTCCTGCCTTTCTTCTTTTCCTTCAAGTACTGAGGACAAGAACGAGCGATGAGATCTGACACCAGGCGCCCGTTTCCTTCAAGACGGAAGTAAACTACGCAGGAAGGCGAGGGGTATTCCAATTGGAGTGAGATTTGGATGCGCACGTCCAACTGCTCAATGTTTCGGTACGTTTTGCGCGTCTTGCTGCATTTTCTGTGTCACTTTCAGTCTAATTTTGGGAGCAGCGTATAACGCAATCTATTTTGATGATCTTTTTAACTCTCTCACAACACAGTCAAAACAACGTGGATAAACAACCTTGGATATCTGAACAGGTCCGGAGTTTTCTTCCCTGCTTTTGGCTTTCTTTTCCTTTTTATGCTTATGCCGCTTCTCTTTCTTCCCTTTCTGCTGCACATGAAAAATGACAACATATGAAAAGTTTTGCAATGGTTACTTGACAATTCATGAACAACCACCACAAAAGAGATAAATACCTTTTTGGGTTTGTCACTTTTCCTTTTCTTTGATTGCTTTCTGGACTTACTTCTGGAGTCTGGAAAGAAATCGGCGACCGCGTTTAGCGAGAGAACTATCAAATCAAAGCTTGCGAATTAAACTCACCGCTGCTTCTGGAGCTACTCCGGCTGCTGGATGAGTGTGACGAACCCGCTGAAGAAGAGGACGACGCTGAGGATGAACCCGACGACGAACTGGAGGACGACGACGAGGAAGAGGAAGATCTACTACGGCTGCGTTTACGCTTCTTTTTTTCTCTACCTGCGTAAAGAGAATATTGGAGTCAACGTGCTCTGGTAGGCGAACAGCCAAATATTCCTACTCAGTTGAGATCAGGACTGGATGCCCACACTGGTAAACAATGTACACATAAATAAGAGTATGCCATGTAAACGCACCGCATGTAGAGTATAAATCCCAGTAATTCTACTTAAGTCCTTATTGTATATTTTGTGATGGGATCTTTTTAGAACTCACGTGACACCAACTACAGGTGACAAATGACCTTGTTCGTCTAACTTTTACCATACTTGATTATTCTGATTCCTTCGTCATGACAAATGTGTGTGTAACATATCTTATTTTGTTTGTTTATTGATTGATTGGTTGATTGATTGCAGCCTTGCCTCTGCTCTTGTCATCCGCCCTGGAGCTTGAACTGGGCACTCTGCACTCCGCTTTTGTTGACTGGAAAGAAAGAAGAATATGGATTATTGAGACAAATCTGTAAAATATGGAGAAAAGGACTGTTTGAAAGGTAAACAAAGACTTTGAGAGTGATAAATGTGTACATTTTTGTTAAATGTTTTATTCGGCACAATAGGAAAAGGAATTGGATTAAGAGCTCACACATCAATCATCCATTTGATATGATTAGCTGTGACAACAATGTACGCTTTTGACGTGATCGATAAACTCCTTGAATTTAAATTTCCCTATGACTGAAAGAATGCAAATAGCATTTCCATGCCCTCATCCCATTCGTCCATTTAAAATGCTTTGTCTTCTTTTATTAAATCACGACATAGAATAATTCAAGATGCTATATAGTCCTACTCTTATAATTTTCACCAAATGCATAAATGGGACAATACACCACCTGAGTCATAGAAGATATTACATTAGAATATTCTATGGCGTCATCAAGTTATGGACTGTTACCAAAATTTAACGGGAACATCCTTGCAGCGTGACCTAACCACCACCCAATTCGATGGAGCTCTCTCAACCGGTATAACCAGGAGATAGCCAGCGGAATCACAAATAGATGAACAAATGATGAAAAGATTGCATTTAGCGGTTCTTCCTGCAGCAAATGATGAGACCCGGACCGTGTCACTAACCAAATACAACCCCTCATTTGCATTTCTTACGCACGCAATGCGTTTGACAGAAGACGGCATTCGGTACTCACCATGGCAACAATGCAATACGATTTTTATCGAAGACACCTCGACAACGCTATAGCGTGTATACGTCTGGATTAATTCGCGGCGATGGTCCGCAGGTTAGCAGTAGCTAACAGCCACAGGAGACATTTTGTATCCCAGAATGCACCGTTGCGAGCTTCCTTCACAACAAGGAAGTGAAGAGAGAAGAAAAACAACTTCGTTTTTTATTTAGTTAGTTTATTTTTACTGCTACACATTTGTAGGATACGGATTCATCCTTTCAACTTACGCCCAGGGAAACCGGAACTATTATGTGGCCCCCGATGAAAACTAGTTTGACACTGGCGAATGCTGTGCTCCACCTCTCACCCAGTCAGTCGGGATACACTCCACCATCCAAGATGGATTGATAGTTGATCATAATGACGTCACAACCCAAACACATTTTTATAATAATGTACAAAACATTTATTATGGCAGAGTTAGTACATTATACAAATACAAGAAGCACAAATTCCAAAAAAATGGATGCTTGTCATTGTTCAAAGTATCACGCAACTATGCAAAAAAGTTGAATTGATTACTATCTAATGTAGTCAGTTTGATAACACCCACAGCCCTTTTTTGTAACACACACACATACACACAAAATCATTTGATTCAAAGAATGGTGGCATGATGCATTTCATATGGAAATCTGTAACTTTTGCCCTCTGTCATCATCTGGTAAAATAGAAAATGTGGACTGATTCTTTTTACACTGCAGGGCTACAACCAAACTGACCATGTCAATTCATCAATATGTGAACTTGTATGTACATAGAAGAATACAACTTATGTAATAAAAATAGTAACAAAATGAGCCACAGTGTGTACACACACACACACACACACACACACACGTGTGAACATGTATGTACATAGAAGAATACAACTTAGGTAATAAAAAATAGTAACAAAATGAGCCACAGTGTACACACACACACACACACACACACACACACACACGTTGGTTCATCACAGGAACATTGAAGGTCAAAAGGTAAGGGTGATGAGGTCAAGTGAAGCCCTGTTTTGTCCCTGTCTTTCCCCAAAGTTTTACTTGTGAAAAATGACAATGTTTGAAAGAAAAAAACAAAAAAATACGTGTTATTCTAATATGTAAAAATAGTTTTTAAAAAAACATGCTAGTAAATTTATTAAAGTAGATTTAAAAAAAAGCTTACAGGCGTTGCCGTGTTCCAGTGCTGAGTGAAAATTCACTTGTGAACTGTTGATTATTTCAGTGTCAAAAAGTAAAAACAACCCTTAAGGTTAATCTTGATCAAATGTGCTTTCATAATAGATGGGCATTTGACTGTACTTTGTTTAATTATGCTGTGCTATCCACAGAGCTCTACTTGTTTGGGTTTTTTTTTTTTTTTTTTTTAAATGTCTCAACCCAAACCAAACTGCATTTAAGAGCATTATGGAACAATACGATTCCCCTTTGCACTTTTTTTTCTACATTTTTAAACATCTGCTTTGTTCTTCGAGTGATCTGCGTGAGCCAAGCTCTCCTCATTCTCTTCTTCTTCCGCAGGGACCTGGAAAATAATAATAAGAAGAAGAAGAAGAATGGTCCTGAATTTCATGTTTAATCACGTGAAATATTTACTCTCTGCCATCATCTCTGAAGTATAGTAGCATTTCTTACCTCCCAGTAAATAGAGTCATCGAAGCAGTTCTGGTCAGGAGGTTGCCCCCAGATAGGCAACTTCATTATTAAACCTGAAAAATCGGGGAAACACATTTTTGGTCACCATGGGTCTTGCGCTTTTCGAGTAACTTGATGAGTCAGAATTGGAAAAGGCCCTTTTACACTAATCTCCACCCACCTGTGATAGCCCCACCGACCAAAGCAAACCCAAGGGACGAAGCCAAGGCAGCAGCTTGCATGGTAGCTTTCCCTCTAAAGGCGAACAGTCGGAATTTTATCAAGCACAACCGAAAGAAAATGACATTTGGCGGCTTGCATGACTGAACCTTACCCATCCTTTTTTCCCAAAGCCACAGCCACGATACCAGCCAAGCCTCCAAGGATACCCGGCATGCCGTGCAGATTGTGTACACCGCAGGTATCCTGGATGCCCAGATTAGATGCCAAAACAGGCTGCGGAGAGAGAACAGAAAACATCATTTGAATATTAATGTTGTATGTATGCGCTGTGTATTAATCGGTGGTCATTTCCTAACTCACAGTCAGGTACTTGAAGCCCAGTGTGGAAATGATGCCCGCCACTAAACCGATGAGCATCGCCCCGAAGGGCCCGATGTTCATGTCGGCGCACGTTCCCACGGCGACGCCACCGGCCAGGGTGGCGTTCTGAATGTGCACCTGTACAGTGAAAATGTGATGACAGAACGGGTCAAACGTGTACTCCACTGAAGTCGAATTCACATTGCAGTGCCATAAAAGTTGATCTTACCATGTCCAATTTTCCTTTGTGCTCCACCAGGCTGGAGATGGCGTAGGCCGAGAGGACGCAGGCGGCCAGGGAGAGGTACGTGTTGATCACCGCAGTGAGTTGGGTGAAACCCGGGTCGGCAATGGCAGAGTTAAAACTGGGCCAGAACATCCAGAGGAACACCGTCCCTGTTAAAGGATGCAATCGAAACTCATGGACTTCATCTTATTTCTTCGCAAATTTCCAAATGTAAGGGGCGGCAGTTGCAGCTCATGTAAAAGTCAAATGTTGACAGTATGTAAATTATTGGTTTAGGTTGCTAGAATGGGGCCTTTTAGCGTACAGCACATCCAAAATAAGTGTAGAAGCTGCGGGGACATTTGTGTCCCCTAGGTGGCGTAAAATAATAAGCAGGCTTTGGAAAGTTGCAGCTCCAACTTGTAGCACAATGAGTAGAACCCGGCTGCAGAGCGCGGTTCGAGGCCCGTCTGAACGTGGGGTGGTCCTCAACGTTTGACCCCGACCACGAGGAAATCGAAGCGCCTTCCACCCCACGTTGAGCACCGCCTCCAAGTGCGCTCTGCAGTCAGGGCTACTCGGAGTAAATTGACAAATGACTTTCAATCGTAGGAACTTGTCTTTTTACCGATCATAGCAAACAGATCAGAGTGGTAAACGGAGCCGTCATTCTCGTGCCCGTTCCTCAGACCAGGTCTGTAAAGTACTCGAGCCACGGCCAAACCGAAATAGGCTCCGTAGGCGTGGATGATCATGGAGGCCCCGACATCATAAGCCTGGAAAGAGACGAGAATTATTTCATTGCTGTGCAAAGTGGAGTCTCCACAAACTCGCCCATGAGTCGGCCCTGGATTTTCTCGGCCTTATCTATTTACTCGGGTACAAATCAAAGGAGGATCGTATTCCTCTGGTGGTTGGAGCTTGGCCGGTGAACTCACCCCCATGATTTCTGCCGCCAGATGCTCATTGATGGAGAAGATGGTGATCTCGAGAATGGTCATGATGAGCAACTGTACAGGACTGGTTTTACCAAGAACTGCCCCAAAGGAGATCAGGACTGTGGCCGTGCTGAAGTCCGCGTTGATGATTCTACAAGGTGAGAACACCAGTTGTTAGGAAAACAGATTATTCAAGTCAACTGTATTTATAGAGCACTTTAAAACCACCACTGCTGTACATAAAAGTGCATGTGCATGTACAGGGGCAGAGGAGCTCAGACAGGTGGGGCGAGGCCATTGAAAGATTTGAAAACAAACGATCGGATCATAAAAAGAACTCTAAAATGGCGCCGGCCTTACTTGAAGATGCTGATCTTAATTTTGCCGTCGTCCAGGTGCCAAATGCCCTGCATGAGGAGGCCCCACTGCAGGCCGAAAGCGGCCAGTAACAGGTTGATGCCTACGCTGCTGAAGCCGTATCTCTTCAGGAAGGTCATCAAGAAGCCAAAACCGATGAAGATCATAACGTGAACATCCTGGAACACTGGAGACACACAGGAAGGGAGGCGGGTAAGTACTTGGTCACGCAAGTCCCCGCGCATAACCGCTCGGTGGTGGCGGCGGCGGCAATATTGGATCAGACGGAACGCTTTCGTCTCTCGTGTTCAATTCAAAAACGAACCTCACGCTATTAATTTCCTGCACACTCATTTGAGCGCTTGAAATAATTCATTGGGCGCCGGTGGGGATCTCAGGAGTCATTTCCTTACACGGGAGCTGTTTTGTCAGCCGTGACCCGTTGGCTTGAAAAAGCAATCCAATCACACTCTCAATGCATTAGAAAAAGCTTGCGCTCTTCCGACCGAGTTAGCGGCCTTGTTCGGCTTCTATGAAGAGCATATGACTCGAATAGGTTTAGTATGGGAGGAGAAGGTATTTTTGGCCAAGTGAAGACTTTGAAGATTGAAAACAACAATGCTACGCCCATCTCAAGTAAGCAAGGTCATTGTTGATGATGACTGTTCCCTCAAAGACGGGAAATTGGAACCTTTAGCTTCATGTTGATGAGCTCCATCCATGGAAATAACATCAGGCTAGAAAGACAATAGATGTGATTTCCTTTTACTATAACCGATCCAATGGCCGCCGGTGTCGTCTCATGGGCCGTATGATGATTGTGTTGAAAGACCATTTTTAAACTACAGTCTGACCTCTTTAAATCGTTTTTATTTTTTATTTATTATTAGTTTTTTAAGATAAGCTCTGCTAAATTGACCCTAAATATGTCGAGTGCATGTTAAATCACTATGTCGGTGATCATCGTAGCTGCCCATAGAATATTACTTATTGTTTACGTTACAACTGAAATGATGCTTTATGAAAAGGCAAAACCCCCTTTTGGGTCACAACATAGTTTGAGCGGCGCAACTGAATTTGAGGCGCGAGAATTGGGAGGAAGCCACAGTGTCTGGCGTCACGCCCAGACGTTAGGTAACGCTCACCAGTAGAGATGCTCCCACTTGGCGACGACTATCAAGCAACATGAATGTCGGGAAGGATGCTTGAAATCATTTTGCACCTTACAAAGTGTCATTTGTTTTTCCTCATGGGTATTTGTCGTGCACAGAAAGTATGACATGGCTGATGCGCGGTAGCAGCAGACATAACGGGCGGTATGGACATAGCTTTTTTTTGCACGTTTTCCTTCTACTGTATCCGTGCATACAATCTAAATTCACTGAAATGTGAACAACATTCAATAAGGACCACCGATAGGTGAGTCATCATCTCTCTCATCAAAATTGTAACATTTAAAGCAAGAACAATGCTACAAATTCAATAAACTCATGCGAACGCTTCCCATTTGAAGTGGCAGCTGTTGCACTGAGCTTATCTCTGTGTTTCACACCTGCCACGCCCAACTGTGAGCGTGCACCAACTCCGGCGCAAAGCTGCAAATGGAGTGCGCATCATCCGTAGAAAGGTTTCAAATAATTTCTCCGGGGCGGCATGGTGGTCGACTGGTTAGCGTGCCAGCCTTGCAGTGCGGTGTTCGATTCCGGCTCTGGCCTCCCTGTGTGGAGTTTGCATGTTCTCCCCGGGCCTGCGTGGGTTTTCTCCGGGTACTCTGGTTTCCTCCCACATTCCAACAAACATACACGGCAGGTTAATTCAACACTCTAAATTGTCCCGAGGTGTGAGCATGAACGTGGATAGTTGCTCGTCTATGTGTGCCCTGCGATTGGCTGGCAACCAGTTCAGGGTGTCCCCGGCCTGCTGCCCGAAAACGACTGGGATAGGCTCCAGCACGCCCGCGACCCTCTTGAAAATAAACGAATCAGAAACCGGATGGATACATTTCTCCATGACAGTATGCAACCCAACACTTGATCTTGCAGAAGTGCTTTGGTGACTAAGATTCGATTGGACCAAAGGGAGTGCGACCCTGTGACTCCTCTTATTGCACTTATTAGATCTGCACTGCAACAAACAGCCTCTATTTCTGTCGTCCATCACAGTGATAAATAGAGTTCACATTTTTCCAATCAAAAACCGGACTGGATAAGATCCAAAATGTAAAAAAAAAAAAAAAAAAAAATTGGGAAAAGACAAGCGATAACATTCACTTAAAACCGTCCGCAGAAAATTTGCTTCAAGTTTAGTAAGTCTCGTAACAGCCAACCCAACTTTTATATTCAATGTTTTGGCCTTTAAAGGCCCGCAGAAAGACACATAACCCCCCACTCCCGGTAGTCACGACTTTTCCCCTTTTTCGTCATAGATGCGCCGCATCGGAGCATCCCTCAGCAAACCAGTCGCACTATTTACACTTACTGGGATAGAGCATCATCGGCGGGTCCTGGTGGCCCGTGTCGTTGATGTGGCCGTCGTGGCCGTGACCTTTACCGTCATCGTAAACCACAAAGACTGCAAACAGGATGATGGTGATAACCTCTAAAGCCAAGGCCACGATGGGGAACTTGAGTCTCATGTTGGTGGCGTACGCAGGCATCCCAAGTCCCACTCGGTTGTCTTTCTGTGGCGCTCGCACAGACACACACACACACAGGAACGTGCTCACACATACACGCACAAACGCGCGTGCGCACAACAGGCCTTTGTGACTGACTGACTGAGTGAAGGGAGGGAAGAAAGTGGCGTCTGCTTTTAAACTGATGTGCGATTTCGGTGTGACCAATGACGGAGCAGAGGTCTCGGGCCTCCTGGATGATGAACACCCACCCCTGTTTCTTGCCACCCCCCCACACCCACCCCCATTCATTTTCAGGGATGGGTTTCCTCTCTAGTTGACTGACGTGACAGAGCCAAAAAAAAAAAAAAAAGTGTAGGGATTACACTTAACACCTACTTCTTATCCGCTAGCTTCTCAGCGTTTGCATTTATTAATATAGCTCATTACAATTTTGTGTAGCCATCATAGGCATGAAATACTGCCTGTGTTTCCTTTTCCCACTTTTCCATTGCTGACAGCTCTGATTGGGCCCCGAGGTTCTGATCCACAGCTCCCACAGTGGGCTTGGGGGGGGGGAAACGGCAGGCCAAAATTAGCCCAAGTGGAGGGGGTCTCTCTTTTTGGGGCCTTGGAGACCTTTCATGAATAAGCGGAGCAGTTAATCAATGCCAACAACGCATTTCTGTTTGTTTTGGAGCGTTTTTCTGAACACGTTTGAGTGGTGTGGGGGGAATGACTTCCACATGTTGAGAGATAACAGAAACGCATATTATGCCTTGAATGCACACGTGAATATTTTTCTCTGATATTTGGCACGCAAGCTTGAACGGCAGGATTTACGCTCCGCTGAGCACGGTCATTCGTCCTTGACCGTGGCAGTTGACACGCTGCTTGTTTTTCATGCGTTTGATTGGATCGCACTCAATTGACAACAACAACGTAAATGGTCCTCTTTCTAAAATTGCATAAATTAATTCCTGTGACCCTGTTTTGTGGTATACTATGTTGCATTATTTATTTTTATTTTTTTTAATTGAACCTCAAAAACATGGCGTGATTGGCAAGGATGAAGTGGATGGCCACAGTGATTGGTCCTCCGTTTGTGTTTTTTTTAGAGAGCCCGTCCCACCATGAATGATTTAAGAGCCGTGTCCTTGAATCTCTTTACGCCGCTTACTCTGTGACACAAATTTCCTGTGGCGTTGTTGCAAATATATCTTATCAGACATGCCAGCACTCCACCGTTCCAATGCAAACCAACGTAGCCGTTTTCAAAGCACACATGCGAGCAACTTCCTTAAAAAACAACCGATTGTTTTCGTCAGTGTTTAAACTTTCAAGTTGGAAATCTTGTCAGGGGTCACATCAGATGTGGAAGCAGTCCAATTCACACGTTACGCCCAACCGTGATTTGGCATGCAGCTTGGTAGTAAGAGCTGACCTCATTAAGCACATTGCACAACCTGATTTAATTTTGGCATTAAATTCAGCGATACGCGACCACACCTGTTTTCGACCGAGGTCCCCCTGTACACGCCAGGCCGAGGCCAGTCGTGGCTGATGTCACTTTGTAAAGAAACGCTGCCAGCGGATAAGCCTGATAAGCGTTACATGCACCAACAGCAGCGACGACTGTCTCCTGGCCCACTTCCTGTTTTGGTTGTGACATCACGGCCTGTTTATAAAACCCCCAACAGCATAGTTTTCTAAAAAGTGACCCCGGACCAGATGAGACAGAATTTTTAGGCTGACACACGACACAAACGTTTTCGTCGCGACTCAATATTGGAGTCGACAACATAAAAAATTTCTGTTAATGCTGCGAATGGGGAATATCTTCCTTCTCCAAATTTTTTGCCGTTGTCTTTAATGTTCCGTGGTTCACGTTCTTCAATGTCACTACTTAAGGACACAAAAGAAGTATTTGTTTTCTTGTGTGCTTATGAAGTTAATTCCTACAAATCGAAAAATAAGACCACCGGTTGTTTTGTACCAAGCGAGCGCCAGCTGGAATACAAATGATAGCAATTATGAAACTCCTCTTTTACACCCCCCGGCCCCCACCCTGCACATATACTGTACTCCAAAACACGTTTCCTGTGTCAGGAGCCGAGGGGAACACTTGCCCATCCTGATAAGCAAACTTGGAGTCAAGAGGAAAGACTCCACTGGCGGCTAATCAGCATGTTAGATGTCAGTAATCAAGAACAATCGCAAGCTCTCATCATGCTACAGCCGCCGTTTATGCTATGGACACTGTCCGGTTATCTCCCGCTTGTTTGCAATATAAATATAAAATGTTGCATAACTTAACCACTCCGGAAAGAATGTTAATGGACAAGGTCGCGATGCTGCATTCCAGGAGACTGGGAAATTTCAGCAATGCTACTAGAGAAGGTCGAATTGAAATGCTGCTCAGAGTCAGAACTTCAAAGTGTTCCAGACCAAGATTTGTTTTGTTTGCGAAGTGTCAGTTAGAGCATAAGATAATGTTGCCAGTTTCACTTTTTATTTTCCGCAAATGGCGTCGGCTGTGTTCACACCCACGTTGGCGCAAACCACTTTTTTTTTTCCAACTAGCTTGCACATGTCTGCGAAATTACACTTGGTCTAACCCACCTCCACGAAGATTTTTTACCGTTATCTCGCACTTGAATGGCAGTTAAAAATGTTTCATGTTACTTTGGCCAACCCATTGTCTGTAGAGTTTCTAAAGGACTTTGATGGCAACGGTTGAATCGCTATCCATTAATCGTGTGTGAGAAATAAATTTGTACGAATAAATTGGAGGTTGTCCAGCCTTCAATACTTTCTAGTCCCACTGTAGTGTGCTTTGATTACAATTACGTAATACGTTGATTACAACAGCCGGTTCCTGCCTGTTGGTGCTACAAAGCCATTTCAACCCTACTGTTCGCGGCCCATTTAGTGTGTGTTTGTGTGTGTGTGAGACAGGCCAGCTGTGGAGGAGGCGGGCAGGACGGGGAGGTCTTAATTTGCAGCGACGTGGGACCTTCTTCTGTTTGCCCATGCACACAGATAAGTCGTTGCTTTACTTTCTAGTTTCCTCAATTTGGAAGATAAAACGAGCCGAGCGCTGGTCTCAGGCCATTGCAAGCCCGAAATGTATGATAAGATCCTCTCCTATTTTTTTTAAGCTGACATTTTATTCATCGGCATTCAGTGACCAAACGCAACCGCTGAAGGTGGGCGTTGACATGTCAGAGGGTCGAGATCCTAATGTCATGCCGGTGCCATTTTGATTGTTGTGAATGTTGCATGAACAGGAGTTGCACAAGCGGAGCCTTCAAACAGCACCGGTTTTTCTTTTTTACTCACACAGGCTACCTCCGCAGTCCACCCTGACATTTAACGCAGAGCCTTCCTCGCCGCAGCGACATGTAATTGCTTTATCTCGCTTGGCATTCTTTCGACGGCCCCTAATTGAGGCCCCCTTCGCCGCACCCTTTCCTCGTTTGGCTCCATGTGGCAATCAACCTGCCACGTTATCACTGCATCCTATTAAAAACTAAAATGATTGCGGGGCCCCCAACCCTTCCCATAGACATAGGAACATCAAAAAAACATCCTGAGTCCAATAGTGTGGGGAGTGGGATTCCAATACACAGGATGCGGAAAGATCGGTGAGCCGAGACATGTTGGCAGAGTAGAAAAGGGGATTAAAAAAAATGGGGAGAACATTTTTATTTATGTCAGGCAAACGTTATTATTATCCGGATGGACAGTATAAAATTCCTGGTGTGTGGAAACCATGTTTGATCTCTCGCCATTCGGCTTTTCTCAGGACGTGGAACCTAATGGGTGATCCAAATATACTCTAAAAGCCCTTTTCGAACGAAACAATTATAGATGTAGAGTTTTACGTATAAAGGTTTTTGGCTATTTTCTCAGCGGGATGAGGTTTCATTATGACTGCATACAGTTGAATAGATCATATACGTAGCAGCATCCGCTATTGTCAAATGCTGGAAAGCGTCCATTAAAAAGTCATAAAAGGGTAGGCAGGGTTTCCTTGTCTTGCTTCATATAGCCTCCTATTGTGTTTTTTTTTTTTTTTTGGGGGGGGGCATGTTTATTTCAGGAAGGCAAAGTCACCTTTGAAGAAATGCAGATCTTTTCAAAATCAAAGTCATTGCAAACCGGGCAAGGTTTTCGGTAGCAATCAAGCTTTCTTACAAGCCAGTCATGATTGTTGTTAAACCTGCCCCCCCCCTTTTTTTCCTTTTGTCTTTTTAAGTACTGCCAAAAAAGACAAAAAAAAAATGTTCATAGGCAACAGTCCCACTTGACTGAGAATCCAGGCACCATTGAGAGAGGGCAAGGCCCCAACATGAATTGCGGCGCACAGCATCACAATAACTGTCTGGCGTCTGTGTTTAAAGCAACAGTATGTCATCATTTTACACTGACATAACTTCATAATCATTTGGATGTAATCGAGAAAACATATCTTTCGTTGTCAAGGCAACGCAGAATCACATACCGAGTGGTCTTTATTATGGAGGGACCAGCCGGGACACTTCTCATAATATGCTAGGCACAAGCGTCACTACGAATAGGCATCGGTGTTTATCATGTGCACTGATTAAGATGTCTTTTTTTTTTTTTTTTTTAAACCTAAGTACATCTTGATTATACACAAATGCGTACATTGTGTTTGGCTTACACCCACTTTAACCATTTCCTTTGCTTTCGGCTGTGGCCCCTCTCGTACAATTTGTTTGTTTAAATGTACATTTCCAGTGAGGATAGCATTGGCATGTGGAAGAAGGGAGGGGGGCAGGGGGGACAAAACAAAACACTGGCCCGGCTGATGGCTGACATGACTCGTTCAACTGCGTCTACCTTTTTCGATGCAGACATCCGATGTGACCAGAGTGGTCTTTTCCTCCTTATCAATGAACTTGATCTGTCAATGCTGCGGCATGTGACGTTGCTTTTGCTTCAAAGCCCCCAATGCGTGTGTTGACAGCCTAAGAGGCAAATGTTGTTGCCCCGCATCTTGTCGGACTCCCAAGTAAAGGAAGGAAGCCCCACGCCCGCCACGTTCCGCTTTCGTCAGAAGCGCGTTTGATCTTTACCTCGCCGCAAAACGTGGCTGGCAGGTGGCGACAAGCAGGCGGCACCTGCTGCATGAGGCGCACACGCGCCCGACGCAAGACAGTAACGTGGCACGGCCGTCGAAGTCGTTCTCATACTTGAGTCCCCCGCAAAACGATATGTCAGAAATGTTCGTGTCCTATTGTTTAGAAAGGTTGCGTATTATACATGTGGTGATGACTTTTCTGCTCTACTAGTTTCTTCTTGAATCCCTTTGAATAAGCGCCAAGAAACGACTTGGATGCTCTCGCTCTAACTTGAAGATCAACAGGCGTCGCTAATTGTGCACTCGAGCAAAAGTACCCGATAGCTAATTTTCTGGAAGGCAGTAAAGATTGCCTTGCCGTTGATATCAAATAGTCTGCTGTGCTGAGCTTCGTACTCTTTTTTTTAAATGGAGACAACTGTCCTCTAAACCCCTCCCACCCCCAATTCCACACACACCCGACATCCTGTTTCTGATCCAGAGAGCGATAACACACCAGACTAAATGAACATGTCTTCAGTCTGGACATACTGATGGTTCAAACTGATTTGCGTCTGTCTTCCTAAGTTTTATCCCCCCCCGCCCCCACCCAAAAAATCTCGCTTGTCTCTCAAATGACAACCGCTCTTAAATGTTCCCAATTACTTGCAATGATAGCTTGTCATTTTTTCCGTCACCTACGAGGCACAGATGATGTACGGCGGCGCGAGGAGGACAAAGCGATGCCACGAAGTCCATCGCATCCCGTGGCCTTGGCACCAACCGTCGTCCGCTCACTGCTGAAAGTGATAAGGCTCCCGGAATGGCACGATCGGCCTTATCGCTCGCCGCCAAGAAGGAGGACATCCGCTATCACTGGACGCACTGGGCAGAGGAAAGACTCAGCCCCCTTATCTCCCTTTGTAACTCCGCCTACTTCAGGTGCTCCCCTCGTCTTTCCAACTGCTCTCAGCCTGCTTGACTTTGTCCTCACCACAGTCAGTCAGTCACTCGGGTCTTGTCGAAATCCTCTTAGCTGTCCCCTCAGTTTTCTCAGAGCGTTAACGTTTCGGCGGTTTTCTTTGTGACTGTCACTCGTCAAGTGATGTCCTGTCCCATCCCGGTGCTAGATGTAGAAGGGCAATTTAAAAAGCCATAAAAATATCTACTGAAGTGCAGATACCTGAAAATGTACTTTGTTAACTTTGTTCACTTCAGCATGTGGCCCCGCGCGTGGGGATTCCAAGTTAACAGCAGAAATTGGACCGCGAGTGTTTGTTTTGAGTGAAAGCGGCGTATTATCACATGGAAAAGAAGCTCATTGCCACACAATAGCGGCGCATGCAATAGGAAGTCTTTGACTTGATTCATGTGGAGAATGAAAACATACTCGGCGCCCGGTGGTGGTGTGAAATTATCAGTCACCTTTTCACTCGGTGTCTGGATAATTCACTTTCAAATTGTGTTTATCCTTCGGCACTTTGTTTGGGCCTCGCACTTGATATGACAATTGGATACTGAGGAGCTTCAAAAATGTCGGCGATCATACGCGGGCTTGTCGGGGGGAGTAAAAATGTGTTGTTGTCGTGACAACCGGGAACGGGCCACATGGATGGTTTATGAGTAACGTAACGGACCAGCCAGGATACCGCTCGATGAAATACTAGCATGACGTACTTGAATGGCTTTCGAAAAAAATCTAAATGAATCATTAAGACGCACAACAATGACTTTAAATGCAAGTTGCAAGACTTTTATTTTTATTTTTTTTTATAATTCAATGCCACATTTCAGTCAGAGTCATTTAGATAATCTGAGAAGAGCACTTGCAGGAGGCGGGACACCAAGAGGCGACGTTGCTGTTATTGCAGCCGTACTGTTTCTTCAGCTCAGGACAGTTGCTGTACTTGTCAGTGTACGGACAGGGGTTGGCTGTTAGTGGGATGACACCGTAATGTGTTGATATGTTAATAGGAGGAACCGTCATGATCTCCTCTTAATTTACTCACAGATGTACATCGTGTGAAATGGCTGGACACATAGATTAACTTCTGCCATCTAGTGGAAGAGCATTTAATTGTTCTCCCAAACCAGTTGATTATATTTGGATCGTTTTCAGGAGCGCACCTGGCGATCGCTCAGAGCAATCGCATATTAATTACTGCGCCGTGGTCGAGAATTCATTGGAAGAGCAAAGACTGATTCGACTTACTGCACAGTTTGTTCTCGCAGGCATTGGGGCAGTCAGCACAGGGAGATCCGGACTTGTAGGGGTGAGTGTACTGGTAATTTCCTCTAAAATGGAGGCCACAACATCAAATATTTATTGCATTAAAACTCTCACTCACTGGCTACCGACCCACACATGCGCGCAGGTAAACGATACCTTGGAGTTACTATTTCATGGTCGTATAAGGAAACTGTTATTTTTGGTTATTACGGTTATAATTACTATGGATCAAATGTGTGTTCTTTCATGGGTTAGGGGTGTTTTGTGCACTTACGGCGGGCAGTAGTGGCAGACGTAGAAATATTTGTAGCGGGAGTTGGGACAGTAGGCCATAGCGCAGCCAATCTGGTTGGAGCGGTACCAAACGATCTGGAAAGGGAAGAATATTTTATTCTGTTGATCAAAAACATGTAAAAAAAATAATTGTTAATGAAGTGACGGGTTCATCTCGACCTGCGTAAAATGTCCAACAACTCTTCCGTTGATCGAGCCCACTCCGTAGCGCCAGTCATTCACCTCGTCATACCATGACTGGATGGCATTGCTCCAACTGTTTTTGTAGCTGGCCATATACAAGTTCTCGCCGCAGCCACTCGCTGCGACACACAAACAAGGACGACTTGATTGTTTTCCAGCCCAAAAGTAACCCTTTGGTCCTTCTCGTTTGCAGAGTTGAGATGATTAAATGATTCCAAAGTAGAGTCAATATCACCAGAAGATGCTTTTGAGATTTTACCATCTCAAAATCAGGTACATTCAAGGGAAGAAAAAACAAACAAACAAACTGAAGGGAACATTTCTTTTCACATTGCAATTTTTCCATCATCCCCTGCAGGAAAAAAAAATGGGAGTGCTCGCTTTGGATGGCATATGTGGATGCTGGCTAACGTGCAACTTACTACTGATCACCCTGGAGCTGTCTGGGCTGTGGTTCATGGAGCAGGTGTTGGCCCACCTCTGAGCGTTGGCCGCCGCTTCTTTGTTCCAACTCTGTGGAGGGAGCGACACATACACTTTGGATTCGGTGCCTTTTATCGAGGTATGGATGTTCTTTACCATTTTCAGCATGTTGCTAGCAGTAGGTTTGACGTTTCTCCTCAGGTCGTTATGCTTGTTCACGATCTCATTCTGCTCCGAGGCCGAGGTCAGCACGGTGCCTAAAACCAAGTAGCGTTAAATGATGATACGGTTTGTCTGCGGTGCCTGGAAAAGAAGCGACTGAGTGATAAGTCAACTCACTTTCCTTCAGGTAGGTCGATCCGAAATGGGAGAGGAAGGCTTGTAGCATTGAATACACCAAAATGCATCTGACATGATTGACTTTTGAGTTTCGTAGCACTTACGGGCACGATCTCCACTTCCTCCCCCAAGCTGGCTGACACATGAAGGGCGGCGCAGAGGCCCGAGGCGCACAGGAAGGTAAAAAGGAAGGCGTTCATTGCTAAATCCTGGACAGACACCCTCTGCGGGCCGTCGTTGGATTTATATCTGCGACTCCACGCGGCCACGTGAGCTTAAACACATAGACTCAAGGGCATCTGGGGGAGTTTTCCCTGCAGTGTGCCACCTGTGAAATGACCTTGATGATTTTAAGCGCTCTCTGATCAGAAGCTAACACTAATCTACGCAAACACTTGGTGTTACATCACATTTTGATAATATTTAAAAGGGCTCCTACACAGAAACATTTCCAGAAATAGGTCCAAAGCATTTCAATTATACACGGCATTTAATTTCACCTTTATTATTTATTTGGATACAAACAGTTCATGTTCCATAAGACGTCTCCTTTAAAGCAAATGAGCCCTGATGGATTTATCTCCTGGGCAGCAAAAAAGCAGTTGCTGCAAAATATTACACGATTTAAATGACATTTACTCTGCAGTTATTCAGCAACCCCTCATGATTATTTTTTTTTTCCCCCTCCATTTTCGGTTCTGTATTTTCACCTGCCCCCTGAACACCACCTGGATCATGAGCCAAAAGAGGCAGGTAGGGCTTCCTTCATCTATTGTTCTCGAAAGCAGGATGTCCTTCATTCCCTCTATGAGTGAAGGGAAGCGTCGGTTCCTTTTCCTCATCCTTGATATCCTCCGTTAAGCAATGGCGTTGTCACGTAGATGCGATAGAGATTATTTCATGCCTGCCACACTATTGTAACAACCATTGTCAAAACAATAAATCAAATCTTTTTTTTAAGGTTACTAAAGCTTGGCTCCTTAACTGGTTATGTGGAGTACCCGGAGAAAACTCACACATGCACGGGGAGAGCATAGAAATTCCACAAAGGAAAGCTGGAGCCGGAATCGAACTCTGCTGCTCTGCACTGTGAGGCAGACCTGCTAACCGGTCACCACTGTGCTGTCCCATTTTTTATTTTTATTTTTTTTAATGCCCGAAGTTTTATTCCTTGCATGTTTATTTATTTTGTAATGGTTTGTGTTGACAGCTGCAGGTGGGCCGCATTACCGTACAGGCCTGATTGTTGGCTTGCTGCAGAAATGGCTGTCCTGAAATTGGAAGGTTCTCCTTTTTGCATGGAGTAATATTTGTACCACCCGACCATTCGATTGTTGGTCACTTCACTTTCGAACTTGTTCCAAACCGTGACGGTCGTTACATGAGCCCTTCGGTACTGTGTTGGCATTTTCAACGGACAGCAAGTGACAGTAGCAGACAAAATGGCAGTTCCCTGAGATCAAATTTTGTCCATTTATTTTGAAATTTCATTGGGGCTGGACAAAATATGTCGTCCAATTCTGGAAGGGGCCTCGCCCAACAATACATCTCAAGTGACATCTTGATTTAGTCACTCCGCGATCATCTATTTTCAAGACGACGCGTTTGCCTTCCGCGCTTGGAGGTGCGCCGTCCACTGCGCATGCGCGCCGCCGCTCACTGGTACCCTATTTTTGTTCCCAGACATCACCACCACCACCACCATCACCATCCTCGCCATCACCGTCCTCATCACAGGTTGGCGTGAACATCCTCTTCATCGCGCAGCAAGCAGCCCTTCCCTCTTCATCTTCCTCTTCCTCTTCCGTCGCGGTGGGAGACAAAGGGCGACGGGGAGAGGGAGAACGAAGAAGAAAAAGATACCATGAAGAAACGCTACGTGGAGGCGAGCAGGCTCCGAAAGATGAAGAAATTGAAAATAAGCGAGCGGCTGTCTGAAAGGTAGACAGCCAGCCAGGCTGCCTGCCCGCCCGCTGGTGGCTGCTTTTGTTGTGCTGCTGCCCGTCTGCGTCTTTGTGTGCATGCCAGTGGCACTCCACTCACCTGTCTGCATGCATCACGTCACCGTCACTCTGCCTTGTTGTTGTTTTTGTTATGCGTGCGTGGGTGCGTGCGTGCGTGGCACCTCATTGTTCACACGGGCTGACTCAGAGAAGGGCAAGGAAGCTGCATTAAGTTACCAGCCGACTGCTTCTCTTGCCACTCGTTTTCTGCCATTTGATCTTGACACGGTTGGAGTCTCCGTTTTTTTTCTTCAAAATGGGTTACTTTGCTTGGAATGTCACTGATTTGGTGGCCGACGCACACCAATTATAATTTTGTGTAAAAAACGTGACAAGCCAACGATGACTACATAATTAAAAAAGATAAAAATATAAAATGACTATCGATAGATATAATTCGCAGCTCGCTAGGTTTTAAAATATCCAAATTAAGGGCAATGTTTCGTAAGTGAATGGTGCATTTTGTTTTCTTTTGTAGAGCAACTTCTACCTTTGATTAACTTGACAAAAGAAATGGCCAATAGTTCCACACAGTTTTTTTTTTTTTTTTTTGTGATTGGGAAAACAAACTGCTTGGTGTTACAACTAACATACTTTTTGGGGTAATTTGTAGTATCTTTGTTGGTTAAATTCAAAGCATCTTTTCTGAGGGAGAACGTGCTAATTATCATTTGAATGTTCCAAGGTGAATTGTGCTTATCCTCCTATATTTTTGGCGGGAGCAACTTCTTATCCTGGATTTTTATCTTTTTTTTTTTTAGCATGCATTACCTGTGTGCTCCCGAATGATTTTTAATAGAAATTAAAAACAAATGAAACAGTCGCGCTTGAAAACAATTGGCATTGAAAGTATGTGCGGGAGGATGCTGTGGCTCTCTCTCTCTCCCTCCCTCACGTTCTCAATCTCCTCCAGATGAAATATCGCCATGGTTACCAAACAAAGAAGGGCCGATGTGGCAACAGCAGCCTATGGATGAGCAGAACAAAGGGAGGCAACCACGGCTCTTCTTCTGGCCTTTGTGGCGGCCTCATAAAACAAAATCAAGACGGCCATTGTTGGTCAAGTGGCTTCAATTCAGAGGATGTTGGCATGTTGAAGAAAAATCAAATATGCGCTACATTAAACACTTTGGTTTTGCATTCTTGTCTATTGACTGATTTGCGATGGCTCGCATACAATATGTGATTATCGTTCGATTTTTCTTTACCCATTGATGTATTCATTGATTGCTTTGCAGTGCGTACACGTTCCTGAAGTTTATGGCCATTTGGATGTTGGTACTGCTGGCAGATTTCCTTCTGGAATTTCGTCTCGAATACCTGTGGCCATGCTGGCTCTTCTTTGGGAGCGTGTACACAACCTTCCACTGCCATGGGCTGGTGAGGATGCACAATTTGTTGGAATTGGATAGATCTACATTGTGCTGTGGGAAAGTCATGGGTTTAATAATCTGGATTGCAGCAAAGGGGGGAAAAAAATCGGAAGTGTACATTTGAAAAAATGCCTTGTCAATGCCAAGCGTGCTTAACTTGTGACGATCTGCATTGTGCTGTGGGAAAGTCATGGGTTTAATCATCTGGATTGCAGCAAAGGGGGAAAAAATGGGAAGTGTACATTTGAAACAATGCCTTGTCAATGCCAAGCGTGCTTAACTTGTGACATGGATCAAATTCATTTTATTAACAACATAATTTGTGTGCTTGCAGGTTATTTGCGTTGTTTTTGTGTGCGCCGCCTTCACACTTGACATCTTTTGTTTGATTTTTGTTCCTCTGCACTGGCTCTTCTTTGTGGCCAGCACCTACGTCGTATTAAATTATATTTGGCACACAGGTGAGCGTGTCGACGTTTTAAAAAAAAATCTAAAAGAAAAAAAAAATTTCACCAATTATTTTTTTTGTTTTGCCTCGTCTCCTCAGAGAAGGGGATCTGCATCTCCACGGTGTCTTTGTGGATCCTTCTTGTGTACACGGAGGCTTCGCTTCGACTCAAAGACCTCAAAACCTCGCATGCCAATCTTTCTCATCTTTTTGCTGCTCACTGGTATGTTGGATTCACCCAAAACTGATCTCAGCAATACATTTTTTTTAAATTGAAATGTTTTGTCATACTTAATATAATTTCTACACTGGTCCAGAGGATGTACTGGCCGCCGTTGCAAGCTGTTCAATTGTGTTTTTCCAAAAATAGTTTTCATATTGAATTGATGGTGTGTATAATTGCGATATGAGAGTGGTGGTACAATGCGGATTAAGTCCCCACTAAAGGCCCAGGAATCGGATGCACAACTCGTCACTGAATAAACCTTTTCGTTTCTCTCACTGTGTGTGTCTGTGATTCAGCATCGGATACCCGGTCGTCTATCTTGGCTTTGACGCCACCTGCTACTTCACCAACATCTTCAAACTGCGCATCCAGAAAGCGGTCCAGAGTGACAATGACTTCCACATGCACCTGCTGCAGCACTCGCTCCCGCCGGGCCTGCCGCTTTACCCCAAGATGGTGGCCGACAATGGCCGTAAGTCACAAATGACATGAGCGGAATGTTTATGATGTAGATGAATAGTCAGTGCAATGTTACTATCTTTATAAAGCCGGAATTCTTCACTGACTCTCCTCATCTCACTTCAACTTAGTTTCTTGGCACCAAGATGCCACAATATGGCACCAAAGCAGTGCTTTTATATTAGACAGGGCTTTAGCTTGAGCACATAAGTGAGTTTTTCAGTCAATACATGGGATACTTTCGTCCCCCCCCCCCAAAAAAAAAATCTGTGAATAAATAAATATTTGAATATAGCCCAAAATACATTATGAGCAGGCAACAAGCGGTCAAAAGACAGAAATATCCAAAGAACCCATTAAAACAAATCAAACATTACAAAAAAATAAGTGAAAAACTGTACAATATGACTAATAGACTTTGTTTTGGTTTTTCCAGCCTCCAAATGGAAGTCAAAGTCTGAGTCCAGTCAGTACCAGTATCAGAACGGTGCTGTTCTCCCTCAAGACGAGTCCCACACAATAGACTGCCTCCAGATCCGTAGTGACGAGCGAGCGGCCGAGAAGGCCACACAGGAAGTCCGTTCGGTTGAATCCAACCGGAAGCCATTGTTGTCCAAAGGCAGCTCCAGTGAGTCCAGAGAGGCGCACCGCAATGGGTCACCGGGACCGGAATCCTCCACAACACCAGAAAAACTACCTCAGGAGGAACAGGCCGGCAAAGCCGCACGTGTGGTGAAGAACTCGTCACCCAGAGTCCGGCGAGCTAACCCGGCCACGCCTTCGCCAACTGCTGGCAGGATGGAGAAGAAACAACGGTCCGGCGGGAAAACGGTCAGCCCGAACCGGGACGGAGCGGACAAAAGTGCTACGGTGGCTCAGAATCAACAGGCTGAGCAGCTGAGCAGGTGGGATACTGAAGTATTCCCATTCACAAAGCGCATGTGTCCTTTTATCACTCGGCTCACTGTCCCGCTCAGGCTGGAGCAGGAGCTGAGGAAACTGAGGGCCGAGCTGCAGGTGAGCCGACACGGCGAGCAGGAGCTGAGGAGTCACATCTGCAACCTGACCAACAGCGAGAGGAGCCTCAGGCCCGAAGTGGCCTTGCTGAGACAGTCCAACATGCTGCTGCAGAGCAAGTGAGTGGACCTTTTTTGATCCGGTATCTAATTTGTGGTGATATTATGACCTCATTCCCCCCCAATTGTAGGATCATATGCTTGAGCAAAACCAAGCAGCGGGACAAGCAGACCAGCGCCATCCTGGAGAAGAAGACACGGGCGGAGACGGAGGCAAGACTCTCGCTGGAGAGGCAGGTGGCCGAGCTTCTGGCGCACAGACCCGACGAGGCAGCTGGCGCGACCCGGGCCGTCACCGCCAGGTTCCAAACGCGACCGCCGTACATTTATTTTCGCCTCACGTTAGAGGTCGGATATATTGTACTTCTAACATGAGATGTAAATAAGTCCCACGACCGGTTTCTCTTTGTCTCGCAGCAGGCAAGAAAACAGCGAAAGCCAAATGTTCAGGAAAAGAGTTAAAGATCTGGAGACGGAGTACAAACAACTGCAGCTTCAGTATCAAATCAAAGAGAGTCGCGTGCTCGATTTAGAGAGCGACGTGGAGGTATTCATTGACATTTTGTCAAATACAGCATAACATTACATTGGTATGATGTAAAAAGCAAATAAAAGCAAACAAACACGGCACCGCTATCTAATTTGGAATTTTAACTTTTTCAGGCTTTAGGGAAATACCGCGCTGTGGAAAAGGACACGGACATGTTGCTGTCCACCCTGTCGGCCCTTCAGGACAAGGCTCAGCATCTGGAGTACAACCTGAGTGCTGAGACGCGCATCAAGCTGGATCTGTTCTCAGCTCTGGGGGACGCTCGCAGACAGCTGGAGATCGCTCAAGGTTCTACATTGTTTCTCATTTGGGCACTCGCATTCAAATCCATCCATCCATTTTTTTAAATTTTTTTTTATTTTTTTTTTATGGCGCACATCCTCATTCGAGGAGCTTGTGAACTGGACTATTGTGCAATGTGAGAGGAAACGCTGGACTGCCTGTAAAAAACTCATAAAAAACAGAGAACATGCAAACTCCACCAGGAGATGTTCTCATGGAGATTTGAACCCAGATCTCCTAAATGTGAGCCGTGGACTCGCCACTAACTGCACCATGCTGCTCATTGAAATTCTCGATGGTTTTTCCGTGTCTAAACAGCACCCTCTTGTGGTTTTTTATCGAACAGCCACGTGTTGATGTGGCTGACGTAGCCAACAGTGACGGAATGTAAACTGTAATGATACATTTGGACTATTTGGCCACGATTAGATGAATGAATGACCGTGCATTTGTTCTTGGTGTGTTGGTCTGCCAGACAAGCTGCTGAGGCAGGACAAGGAAATCAGCGGCATGAAGCAGAAGATCGCCGAGGTGATGGCGGTGAGCCCCGCCGTGTCCTACGTGGCCCCCCGGCCCCCTGTGCCTCAATACCTCACCAAGCTGCTCAGCTCAGAGCGCTACATGCTCAACCCACGCGCCCTCATGTACCAGTGTCTGAAGAAGTAGACTCCCCCCCCACTCGCCAACCACCGCGTGAGGAGACAGTGTCTGCCGACGCCCGTGTTTTCTGCTTCCAACGTGAAGCGGACACCAAGCGACCTCCACACGACAGCATGCCTTGGGACTGCGCTACTGGTGCTAAAGTGACATCCTGCTCCACGTTTACTTCACTGAAGCTCATCTGTCAACGGTGCGATTCCAAAACAGTGGTACCTGGACCTAGGCGTCTAATTCGGTCCATGCATGTAAGTCAGCTCATGTTATTCATACTTTTAATTCAATTAATTCATCTGCTTGTTTTTTTTGGAGCAGTCACTCGATGGAAAATGCAAGCACAAAACATAAGAGATTCACGACTAGGTCATGAACTGATCGTGGCCAGATGTTGGTGAAGTTCACTGTCGCCATCTTGCGGAATTTCTTAAGCTATACATATAGATATATAAAAATCTTGGGGTGGGACTTGATTTAAAAAAGTCTAATTAGAGGCTTTGTAATTATTTATACTTGATTAATTGCATTTTAATCATATAAAATGTGTCCCAAAAAGCAAAATGTTTAAATTATATCGATGTTGATGGACAAGAAGACATGAATATTGACTGTAAAAACACATTTAATCGCATTTCAATACAAAATAGTAGAAACAGAAAATATCCTAGGCCAAAATTGAATAGAAATTGAACGTTAAATTGTCATTGCAGGACCGTCCCCCCCTGCCCTTCACTGCGTTACCTCGCATCCTGCCCAGCGTCGTATACAGGAAGCCATAACTTTTTTTTTTAACATGTGAGTGCAAAAACCTGCAAACCCACTGGCCTCACAATCCCTCCATACCTACTTATTCTCTCTCTCGTTCAGCCAGTTGCTAAGACAAACAAGTCTGTTTACATTTTCCGAGCTCAAGGCAGCTCTCTTTTTTGTGACAATGTGACCCGCAAGTGAGAACAGCCTCTCACATGGCACCGAAGTGGCAGGACTACTCAGATACTTGCGGGCCAGGACAGACAGCTGTGAGTGGGTCCCTGCTCGACTGGACCACCACTGGAATGGGCAGTCTGTCTCGCTGATGGTGGATTCTGCTCTGTACAAATTCAGGGCCCTGCGCCACCGTTCTTCCTCATCTGAGTCAGAGTCTGAATCAAATGAACAGAGAAGCAGCCTCTTTTTCGTCGCTGGCTCCTCCATGATGGTCCCTTTGCACTGTTCTTGCAGTAGGGCCTCAAGGCGGCTCCAAACCTCTTCCCGCTCTTCCCTCGCAAGATACTTTAAATCCTTAAAACGCGGGTCAAGCACGGTGGCCACCTTGAGCCATTCAAGGTTGAGCGTTGCCGTACGTTGGGTGAACTCTTTCGTGAAGGCAGTCTTGAATTTCACCACGTCGTTGGAGTCATTGTCTGAGACCTCCATGGTGTGGCGCAGGTGGCACAAAGCGGGTAAAACCACTGAGCAGGGGACATAGGTTTCACCTCCGAGGAGCTCAGTCACAAATCTGCAAAAGACAGTTCGGGAAAGTCAATATTAATCTGCAAAATGGCTATCAAAGAGAGCTTTTCAAAGAAGCAATCACAATAACGCTTATCAACTCATCCACTGTCATTGATAGCCGTCAAAGATCCATTTGAACGGGTCGGGCAGCGAATGAGTTGAAAATCGTTTTCTTTACCTGCATGGCTCAAGGACAGTCGTAAGCCTTTGGAGTTGAAGAACCTCGGTCGGAGTTAATGTGTCTTGATTGTGCTCCTGATTGTGTAAAGCAGCAAAAGCGTCTTGATTCTTCAGTAGAGAGGAGATCATATCAAGCGTCGAATTCCATCTCGTAGAAATATCCCGTATGAGTTCCTCATTTTCTTGGCCCAGTCTTGATTGCTTCTGGTGTAGTTCCTCCTCCATGTTTTCAGCGCCATATTGAAAGTGACCCGCTATCTTGTGACACTTTGCTAAGACACCATTAAAACCACATTCAGCAAGGCTAACGGTGACGGTTCTTTGCAAGATGTGAGCAATACAAGGACTGTGTTGGAACGGGAGATGTCTTGCTGCAGCCATCGTGGTTCGTGTGGCGCCTGTTCCAATGGTGGTGATCTTTTGGTGAATTCCCCACGTCTCTGCCACGGAGAGAAACCGTTCCGTGCAGTTTTCTGCATTGTGTCTGCTGTCTGTCTCAAGCACAGTCAGGGCAAAAGACTGAAAATGCCATGTTCCGTCTGTGACAACTGTAATGTGTGCAGTGACGCCGATGTAATTCCCATTACGAACGGTGGTCCAATGATCCCCAGTCAGAGCCACAAATTTAGCTTTTTCTAATGCATTCATTTTTGCTAGTTTTTCCGTGTTATAGAGTTGTTGGATGATGGCTGAAATCGTATCTCTGGAAGGCAGTTTCAAAGTTGGATCACGTGTCGCAATCTTGAGCGCGTTTTCGAGTCCTTTATCTTCTACCACTGATAGCGGTCTGCAGTCCAGCGCGATCCACAGGGCGATTGGGTTTGCTAGTTTTTCCGATGTTGACGGACTTGTTCTGGGCCCGAGGCCAGTCTCGTTATCGAGCTGTTTGATTTGCCGACGACCCGCGCCGCCAACTGCCGTTGCGGCATCTGTGCTGGGCGCAAGGTGCTTGGCGTTAAGATGGTAGCGGAGGGTTGAACTGCTGCGGTGGTATGCAAACTCTTTTTGGCAGAATATGCATAAAACCACGCGTTTATTAACGCCCCCGTCTGGGAGCTTCTTGAAAAGGAATTTGCCTCCCAACACTCCAAACAAAACGGCTTCTTCCGAATCCTCCATGTTGACTTGTCCTCCCGCGTAATCAGCGTACCAGGAACTGTGCACTGACAAACGTTCCGCTTTGATTTGAACGCAACTGTGATTCAAATGTGGTCATTTGTTTACGTTTTTTGGGGGTGGCATGGTTAATTAATAATGTCACAAATTAAAAAAATATATCACTTGTTTTACATAATTTAAGGGTGAAAAAAATAATCGCGTGTCGGAGATGCATCTTCTGTACAGTGACAATTTACTAATTCGTGGCATGTAAATGAATGTAAAAAAATATTTAATATTCAGCATTTCGAAAGCATCAATTTACAAAAATGTTGTCAAAGCAGAAACGTGTTGACTTTTAACAAAATTGTATATTTGAAATAAGGGGGCTAAGGCAGCTGCGTTTAAATGAATGTGTATTTATTTTGTGTTTAGCTGGACTTTTTTAAAAATTTTAATCTCCAATGAATTTGAATGTTGTCAGAATTAAGATACCTTTTCGAATGAACACTGAATTAACTGCTGGTCAACATCCAATTCACCTTCATTATATGCAGTTGATGCAAATCACAATGCTCCATAGCGCCAACTCAAAGATGTTATTCACATACTGTCCACTGGAAAGCATGTGTTTCAAATTTTGTTTACATTGCACTGGAGCAATAAAGCTTCTCAAACTGCTATTGAAATGCAGCCAGGGACACAAAAACTTCTCGCCATGCAGCAATTTTGCTACGTCACTTCGATGTCAATGTCAAAATTGCAAAGGCGAGGTTGTCAAATTCTAATGGCTCATACCTGAAACAAAATGGGGGTAAAAGGAAGCGTATAGTGACATTTGGGACACTTTATATAGACAAGCAGGTTTATACCACCTAAAATGAAAACAACAGTTTTTGATTAAAATATTTTACCTTTTTTAAGACAATTAGTATGCAACGGTGTGTTTTGTCTATGTATTGAAGTGGCGACAACTATTTGAATGATTGACACAAATGGGTTTGAATCGAGGCCTCATCCTGGTTTGGAGTCCGCTGACCAAACGTGGTCCACGAACTGAATTACCGTGCCTATAAATGTGATTTTTCCACAGGGAAGAAAGACACGCAAGTTAATGTGAACGAGTGCTGTGTTTGAACTGAAGTGCTATGTACTGTTTTTGTAGTTCTGCTTTTTCTTTTCTAGTCATACACATAATTGTACAGAATGGAGATTTGAACCAACAGCTGGATGACATTCCAGAGAGCTGTGATGTCGCCAACATTGGGGGGTAGCTTTTTATTTAGAGCGTGTTTCTAAGGTGTTTTATATCAAAACTATTTTTTAGCCTGGCTTTACTTTTCTGATTATTACACCTCTTTGTCAATTTGTACGGCAACGTGTTTTTTGTCAGCATGAAAATGTATCGGAGCACACATTGTGACGTTAAGTACGTCCAAGAGTATAATACAGTACTTGTACAAGGGCTACCCTTTCTTAAATAAGGAAAGAATGGAGAATTCAAATTTTTTTTGTATAAATGATTGAACTTTGTCTCATTTGCGTGCATCATTTCAACAGTGGCTAGTGCACTTCGTTTTGCATATCGGTGTTAATGAACTGACCAACGAATGGATTATGCCCACCCCTATTTCAACTACATTTGAAATATTCGTGAGGAATACAGATTGTGTGTAGTTTAGTTTTAGATTAAAGTGCAAGTTATTAAACTTAAAGCGCAGTTTTCCCCCAAACTGGCGTCACTTTGCAACAATTTTACAAACCGCGCATTATCCTCAGCTCTCCCTCGAAAATAAGAAGCGCAGTTTTCCCCAAAACCGGCGTCACTTGGCAACAATTTTACAACCGCGCATTATCCTCAGCTCTCCCTCGAAAATAAGACAGCAGTTTTCTATTTACAGATAAATGTGGATATCCATGAATGATTTCAAAAGAACACACTGGACCAAAGTAACTGCTGATTAATGATTTTTTTTTTAATTTTCAGGAAGTGAAAAAAAAGAGGGCAAACCAACAGATAGTAGAAAGAGCGATGAGTGTCGAGCACACTCCAAATCTTTATCCACCCTGTGAGACGGTCGCAGCAAAGGCAACACAAAGAATCCCCTACGATGGCCTTTTCGCAAATTTTGCATGTTTTTGGGGGGCTGCGGGATATTTTCACTCAAAGTTGCAAAATAAGTGGAGAGAAAAGTGCAAACTGTGCCGCTTTCGAAGAAGCCAACTATTCACAGCCACAGACATTGGAAATAAGTTTACAGACTTGACCGAGATTTGCTCGCGTTAATTCTCGTCGACTAGCGAAGCACACAGACACGAGTGTAAAAAAATAAAATGTTCACATTGATGGAAAGCAGCCTCTAGTGTAAAATGAATGCCAACTTCACAGACTTGATCACAAGGCAGGAGCTTGTGGAGCTAGTAACAGCGTGAATTCAAACAGCAGCACTGGAGAACCGTTTTCCAATCTGGGCCGGAATAAATTTGGAAAGAATTATGCTTAATACATTATGAGCATGTGCAGGTTTAAAGTTTTTTTTTTTAAGTTCTGAAAGTTGCATGAAAATAGGAGTGAATAGAAGCTTACATTCAGAACAAGCAACGGCCACAACAGTGCTGGAAGTGAATTACAGTCAAACACAAATAGTTGGGATATTTTCGACTTGTACAAACGACAAGCTTTCTCCAATTGTCTTGAGCTTGACGGGAAAGCAGCCCATCAAGTTTAAATAGGAGGCGACAAGCAGACTTAACACTTCCGCAATGTGGAGGGTGGGGTAGACAGTTATTTAACAGTAAAAATGATAAAAATACAGTTTTAATACTGACGAAAGGAAAAAGACTGCTTTTACGCAGTTAAACATTTCATGACTAAAGTTAAAGAAACAAGCCAGAGTGATTTTTTTTTTATTGTTGCGATGAGGCTTGATGGCTGTACTGGTTGGGAAAGAAGAACAAAATAATTAACAAAAAAAAAAATAAAAGAGAGAGAACCACTTAGTGGCAGCGTTGTCCGACCAGAACATAAAGACTGCAGCGCGGAGGCGCAGTCAAGAACAAGGCTTTCCTCCTCTGTGTACAAGGAGGGGGGGAGACGGCAGCCGGGATGTGGAAGGAGGGTTCTGCTGGGTGGGGGGTGAGGGGTCCTCTGCTACGAGGAGACCGTCACGGGGTTGAGGGAACCGTTGCGGCTGTAGAACTTGGAGAAGGCCTCTTCGAGAACGCACGCGAGACGAGGCTGATCGCCCTGGACGCAAAAGGTCACCACACAGTTAAGGAAATGTCGTCAGATGGAAGGTGAATTCACTTCGGTTATACCCTCAAATAGTCCCGAGTGGTTCAACGCATCTAAAAGGAGGGGACTATGTGTCTTGCAGGTGGTGTGCGTGGTGCTCAAGATGCAGACTCCAAAATATGGCGGTGTGAGTTTCCATACAAGGTAAAATGGGGACGTTGGCATTGAGCTCCGAAGTGTTTATTCAAGTGGAAGCCGGAACTCAACGCGGTAGGAGGGCGCACGTTAGCACGCAGTCAGTCCAGCTGATGGGTGAGTAGCGGCATGCCAACTGCATCAGGTCGCTTACCTCACTGATGAAGCCGAGCTGAACAAGCTCCACAGCCAACTCTTGCACGTTCTCGTCTAAACCAAAGAACACACGATAAGGTCCGTCAAGAGACGGCCGGCCAGCTATCTGGTTTGCGAGCGCATAACGTACTTGGTAACAGGTCGCAGCTCAAGTGTCGGTTGAGTTTGTCCTCGAGTTTGAGCAGTAAAGTCAGCTATGGAGGGAGACGCTATGTTTAGAGCTTGAAATCACCCGCGTGTGTATTTGTGTGCGTGTGACGCAGCGACGAGGCGCCTCACGTGATGCTTGGCGCCTTCATCCACGGGCTCAATGTTGCACTGCATCTGAAGCACCTGTGGGACAGCCGTCGTCGTGAGGTGACGAGCGAGGGCTTCCTGAGCATGAGCTGCGTGGCGAGTTCTCACCTTCCTGGTCTCGAGTTCTGCAGGTTCCGGGGTGGGTGTTTTGACAGAGGGCGGCACGATGGGCGACTTGACCGCCTCCTGCTGAGGTTGTTGCGGACATGGAATCCCAAACGCCGTCAAGGGATAGATCCCATTCCTGCCACCCACGAGAACAACAACTTCAAATATCGGTCGCCAGATACTTTGACTTCCTGATGGCAAATTCTACCTGACGTCCTCCAGGAACTTGTCCAGCTCAAGGGCAGGAAACTGGGACAGCCTGAGGAGGGAGGGAAAAAGAAAAAAAAAAAGCTCAGTCGGTTTGAATTCAAGTCTTCAACCTACCGACGACGAATGCCGCTCACTTCATCTGAATGCCCTCCTTCCCCTCCACAATCACCAGGTTGGGGTCCATGTTCTTCGTCATCTCCTCTAATGCGTTCTCTGGAATCATATCTACAGGGAAACACGGCGACGTGAGGACACCCGTGTACACGTTTGCTGCAGAGAAACTCTCTCTACGGCCGTGTCTCCACTCACGCTGGTGGCTGACGATGCAGTGGGCGGCCAGCAGCTTGAGCAGCGGCACCTCGAACAAGGCCTGGTGAAACAGGAGCTCCCTGGCTGTGGGACGCTTGTCCGGGTCCACCTCCAGACACTTCTGGATGAATTCCTGGAAGAGAAAAAAAGGTGACATCTTGAGGGGGCAGTCTTTCCCCAAACAACCCCGTTGCAGAAAAACGGCTTACCCGTTGCAAGGGGTCCTCGAGGGACTGAATGGCACTGTTTATGGCTTCTTGGGAAACATACGACGAATCTCCATTACTCTGGATTTCTAACACCGCCATCTGCGAGAGGGACGGGAAATGACATGTGGAAACCCGAATGAGTTCAATCACAGACTCGAAATGGTTCATCCCTAGGTGATAATCTCATCCCAAAATGCTTGACACTAACAAATGGTCAGTGTAGGAGCACAAATGTGGTCAAGTAATCCTCACCTCTAAGGCGCACATTCCAAAGGAGTAAATATCCACGGCAGTGGTGACATTGGCAACAGCTGGGGAGGAGGGGATAACAGATCAGTATGCTCAATTATGATTTTCACCAAATACAGAGTCGTAATAAATAAAAGGCAAGCTCTTAACCTCCATATTCCGGAGCAAAGAAATGAAGGCTCTTCTGCTCTTCCCGACATGTTTTGACGTGGTTGTTAATCGTGTCTGGAGCCACTGGAAGAAACCAAGCAAAAGATGAGCTCCGTGATTTGAACGCGACGAGATTCTGCCCGACGGCCGGTGACTTTGTTTCTCGTACCCGAGCCGATCTTGATGAGGCCGTTGTGCTGGATGAAGATGGTGTCGCAGGTCAGGTTGCCGTGGATGATGGGAGGCTCGCATGAGTGCAAGTAGCTGCCGCGTGAAAACAAAATAATTGTTCACCGCCAACCGCGGACATGAACGTGTCAGCTGACAAGGGATACCCCAGAGACTCACCTGAGAGCAGACAGAATCTGTGTGCACCAGCGCTTCCAAGCCTGACACAAACATTCACAACAATCAGTGAAGTAACAATAACAGGGACCTATTACGGATTTTTTTTTTCCAAATCATGGCTTGTATATACTTACCTTTTCATTCATGGTCTTGTGATTCTTCTTGGGGACCTATTACGGATTTTTTTTTTTTTTAAATCATGCCTTGTATGTACTTACCTTTTCATTCATGGTCTTGTGATTCTTCTTTGTCTTCTTCAGAAACTGTTTGAGACTTCCGGAGGACATGTACTCCGTGATGAAGATGACCTGCAGCGGGAAGAGGTAGGACGACGACAAGTCATCATGGCTGCCGTAAGACGAGGCGCCACGAGAGAAGAATGCTCATGTGAGTGGTGTCGCCGTACCCGGGCTCTGTTCTCTTTGACATCGGCCCAGTACTTGTGGAACTTGACGATGTTCAAATGCTCCAGCTGGATTAAATTGTCAAACACCGCCTTGACTTTTTCCTGTCGAGAAAAAGGAAAGACTTCAGCACTAAAAAACAAACAACAATTTTGTTTGAAACCTGAGCAACCCCCAACTCTTAAATATGTGCAACTCGAGAGGAACGGCATGTTCTCCGCGACTGTGCCACAGGCAACAGGTCTGACCGCTTGTTTTTAAGCAGCTTAAAATTCAAATGTAGCTGAAGGCCTTCAGTTTTTTTTTGTTGTTGGGATCGTGGTAAGGAACCGAAGAGGCGGTACCAATATCCACCCTCCGGCTAGGAAGGGAAATGTTCTCAGAAACCACAAGGGAACAGCTGTGGTGATGTAATTGAATTACAATGACAATGAATACGTTCATAACCATCATGTTATTTTATGTGGCCTGTGAAAGGTCCAGTTGTGTTCAAAAGTAGCCATTAAATTGATAACCAACTGCGGGGGCAATTATGTAATAGGATGGGGCAATTAGTTGGGATCCCACACAGAACATATTAGGTAAGGGACAAGAAGTCTAAGTGCCTGCAGCTTAAACCACACGCCTGGTCCATAAACACACCCGGGCTCTTCAGATGGTGCCAAAGCAATAACAAATGCCATTGACAGATCATAACTCAAGACTGCTGAAACAGTTACAAGAACAGCAAGAGGAGGATGCGCCTTCAGAGTAACACAGTCACACATTTTGCTTTATTATTTGGTGTTCCCACAGAACAGAGAGAATATAAAGCATGCCTCTGAATATTTTTCAAAGTGTTTTTTTCCTTTTCATATGTTCTCTCAATTTCACGCATGTTCACCGTTTGCAGGTGGGTATGGAATGTATCCCCAATCACGATACTGTGGGACAAAACAAGTCTTACCATCGAGAAAAGTAATAGCTCGCAGTTCACCAACCTCTTGTAACTTGAAGTTTTTCCTTTCTGAGAACATGACTTCATTCCACACCACCTCAACTCCCTCCTCAGTGTCCATGGCCAAGTAGGCGTTATCGATGCCGGGGACATTTCGTTGATTCACCTTCAAGGAGGACAATCAAATGTTAGAACTAATACAGAGGTGGGTAGTCAGAAGGTACCAATACTCCTTACTTTCATTGGCTTACTTTGTCCAAATAGACTCAGAACTAAACCCCCCCCCCAAAAAAAGATATTGTGCATAATTGACAGTAGAAAACAAATCTTTTTGCACTTCATGCATACCAGAGTCTGTGCGTTTTACCCCCCAGATCTATACTTCTGCTTATGTACAGAGAGTGAGTAAAAATAGTTAATGAGCGGATGTGCTGTACTATCTAATGACCTCCTCTCTGCGCTTCTGCCAGCGTCCACACGGACTCTCCTCCAAGATCTCAGACTCGTCCTCGCTTTCTTCCTCCTCGTCCTCCGTGGCGGCCGGCTGGTTCACCACGGACACGGGTGGAGACACTGACGACACGGCTTGACCGGCGGCGGTCGCAGCGGCCATCGGCTCAGGCTTTGCTTCCTGGACCGTGTCCGGGGCCTGCTTGCTCTCGGAGCCCTCAGACATGTCGGCTGGTCACCCGGAGCGGCCGGCCGTGCAACACCGACGATTAGCCGTACAGCGACGGGCCTACGCATCGATCATTTTATCATTAGCTCGAACAACAATTGCACAGAGTGAATGATAGCGAAGCGGTGGCTGGGGCTTTGCATAATGCTATTAGCGCCATAAAGAAAAGACCACGATTTAAGAAAATGAAAAATACGAGTAACCCAAGCATAACATGTAATACATACGTGTTAAAGGACGGAAATGTGACGGTGTCCGCTCCAGTTTAACAGACTTTCTTCTCCGGTACCAAGCTTGATTTTTTTTCTTAGCTTTGTTAGCTAAATAGAAGGGGAAATAAATCTTCTGGGTTCCTCGGCGAAGTTGCGGCTAGCTTCCTTAGCTAGAGAGCACCGTCAGTGACAGTAGCCACGACAAAGTTTAGTAACAAGAGTCCGATTTGCACTGATTAAGTCAGCTCAAATGCTGAGCGGAATTGCAAGCTAACTCGCGTTAGCGTTCAGAAGCAGCCAACCGCTCCTTGGGTTAACCTTGCTGCAAATCGCCAGATTATTCTGTCCGGACAACGCTGGAAATGACACACAGTTGACACAACTACACCGTTACACACATTTACTGACACCTAACATAGTAACGTTTCATTGGAAAGCCCAGAGACACGTAAATGAGTCCATTAACGTGGCATGCTGAACGTCTAAAAAGAGCTAGTTTTCACACAGAACCAAACGTGATGGCGACAAGTTCCAGATGCACACTGCACTGCTCAAGCTCACTCTACGCCCGACAAGGCTCTGGTTGCCAGATCTTTCACGGTGTATCCCTTTTACGCAATTTAAGTACTTGGAAAACACTGAAGTATTTTACAAATGTTTTGCAATGTCACAAGTTCTGAACCTCCTTGCAAGAAGGATAGGATTTTGTTGAATATCCTGATATGGTGTATTATGTAGTATAACAATTCAACGTGTTTTCTTTGTGTTTTTAAACTGACTCGTCCGAAGGATAGGATTTTGTTGAAAATCCTGATATGGTGTATTATTATATAGTATAACAATCCAACGTGTTTTCTTTGTGTTTTTAAACTGACTCGTCACAAGTTTACAGCATTGTTACAAAATCTGGCAACCAGAGATATAACGTCCTCCCATTTTATTTGATAATCTTTTGAATGAATCAATTTTTTTCCAGAGAGAACACGCACCACATACGGAATCGCCAACTTTTCACAGTTAATGATGGAACAATCACAAATTAATCAAATCACAGCAAAATAAAACCAAATGAAAATCTAGAAATGCTTGCCTCAACCCGTGTGTTTGGAACTGCTTTTTAAAATGTGCACTGAAGATGCAGCTCTTTGATGAAACAGCATACTTTAGATTAATTTATCTTTCAAGTGCAAAGCATACAATGAAGGGAAACTCTTATCGGTGGAGGTCTTTATGATACAAATCGATTTTGAAATTATTCCTTTCAACTAATAAGGATGCTATGTACTGTATGCTATGTATAATAAGGATGCTATGTAATATGTGCACTTCCTCCCATGTTCCAGAAATATACTTGTTAGCTTTATTGAAGACTCTAAATTTTCCATAGGTATAAATGTGAGTGTGAATGGTTATTAAGGGGTTCATGGATTTTTCAGAAATGCTGTGTCAACCATGTCTCTTTCTCCTGATGTGTATTTTTAGAGTGAGCCTACCAAAATCCCCCTCCCCTCCTTGTAAGGGACCTATATTTAAGTCTAGCGCCCAAGAGTGCGAGAGTTTACTTGGGTGTCACGATTTACAGCTGACAACTTGAACGACAAGTGATCGCCGGAACTGCATTGGACACTTCCTTGGACTGATTTTGACGCACTGTCTCAACGACAGCGAAGTATTTCGAGATTGAACTCCCCCGCCTCTTGCTGTTATCTATAGGAATGAGTGGAAAGAATATGGAGGACCTGGATCACAAACTGCCTCTGGTGGAGGATACAAACGTGCGAGTGCTTCGAGAAACGGAAGCATCGCAGGTGCCCGACGACCAGGCAGGCCATCCCTTAGCCGGAGCCAACTCCATCTACTCGGCCATCCTTAGCAGGAACGAGGCCGTCAGGGATGCCAAGCGTCTCAAGACTTTTATGGAGCTGCGAGACAAATATGTGAAGAAGAAGGTGCTCTTCGAGGACCCTCTTTTCCCGGCCTGCGACTCCTCACTCTTCTACAGCCACCAGAAACCCCCAATGAAGTTTGTGTGGAAACGACCCTCGGTGAGAGAAAGCTCTCTCATCACTCAGGATGTCATGGTGACACATGACCCATCTGCATGGGGGTCCGGGTTCTCATGTCACATGTCATGCAATTATATCAGCAGAAAAAGCATGTGCACGTTTAATACATCATTGTTTGGCCCTATAGGTTTCTAAATTTAGTGCAAATAGGTGTGAGTTGGTAGTGCAACACTTCTGAGTACAGTCACAAATGACCAATACCATTTTATGATGGATAATATTTTTTAACATGAGCATGTTTGACAAGCGTAAATGACTGTTAGGTGTACTTCTGCTCAATGTAATGATAGTGAACATATGAATATTGAATTTAAAAAAAGTCAATCTGCCTGTTCAAAAAAAAACATGATCAAATTTAGATTAATTTAACAATATGTTTATTATTATTGCCTTAGTTTGCATCATTCTGAGCTGCATAAACTGAGCTGTAATAATAAACATACTGTAATATTGTTTTGTAACAGTACGGTATTTAATTTATTTTTTTTTACACTGGATATTATTAGATTGTGCAAGTGTATCGAATATTGTGGTCTGTGAGAGTGCTAATAAACACTACAAACATGTTCTTAAGTGCCTTGATACGACTAATAATAGCACTAATAAAGTGTGTTATTTCACTTAAATTACACATGGCTGCCCCAACTGGGTATTGGAGAAATCGAAATCCTATCTCGGAGTATGTCCTATATTCAAAACATGAAGTTATTTTTTTTTTTTTGTGTGTGTGTGTGTTATGTGATACCGTTGCACACTGCATACAGCTAATTAGTTCCAGTCAGTGGTACCAGGCATCCATAACAGAGATGTGCAGTTGAGAGGTGGTGACCACAAGAGTCCATAGCAGCTGCTTGCCTCTGAATATGTGACAAATGCTGTTCAGAGGTCCCAGATGGGGTTTGGTTGCAGGAGTTACACCCTAGTCTTGTCAGTCACAGCAGATGTCATATTTAGATTTGCAAACACAGATTTACTGTCTAATTGGAGCATATTAAAGCCATACACAGATCCTATTTCATATCTACTCCGGGTATGCACACAGCTAGACTGTGCATCGCGACAACTTGAACTGGGCACCAAATTTGGACCTTTTGTCCTTAGTAATGTCCCGTAGATGGGTTTAGATCACGTGATTGGTATTTGTTTTTCCGCCGCGTGAGCCAACTAGGCTTAAAACGGAAACAAAAGTAGACTGACTCGTGTTTGTTTTCCTCCGATTGTTTTTTTTCTGTATAAGACTAATCATTATATATTTTATACGTTTTCAAAATTCCTTAAAAGTGCTATGATGAGGGATAAAAAGTTGAGTTTCGTGAAATTTTGGATGCATTGGGAGCGACACAGAAGCAAAGACAAAGTGGCCGTCATAAAAAAGTGCCGATCCCTGCACAATTTAAATATCTCTCACTGCCTAACTGTGTCTGAATACGAACCAAAATAATCTCAGTTTCAAATAATGACCTGGAATAATTGACAGCTTGGCGTGCTTACTTGAGCTGAAATAGAATTTGCTGAGGGCGTCAACTACAATTCCGGTATTCAAAGAATCCTCCATTTCTTCCACGTGACTACAATTATTACGATTCTGGTATGAATGACACTTTCTTTCTTTTCCATGACAGGAAATATGTGAAAACCCTCAATTCATTGTGGATGCAGCCAGCAGGACGGACATCTGTCAGGGAGAGTTGGGTAATGCAAATTATGATGTATCACACCTGCACATAAGTGGCACACATGTCAGAATTTACTGTCATTCATATTTATCTCTCTTCAAGAGCAGGGGTTATTGCTTTTGCAAAAGTCTTTTTCCAAATTAATGTTCTTTATTGACATGTTTAACTGTGACTTTTGTGAATGGCCTCCTATAGCAATTAAGAAAAGAAAAACATGTTAGGAACACATCTGTTTGTATCTGCTGCTGATAGGTGACTGCTGGCTGCTCGCCGCCATCGCCTGTCTGACTTTGAACGAGAAGCTTCTCTACAGAGTGATTCCTCGGGATCAGAGCTTCACTGAAAACTATGCCGGAATCTTCCATTTCCAGGTAGTTTTTTTTTTTTTTTGTACATTGCAATAATCAACTCAACAACTGTTGTTGTTCTACTTCAGCACTGTCTGCATACAGTACTTTGCACTAATGGCAACAATATTGCACACAGGGATGTTTTTTTTAATGGGGTGGAGCAAGTTGTGTTTTTTGTGTCAGTGTGTTGGAATTTTCATTTATTTGAATATTCATTTAAACACGAAGTTAGTACGAATTTAATTTGTTTTGCTTACAATTTGCATACATCTTGCACAGAAAAGGATACAAACCATTGTGAATTGCAACTCAAAAAAATGTTACTGTATGCAGTTATACTGTATACAACTGTTACACCGTGTGTGTCACCCAATAACAATACTTTGATCTTTTCCGTCCTCAGTTCTGGCGTTACGGCGAGTGGATCGATGTGGTTGTTGACGACCGCATCCCCACCTACAACAACCGGCTGGTGTTCACCAAATCCTTCCGGGAGAACGAATTCTGGAGCGCTCTTCTGGAAAAAGCCTATGCCAAGTAAAAATTCCTGCTTTCCTTTTCTGTCAAAGAATACAATCGTGAAAAAATCAGCAACGATTTGTATCATGTTGCGCTGTTCTCAGGCTGAATGGCTCTTACGAGGCCCTGAGAGGAGGGAACACTCTGGAAGCCATGGAAGACTTCACAGGAGGAGTCACAGAGTTTTTTGAGTTGTCTGAGGCGCCGAAAGAGATCTATAAGATCATGAGGAAGGCCCTGCAAAGAGGCTCGCTGATGGGGTGCTCCATTGATGTGAGTTTGTAAAATGACACGTATGCTTTATTTATTTATTTTAAATCTCTGGGTCAGTATGAACAGCCACATTCTTTCACAACTGCCAAAAACTTGGCAGACGTAACAAATGTCCATCAAGTTATCAACTATGTTACCCAGGTTACCTCCCCCAGTGAAATGCAGTCTAAAACCGAACTTGGACTGGTGCGGGGACACGCCTACTCCATCATAGCCCTGGAGGAGGTAACTTGATGCCACATGTATTTTCTTTGGACAATGAGTCACAAGGTGATCATGAGAAATGCTGTTTTCTTTCTTAGTGTGACGAGGTTGCAAAGGACAGCAAAATGCGCCTAATCCGCTTGCGTAATCCCTGGGGCCGAGTGCTATGGAAGGGACCTTGGAGCGCAAAGTAAAATCTGGAAAAAACGTTTGTGCCTATAATGTGTCTTTTTGTTTTTCTGCATGAGATACAGAATGCAGTGAAGGTCGTCAAAAGTGCCAAAATTGCAAAATGACACCCAACTCTACTCTTTACATTTGCCCTTTTTTCCCCCACAGTTCAAAAGAATGGTCCACGATTTCCATTGCAGACAGGAATAACCTTAAAAAGCAAACTGTTGAGGAGAGTGAGTTCTGGTGAGTAGAATCCCATGTTAGTGAATTTGTTTGTCCCAAAAACACATTGTTGGGGCAAAAAAAATAATACACGTCTCCTTCAAGCAAACTTTTTTTTTTACCCTAGTGCGAACACAACATGACTGATGTCCTGATTTGTGCATTATCATTTCAGTAGAGACCAACGTATGTGATCTGGAAAATGTATTTAGTGCTTAGCAAAACCCTACAGGAAGCCTCCTCTTTTACATTCCCTTCCAGGATGTCCTTTGACGACTTCAAGAGGAACTACACCAAGCTGGAGATCTGCAACCTGACCCCCGACACACTGCAGCGTGATGAAAGACACAGCTGGAACGTGTCCGTCCACGAGGGCCGATGGGTCCGAGGCAGCTCAGCGGGGGGCTGCAGGAACTTCCCAGGTGGGAAAGCCGAGTATTTCAACAAACCACATTAATGTTGTCTATCGAAAGCCCGCTAGCTTAATGCTAACACAAAAACTGGCATCAGTCTTGTGGTCATTATAAACCTTGAAGCAACCTATAGTTGAATACCAGCGGTAGCAACACATGCGGGCAGAGTACACGGCAATACTCATAGGCGTATATTCTTTATCCTCTGCAATATCTATGAACAGTATTTACTGTATCTGTTATTTTAGTCCAATATTCGCAATTTGATTTTTACATTTTTTTATGTTGTTTTTATTATAGTCAATGACAATGATATATGCGAAACACTTGACCCCATTTCATGCTATTTTTGACAGATACCTTCTGGACCAACCCTCAGTATCACTTGCAGCTGTACGAGGATGACGACCCAGAGGAGCCGCAGGACCTCTGCACCGTGGTTGTGGCTCTCATGCAGAAAGGTCGCCGCGTTCAGAAGCAGCTCGGGCCCAGGTTCCTCACTATCGGGTTTTCTATTTACGAGGTAACGATTGCGTCGCGCGACTTCAGACGCCGAGCAGGGCACACACAACAGTTGATTTTCTGTTCATTCTTTTGCAGTTGCCAAAAGAGGTACGCAACCAAGAGTGAATTCAAATCATACAAATCATATAAAACCATGACAAACAATGGTGGGGTACCAAGCTCCTGATTTTTTTTTTTTTAAGCCTCAACTTTCTCTACGAATGCCAATGAATTCGATTTTTGGACACGAGTGTTGGATGACATTCTTCTTTCATGCATTAGATGTGTGGCTGCAATCGACATCTCCAGAAGGACTTCTTCCTTTATAACGCCTCCAAGGCGAAATGCAAACATTACATGAATCTGCGCGAAATCACAGAGCGCGTCAGGCTGCCCCCGGGACAATATGTTGTCATCCCCACTACGTTTGAGCCTCACGAGGAGGGCCAGTTCATCCTGAGGGTCTTTTCCGAAAACAGGAGCACCTCAGAGTAAGGAACGCCCGCCGCTCATTGGTGACTCCCATGACATCAAGTCAATGGGAATTGATGTTTTTTTTTTTTCTTTTATGTGTTCTTCACAGGGAAGCGGACGACACAATCGGGACTGATCAAACTCAGGTTTGTCCCATGACTGTGGCTAGAGTGCACTTCAAATGAACATAATGGTTCTATTTTGCTATTGCAGTAAACTATGCAAGCTTTCAAATCAGCGTAGTCAAATGCAGGCATGATTTAGTCTCACATTACCATCATTTCTCATTTTCATTTGGCCCGGTGCAAGGATTGGGACATCTAGTTTACTGCTTACATCCATCCATCCATTTTCTATACTGCTTAGCCTTGCAGGCTGGACTTAGGGCGAGGGTCGACCCAATACTTTTGTCCATGGTCAAACCTCTCTTGATATGATATTTTTCCCCTCATTGGTCTCTCGCAACTAATCTGTTTCATCTCACTGTCCTCGTCTTATTCATCATCAGGACGACAAGAAAAGGAAGGACAAGGTAATGCCTGTTTGCAACACTGAAACTTTTGCACAGACCGTACAGCTAATCAGAGAAAGTAAACCACACACCTCACACTAACTCTCCAATTTGTTTCATTTGTTTTTTTTTTCCAGCCGATTGTGTATGTGTCCGACCGAGCATTCGCCAACAAAGAAATCCTGCATGACGGCATTCGGGGGGAGAAAAAGAAGACGCCCAAAGTAACGTTGTTTCCTTTTCCACTAAAGCTGCCGTCGCTTAATCATAGTTGCCATGCAGCGCGTATCGGGCGAAAACCTGCGTCATTTATGGCTCTGACACGTAATCGGGAGTGGGTCAGATAACATCACTGGGAATAAAAGAATTGACCTCCCTGGCCAGCTGATCTCAAGTGACTCCAACACCTGTTTTGTTTTTGTTTTTTTCCCTTGTGAGCTCATGTTCTCATCAACGGAGGGGTGATGTTTATATAATATACGATGCACAGCAACCGGATAGAAAAATTATACCTACCCTTTGTAAAATGTCATGCAGGCAAGTAGTTTGTAGTTGCGTAAATAATCCGTGCATACAAAGCTAAATATGTGGTGTGCGCGGTATGGTTTACCAGTCCTTTTGGTAGATAAACCGGTCGTATTCAACTATCCATGATTATTTTCTCCTGTTGAGCAGAAAAAACTCCTTCAGCCCGAGGAAGAAACGGAAGAGGAGAAACAATTCCGTGTCATGTACCAACAAATAGCCGGCGAGGTAAGCGAGCAGACGATTCCCACGTCAGCTATCATCATGATTGTTTTTATTATGATTTGACATACCACTGATGCCCCCGGTCAGGATATGCAGATCTTTGCCAATGAGCTTCAGGCTATTACGAAGAACGTGCTCTCCAAATGTGAGTCAACGGAGAAAAACACCGTCCGGTATCACCCCCCCCCCCCCCCCCCCCCCCCCCCCCCTTCAACATGTGCTTCTTTTCCCGCAGTGCACGGAAAGACGATGGAGGGTTTCAGCCTGGAGACGTGTCGCAGTATGATTGCCCTGATGGACGTATCCTTTGCGCTGCGCTGGTGATATGCGAGGTTTTGGGGGAGTAAATAACCAGGGTCATTGTACTTTATTTACGCTTTCCAGGTGTTCAGTGCTCAAATATAATAGGCAGGTAAGTGCAGTAGATACAAAAAGTCGACACACCCTTGTGTCCAAATACCATTTTCTAAAAGACCAAAATAAATCCTTTCAGAATGTTTGCCACCATTAATGTGCAACTTAAATATGTAAAAAAAAAAAAAAATCTTCAAGAGGGAAGTACAACAGAGGTAGCGTGGTTGCATAAGTGTGCACATCCTCTTATTAACTGAGGATGTGGCAATGCTCAGTGAGCCGATCTGCGTGCAGAATTAACCAATCACATTTGCACTCATGCTGAATGTGAGAAGTTTTGCATTCCAGTTGTAGACATGAGACGTTTTTGCCGTGACTGAGCCAAATTCCAGACAGATGGGACAGGAAAACTAAACCTACAGGAGTTTAAGCACTTGTGGAGGAAAATCAAGCAGTGGCATGTATGTTTCTCACCATTTGATCATTTCACGACCATGACGTGGCTTTGAAAAGCTGATGCGGGTTTGCAGGTCATCTTCAAAGGTTACGACAAAGAACAAACCGGCTCCATCAGCAGTTTCGAAATGAGAAACGCCGTGAATGATGCAGGTGAGCGGCGTCGCAGAAATCCCCTTGTACGATACGCTGTGACATTTTGTCGATGTTCATCTGATCCCTGCGCCGTGTCCTCGCCGTTGAAGGCCTCCACCTCAACAAACAGTTGTATGACATCATCGCCATGCGCTACGCCGACAAGCGCCTCAACATTGACTTTGACAGCTACATCTGCTGTTTTGTGAGATTGGAGGGCATGTTCAGTACGTATACATCGCACGGTCGTGTTAAAAATGTGCACGTGGATATAGATGCAAATATGCGAGTTCTGTGTCTCCTGTAGGGGCCTTTAATGCTTTTGACAAGGATGGAGATGGACTCATCAAACTCAATGTGCTGGAGGTAAGCCTTATTGATTTATTATTCACTTGATCTAATGGCAGCCTGTTCAAACTTTTACCCCAAAAGGGGCTTGGGGTTTTTATTTACTTCAAAGAGGCAGACATTTAAAGAAATCTTTTTCCTTCTGCTCTCTTCTAGTGGCTTCAGCTGACCATGTATTCGTAAAACATCTCCACGGCTAACCCACTCCCTCTACAAAGCAGCAAGTCTTTGATTGAAATGAGCTGTCGTTCTGTTGGTGTTAATTTCATAGTCAGAACAATACACACTTATTTGAACAAAACAAATAACTAGCTTCAGTTTCTGCGATTTCCGGTCGGGGGACACTTCATCATCATACAGACGGCTGAGGGGAAAATTTAAAGCGTTCCATGAACCTGCCGCGCATCTTTTTGGAATGTGGGAGGAAACCGGAGTTCTTGGGGAAGACCCACGCAGGCACGGGGAGAACATGCAAACACCGTACAGGAAGGCCACGGAAGACACTTAACCTGCCACACATGACATTATTTTACATTTTCTCAATTGCTAATCATTTTTATTTACATCTGAATGAGTGATCGGATGATGGATGTATGCATGTGCAATTATAAGTAAAAAAGTAGTCATGGGGTTGCAGTTATTCAGTGACTGTTGAAGCTGGACTGAAATCTGGACATCAGGTCTCCTCCATTTAGCTCCTCGGCGCCTTCCTCTGGATATTTACTCAGCTGGGGAGAAGGTGTCACATTTTTGGGGGAATTAACATTTTCTAATTTCGGTGACGATAGTCGTACACGAACGGTACTCCCTAAATGTTGTGTGCGCTTTTACCTGCGGACACAGCGGGTACCAGTTGAAGCGCTGGAAATTTTTGTCTTGAAATTGAAAACCATCCAGCGGGATGAGGACCTCGCCCAGAAAAACCTTCCGGTGCAGAAATTCTGAATGCCACACAGAGGCCTGCAGTCTCTTTCCAGTCAGCAGGTGGCGCTCTATGTGATACTGTGCAAAGCCGCGTGAGGTTAGTCAAGCATCACGGGAAAAGTCTTAATATTGCAATGATCATCTTTAAAAGTCTTTAACGTGTCCTACTTGAAAAAGTTCATTATAAACGGGATGGATGGTGTTTCTCTGAACTGCCGTCTTGCGCTTGTCACTCTTGGGTGGCATCACGTAGAATTTGACGTAGCTGCGCGTGGACACGGTGCTTGATTTATTTTTTTTAGCCATTTGGACACATGCGGCAAAATAGACGGCAGGAGTATCCCGATCTATCCTTACGGGTTACACGTCCTCTTCGCGGTGTCGCCGTGGGGGAGGTTCCGACACGCTCCGATGGTGATCTCCAAACAGGACGTGGTGGAGTTGTAGGCCAGCGCCAGTTCCATGTCCCCGCTGGCGCTGACACCCTCAAGCAGGCTGCACTCGGTGCTGATGCTACTGAAGCTACCCTGAGGGAAGCAAAGACACTTCCGTTTTAGATCAAGATGACCAGATAGGATCAAGGGATGACAAAATGTTTCATATGCAAAGCTAGCCTCGTGTGTTAACTTGTACGCACTCGCTTTCCATCATAGTTTTCCGAACTATTCGAGGTTTCTTCTTCTGGTCCTTCTTGGTCGCTGTCTTTGCTTCTCTTGAACAGGTCAGGAAGACTTGGAGCGTGGTAGAGCTGAGCGGAACATTTGTCACATGTGTTAAAGGTTGACTTCCGTTGCCCGGCTTTTATACTCGACACAGTTCTTTGCTTACTTGGACGGATTTGCCGAGGTCCGTGTCAGAGAGGCTCTTCTGGGTGGCGAAGCGCAAATGTTTGCCGCGGCCGACGTTCAGCAGGTTCGCCGAGAGATCGTTTTGCGATGAGGACATCTCTACAAACCGCAAGAACATCAGCTTATCAGAGCATCTCGTGGTGTCACAGGATTTTGTGCAACACTATTGCTGTCACACCTGATGCAATTTTGGCCTCAATATGGAGGCAAATTTCCAGAACTGTTAGTAGCGGTTAGCAGATTAGTATCATGAGAAAGTATCACATTTATATATACATTTTTTTTTTTTTTAAACAGCGGTGCACCAAATTTAGTGATTTCTAATTTGTGACTGATTATTTTGAATTCTACTGAGCTTTTACTGGTGACTTACTTCCAACGTTAGTGGTGAATGAAAACAGATGATCTTCTGATTTGGTTCGAACGTTGAACTTGTTGGAATTCTGATGATTATACACACAAAGTTCGGAACACGCATACGTATAATTTGCATTTACACTCAACTCCATGAGGCATGTACTTTACCCCTGATCTGCCCTCCAAGTCGAACCCCGTGTAGGCTGGCGGGGTTGGCGGCACAATCGCTATGTAACTGTCCAAAAATAATATCAAGACATGTAAAAGCAATCAAAACCTTGCACATGGAGGCACATATTCACACACGGGGCACACACAGAGTGAATTAAAGATACCTCATCACATTGTACGTCTTTAAAAGTTTCTCCCCAACCGTCACATGTTTGTCTGTGAAGCAAACAAGGACATTCAATGGGAAACAGAATGCATCCATTCCATTTTACGTCCGTTGCCCGATTCGTTGTGTCCATTCAACTAGCTTCAACAAACCTGTGAGAGGAGGAAATTTCTTTGTCGTTTCCTCTACAAACCAGTCTCCAGACCGAATCTTGACTTCTCTGCGAAGACAGAACAACCAAACAAAGCAAGCGATTGTCAGGTTATTTTAAGAGTCTTGTTGCGTGAGCGTGCACACTGTCGTGGTGCATATTGTACAATATCTGTTCAATATTCAAATGAAGCCACCGTCGCCTAACCGGAATGTCCCAAATTTGCACGAAAGGTCATCGGATGAATTGGGACTGACTCAATGTCTCGTGCTTCGGGCGCTCTATACCTGTAAGCGTAGCAGACGGTGCACTTCCACGCCACTTCTCTCACTCGCACGCGGCAGTTGACGCAGATTCGGTGACTGCATCCGCGGCAGATGGCGCCCGTGTTGCAGAACTTTCCCAGTGGCCTTTGGCAGCGGGCGCACGTCCGCTCGCCGTATTCCTTGGAGTGGCTCTTTGCGCCTCTCCTTCGAAGCTCCTGGAGCTGGAATTTCATCCTCCTGCATTGGAAAAACTGTCATTATTGGAAATGAAATAGGTGACTTTTAAATTTGTGGCAAAGGAAGGCCACCAAATTCACCAACTTCAGCCTTTGTGATTGTGGCTTCTGCAGTCAAAATGGCGAGGTAAGACAGATGAGAAAGTGAACACCATTTTGTTTGTGTGGCTATGGCAGCCCAACAAAATCCCTGACTTGGGAGATAAAAATCACTCACCTGATCCTGTCTTCTTCCACTGCGCGCAAGAGTTTGTCTCTCCGAAGAACTTCCAAGATCTTCTCCCGCTCCAGAGCTTGAAGTAAAATAAAATCCATCCTCAAATGAGAGTCTCCAGTTTTTTGGCCGTCTCGCCGGTCCTCCTCACGATGTGCCATTTCCCCTGCTCTGCACTGGATCCTGAACGCCTCTGAAACCTCGGCGTCATCTGGAGCTGAGAGATTCAAGGAGCGCACATGGCGAGGTTATCTCCCATTGAAGCTCTTCACTGCAAGAGACCTGCAATTCATTCTTTGAACGTGTAGAACACAGGTATCAAAGGCCCGGGGACCAGATCTGGCCCACCACATCATTTTATGTGGCATGCGAAATCAAATCAAGCATGTCACGTTCCAGGATGCTTGCTAAAGTCTGAACCAAAATTTTTCACCAACTATTCTTGACTTCTGATTTTAAAACTAGTTATTCATCAATTTTTTTGTGCGCTGTGTATGTAATATTTGAAGGGGATTCAACATTTATATGGTTTCCCAAAATTCATAACGGCCCTCCAAGAGAAACGTAACCACAATGTGGCCCGCGACCAAAATGAGTTTGACTCCCCTGTCACTTTTGACGTCTATTGAACCTCCCCCAAAAGCAAATGCCAAACTTTGCATCCTTGATAGCTTTGTAGTTCGGTCTCCTGCACCAGGGGTCCCCAACCGCCGGTCCGCGGACCGGTACCGGTCCGCAGGGCATTTGGTACCGTGCCGCACAGAAAGAAACTGGCTTA